GTTCTGTATCGCTTGTGGCAGTGATCAACACCATCTGTCCAATTGCACGGAAAATGCTGCGACCCGGGATCTGGTACTTCGAGGCCTCCAGATCATCAAGGAAAGCCTTCTTCGATATCCACGTCGAGTACCCCCACAAGAAGCTGAGCCAATGGACGTTGATACCACAGACCATGTGAGTGTTGCATCCTCGGACCGACGACCCAAGGCCAAAGCCCGACCGCGACGCGGAGGCGAAGCCGTACGGGGTGATGTGGTCTTGATCCGTTATGAGAACAAACATAATCTCTGCACGGATGTGGAGAACCGTCGGGGGCTACATGATGCTTGTGGCGTACCACTGCAGGAAATGGGACCAGAGAATAGCCAGCGGGTGGTGGACCTCATTGAGCAGCTTTCGGACCATCGCGACCGACGCCTACCTCAACGAGGAGACCGTCCTAGCTTTGATTATGATGATACCATTCAGGGCTACACCAATGCAGGCTACGAATGCATCGGCGGCGGAAGGCCAATCCGGTGCGGGATTCTCGACCTGATCCCAACCAAGGGTGCAAGCTTCATCCACAATCGATGGGACATCGTGAACGAAGTTGTCCTTCGCAACATCACCCGTCATCGCAGAATAAACGCGGATTGGGCGCTATCATGCATCCAATCTGACCTGCGTCACAGAATCGCCAGGCGCCCAGGCTCGGAATGGCTTGACAACAGGTGCCAGGTGGCATTCAGCAGCGTCATTCGATGTGATGAAGGAGGGTGGGTGCTGATCGAGGACTTGGTGAGGCATGAGCAACTATGGACCCATGACAGCAGACGCATCACCGAAGCGGTCTCAAGGACCGATGAGCAACAGAGGAAGAGAGTGTACAATGAAAGACTTCAGCTATTGTTCCAAGGGAACATGCTCGCAGCCACGAAACGCCATAAGGCCAAGATTCGGTTGCAGTTCCTGGGAGTGAGAGTGAAGGACCCCGGCGTGGAAACTCTTGGATCCGCAGGTTCGAACATGTTGGTATCGATTCCTGACCAGATCACGGAGATCCAGAACAATGATCGTTGCCGGCACAGCCAGAGGTACCTGAACGTTTGCAACGGCTGGGTGAAGCCATGGGCAGTTCGGGCTACAAGTGGTCACTCTGCGCACTCAGATCCCCAGAACAATTTGCTTCAGTTGGACAAGAACAGGTTCGCAATATCTCCATCTATGACCCTCTTGCAACGTCTTGGAGGCGCGTTCCACGCTACGGCATGCCGCAACTTGGATTCCATTGTCACGCAAGGCATCATGCCTGGTTCGGAGGACCCCGACGGGGACTTCGACCATAGGCGCCAATTTCGAGGCAACCAAGGCGGCAGACTCCACAGCTATTGGGGGGTGTTTGCACCGTTCGATCACCGGAACGCGACGACCAAGATGCGGGTACATGGACGAGATGCCAAGCACATGCCACTGGCGGTCCTTCATGTCCCATCGCAGGACCTTGCACGAGAAGATGGACGTATCACAGACAGCGGCATCATGATCGTTGGCCGAACGATACCGTTCCAGTTCGTCAAGGAGGTATGGTTTTGCGTCCCGGATCCTCAAGATACACACTCTTTCGCTCTGGTGGAGAAGATCTACGATGAACGGTTGGAGAAAGAGATGGTGTTGGACTACAATGCATCACCTTTGCTTCCTGAGTTCGAGAGATACCGAACGCCAAGCAAGATCATGGAATTGCTTTGCGAGATGCCTCCTGGACCCCACGACACCAGCAAGGAGCAGATCATTCGAGACCTTACGACTGTCCTGGAGTCCCACAGGGAGAACACGGTTCGGCATCACTACATGGACAAAGGGATCAAGTTTGTCATCAAGAATTGGCGACCCGAAGACCTACGCAGAGACGAGGATGGAAGGAGAATGAGGGTGTGCCCGGCATGCTACAACATCGTTCCAGCATGCTTCTCCCGATGCACGTCTTGCTGGTCACAATTCGTTTCTAGCGGGTATTACCAAGGTTCTCCACAACGGGAGACTCCTACGGAGATCCCCAGTGACTTCATTGCTCAGACAATGGAAGCCGCGGCAGCAGCAGTGCCTGAGGCGCCCGAAGAGGAGCAGGAAGCCATGGAGGTAGAGACCGTTGCGGAACCTGAGGAAATCCCAGAACCATCTGTCATCGCGGAGGACGATCCAGAACAGGAACCTGATGAAGAAATGGACACAGAGCCAGGAGAGGACTTTGATGACGCAGTACCAGATGCAGTTGCACAGGAACGCCGTCCCGTCCTCATCGCCGGCCAGTCTTTGAACATCGATCCTGAGCTACAACTCGCACGTACCGCCATGCAGCCATCCTACTACTCAGGGAAGCGAAATGCCCATTGCATTGACGCCAACATGGTCGCTCTTTCGTATATGGCTTTCGTGGTATGCAGGACCATCTACAAGGCTTGGTCAGGATTCGCGAAGTGGGCTACTATGCCGTTGTTTCAGATGAAGGAGAATTTCGCACTTGGCCAACGCTATGATGTGCTCGGAAAGTGGGGATCTTTGGCTGTAGTGGACAGAGAGACGGGTGTGAGCAGGGATGTGACTGATGAGGAGATCATTCGCTTTGCCAAGGAGCCTGAGAACCTCAAGCAGTACGATCCCAACGGGACTTACACTTTGAAGCGCTTCCGGACGAATCAGATGCTTTCGTTGCTTACACGGGGAGCCAACATGATGGGAATTGGCAGGGACAACTTCAACCCTACTACGTACTTGAAGAGCAACAGGGATGAAGATGTGAAGGCTATGCACTTTTGTTGCCTGAACGTCCTGTGCGAGGTGATTCCGATGGTGACAGGACACCAACAATTCTCAGTGCTACGACCAACGCCAACTGGACCGGTGGACTTCTTGTACATCGACCCCGTCGGTATCCTGCTGACTCATGCCGATCATTCAGTCCAGACCATTGGATTGCTGGTGGACCACAATGTGCAAATGCCTGCGCATTTCATGGACAGATTGAACAGATCCAAGGCTGAGAGACAGCAAAACCCGACGACCAAGCGTACTGAAGCCCTACACCACATTTCGGCCGCTGACTATCTCCCTCCAGGTGGTACTTCCATCCTGGACACGCCTGTCACTACGGAGGAACGTGCAAGCGCTTCTTCGGCCAAGGGACCTTCAAAAGGGCGTGAGAGAACCGGAGGTGAACAGCATGGAGGCTGGAACGCCAACACCTACTATGACTACACCGCCGGCAAAGGCCGAAACAAAGGCAAGGACAAAGGAAAGCAAAGGGAACAGTATCCAGAGGAAAACCTCCGGCCCTGGGACCGCGATCCTGCGACCACGCGAAGATGGAGATGAATCAACGCTTGGTCTTCCTCGCCTATCAGTTCGTGACCTCTGAGCTTCGCCCATGGAATGCCATCGCGAATGCTTCTTTCTTCGGTGACGCCTGATTCGTTTGCCATTTCAGGGGATCGTTACTGACGTAGATGAGTGTCACAACGTTTCTAATTGGGATGCAAAGCTCTGATTTTCAATGTCAACGTTGCGGCGGAACATTTTCTGTTGTCCTATCGTGCCATCTTCCGGGTGAGCAGCGTCGGAGACGCAACTCATGGGGGGTGCGAACGGACTGCGATGCCTTGTCAAGTTCTAAGGTGTCACTATAAGAGCTGTGAGCAAGACCGTGTAAAGTGCAAGAGAAGGGGGCACGCTACGCGTCCCTCGACTCTAAGGGGGCACGCTACGCGTCCCTCGTCTTTACCTTTCTATGTGACCGCCCACGCAACGTTTGGCTCAAGTCAATGCCCATAGCTAAGTGCTATAAGTGTCTTCTATCCTGAGCAATCAGAGCTATCCCGTTGCACAGACGAACCGCCGCCGGCAGTGAGTGCAAAAGGAACGGCCGCCGGTTCTGCCTGCATAGGATTGCACGTGTGGAAGTGAGAGAGAGACAGGGTCCAGTCTGTGGGGAGTGCAAGCCAGCCACACCTACATTCATTACAGCTCTGGTGGGGAGAGCAGCAACTTAGTCGAGATCAATCCCCCACGCAATAAATTACATTGCAGGGTACAATAAGATATGATATACCATCATACGATACAACTTATTATAAGAAACGTACAAAAAGACTTCACAGAACACAGCAGAATAAAAAAACAGGTCAAGGACAGAAACAACAGCACATATAAGCATACAAGTAAAAGATATCAATATGTACACATGTATGCATGTCTATACATGTGTACATATATATGTATATACACACACACACACACATATATATATATGCACATATTTAGATTGCTGGCCGTCATTTACGAATCCTGACAATAAGCAAAGATTTCAGAGGGCTGGTGCTCTCTGTAAAGCTATGGAATGCTTGACCCCGGCTGAGTATTCAGTGATGCAGGCGATGTAATCAAGCGCAGTGTAGAAGCGTAGGCCCCACGATGGGGTTGCCTCCCTCGACCTGAGCATCTCAACCGCCAAACAGCAGGGCCCGTGTTTCATCTCGAGTTCGAGTCTGGTTCGGCAGCCTGTGCGCCTGCAGAATAGAATTCCGCAAGCTGGGTGAGCATGTCTCGGTCGACCCGAAGTGAGTCGACGGTGATGACCTAGGAAGCCATTCCACAACTTGTGAGAGCAGCCCCTTACAAGCCTTATATATGTACCGCCAAAAGTCTACGTGACCCTGAAAGCAACCCTTATAACAACTCCCACCGTAACCCGAACAAGAACCTTGTAGGACCGTTATCAGCACCCTTAGACTAGCCGTTGTAGTCAGAGAGCAACCCTGAGAATAACGTGCGCCCAAACATTGAAGCAAACCTGACAGTAGCTCTTGCAACAGTTAACGTGTGGAGCAACCCTTATAGTATTCCTTGTAGTAAAGTAAACCTGACAGTATCCCTTATAATAACGTGTAGAGTACCCCGTATAGTAATCCTTATAGTAACGGGTTTCAACAATACGACCCCCTTGCCTCGCGGCCTTGCGGAGGTCCGCAGTGCGCGGATCCGGCCGGATGCTCGCAGCCTGACGGCTGGCATCGCGGCCCACAGGGCTGCAGATTGATGTGTCATATAGGGGTCGGAGAATACAGATTGAGGTGTAATATACAGTAAGGATCGAAGACTTTTGCCGTTAATCATGAAAGTTACAATAGAATGTTTCCCCAAAGCTTTTTTCTAGTTGTTAAAATTTGGGTTGGGTGGATTCAAGTCAGCATGAAGTTGATGTACACTCTTGGGGCTGCACAACTCGCATTCATAGCTTTGGATGTGGAGAAGATGTTCAAGGACTTGATGAAGGGTGCGTGTGACTTGTGACGAGCCCCCGACTGGGACACAGCTTCCGCTTGGAGTAGTTGTGAGAGTTCACGTGTGCAGGCGGTGCCTGTATGTCTACATATCTGTGTTGTTCATATGCAGACGTATGTCTAACGAAAGCAGAGCGACTCGCAGCCGAGAGCTTTGTGGGGCAGGACTTGCACGCCTAAATCGATGTCGTTGCGGTCTTGGTGTAGCTGTGTTTCAAGTTCCTTGTGTTTCCCTTGCTAGGTCTGGTGCGGCTGCTGCTGCCGCCGTGCATTGCAGTTCCCGTGTTTCTGCTGCTGTTGTTATTGATACTAGCTATAGCCGTCGCTGTCATGTTTAGTTGTTGCTGTGGTTTTTTGCAGTTTAATCAATCCACATCTTCAACAAGCCCACTGGAGGCCTGCGAGAGGGGCCGGCGATGGGTTGCTGCGCTGGCCCTGTTCGCAGAGCTCGCGGCCGCGGACGCTGACGATATCGTGTGCCTAGACGGCTACTTAATGGGTACAGCAATGTAAAGCAGTAGCAGTGGTCCAAGAAGAAGCCGCAGCAGTAGTGGAGTTACAGGTAGTAGAAGCAAACGGAGAAGTGGACGTAGAGGTAGATCATGCGTAGTCAATGCAGTAGTAGCAGTAGAAGAAGTAGTATCAGCAGCGGTCGCCGTTGTCGCAGTAGTAGTAGTAGTAGGAGGAGGAGTAGTAGAGGTAGTAGTAGTAGCAGCAGTAGTAGTAGAGGTACCAGCAGCAGTAGTGGCAGCAGCAGCATGAGGAGGAGGAGGAGGAGGAGGAGCAGTTGAGCAGTAGTAGTAGCAGTGGCAGTAGCAGTAGCAGTAGCAGCGCTTGGCAGTCTGTTATGCAAGAACCCAATACCAAAGCCTGCTAACCTGAGGGCTCTCAATGCCGTGCTGGGTGCCCTGGCTGGGCATTGGCGGCTTGCGCTTTTGCTGGCCTCTCCGAGGCTCCTTACCTCGGTCCCAACATACTATTTCAAATGGCAGCTAGTGCTTCTTGCTTGTTACTTGTATCTAGAATTGAAGAACGGGAAGCACCATCCTGCACTTGAAAACCACACAAGAGCAGATTGCTATGCCCGGGGACGGATGTGACCAGCATCCTGCCAGCTTCGAGTGTGTGAAATAGATGCCGTGTTCAAGAGTCTTCAGGCGTCAAATGCCTTCCACATTCGTCAAGGAGTGGAGTCATGTGGCAAGCCCGAGCACCGGCCCGATTTTATATCTCTAGCATAAGAATCCGACCTTCCCAGCTTCAGTCGTGACATACCTGGAAGGATGGATATGGCCATGGAGGGCACCTACCATGCAATTCTGGGCGCCGCGGCCATACATGCCGATGATGAAATCGGTGATGGTTATGATGAAGATCATGGTGCTGGTCGAGATTGTAATGGTGAAGGTGGTCGTGATGAGGACGCTCAGAAGTGGTGATGATGGTGATTGTGACGATGATGCTTGTGATGATGATGCCCATGATGACTACGACAACGGTGGTGGTGGTGGCGGTGGGGGTGGTGGAAGCGTTTCACCATTCCATTCGTCACGCTTGCGTTTGCTCCAAGTGTGGGCTCTCCCTCTCCGTCTCTCTCTTTCTTTCTGTCTCCTTCTGCGTCTGTCTGTCTGTCTCGACCACTGGCTATTGCTCCCACTCTTCTGCAGGTGTCTATCATCTTCAGGCTCCATTGCAGCTGATTTGCTGGGCTGCCAAACCACGTCGATCGCTTCAGATGCCTAAATGCCCAGTCATCCAAACATAATGGGTTGGTGTCAGCCGATACGCCCTTTTGCATGGACTGCGCTGCCTCTCCGAGTGGATAAAGCATTGCAGCGGCGGGCTTAACCTGTCCAAAAGTTCTGAGGTGCCCTGGAGACTTCGTCGCGATGGTGGCAGGCCATCCACCTATTTCATGCCACCCGGTCTTGCTGGGAGTTAGCACAGTTTTCCTTGCTGTTTGCACGGGGTTGCCACGTTTCGATATGATTCCATGCTCAAGATAGAGTGACCTTACAAAGCTGCCAACACCCAACAGCACAACTTGCGCAACCCTAAACCTTGAACCCTAGCTGCTGCCGAACGTTCAACCGAGATTCCCTGCAATGCGGGCTTCGTCCTTGCTAGGTAGGAGGGAGAAAGAACCTTACGGACTCAACAGACTCCGAACCATATGCCTCGCCAGGATTGTCCGAGTGTGAGCGCCGAAACCCTAAACGACATGCTAGGTGATATCTATTGTTGGAACTCGTATCGCTGCAGACCAAGCCAGGCTGGTCCGAGTGTGAGTGTTAAAAAAAGCCCCTGATTACACCGAAGTACTATACCATAATATATAGCCCCCCCCATGCCCCAGAATATTCTATCTGCAACCGCTGACCCGGCCGTCTGTATACTATACTGTAGTATACTATACTATATAAACCCTAAACCCTAAACCCTATACCATAAACCCTAAACCCTAAACCCTAAACCCTAATATGGTATCCCACTGAGGCCGGCCGTCGTGAAGGCCGCTGCGGCATCGTCGGGTTGAACAGCGCCTGCAGCTCACTGGAGAAGGAGCCGAAGGGAGCCGAAGGGTCCCATAAAACAGTAGAGTGCAGTATACTATGGTACTGTATGCTATATTATGGTAGGGTATAGTATACTACAGTATAGTATACTATAGACTGTATTATGGTATAGTCTAGTATGGTACAGTATAGTATCATGTGGTCTCTTTGAAGGGATACTGGGTGCAGCCCCTTCGTCTGGGAAAGGAATCGGCAGAGACCTTCGGACGTGGCTTCCCGGGGTCCCTTGCAGGCCATCAAGTGGGAGCTGGTGCTGAGCCTCTTGCAAGGTGCGGTCGTGGCTCTTCAGGGTTTGCAGTCCCTGGTATATGTTATGTGTTCAGTCACCTTTTTGGCTCTAGCGAATGCAGGGGGTTTGCAGTGTGCCTGCTTGTGAAGCAAGACATGGTATCTTTGCCAATTTGGTACCGTGCATGGCCAGAGTTGAGTATCTGGAGGCTTGTGCCGACATGCACGTCCGGTGTCAAACGATCTTGCTTGCTTGCAGGCTCCGTTGGCCGCGATGTCATCAGCTACACTGCGCTGCTCGCGGCGTGTAGCAGAGTGCCCCTACTGCAGCTTCTGCTCAGGTCACACCCCAGCAATCCTTAACCGTACGCGGCGACCCCGTGCAGAAATCTGCCAACTCCTGCAGCACTTACTAGACCCTGGGTCCCTGAAGCCTACGTAAACAGAAGAGGCAATGCGCTGGCAACAGGCCCTGGCATTCCGAGAGGTGCGCCGGATTATAAGTAAAGTAGTTGCAGTCACAGTTTCTCGGAGCCCCGATTAACTTACATGAAGCTGAACATTCTAACTTTACTACGGTAAGTAAATGTATCTGTGCCTGGATGAGCTGGCAGATGTCCAGGGCGCTCTCGGGATTCCTGCGAGTTTCTCACAGGCAGTCGAGGATTGAGCAGCAGTGACCGCCACGAAGTCAACGGCGTGACACTTTGTCCACATGCACCGAACTTCACCGAACCAAGACGGCAGGCAACTGGGCTGCTTGGAGCCGCCCTCCTGTCAGCGGCTGCACAGCTGGCAGGCCACTGCGAGCCACTTCAAGCACCGTTACCATTGAAGTGCTGTCGGGATCAGTGTTCTTCTGCCTAGGTGCGCCAGCACCCATGTGCGTGGCGCTGAGTACCCAAGCCATGCGAGATGCTGCGGGCGTCCTTATCCGAGACTTGGCCGTGTTTCGGACTTGGGCAAAAAGGCGGGTGAGTCCCTAAGATGGTCTCGTGCCTTCGTCCAGATAGGCCCCATAATCATGTCAAGCAGCAGTAGAGATTGAGCAGATAGATGTACCAAGCTGCCCTGCAAACACAGCATTGGAAACCTTGTGGCCATCCCGGCTACGCAAAGCCAGAACTTGGAAACCAGCACAGCAAAACAAGAGCTGAACGTGAAGACTTGTTCTTCATACGCGAAAGTCCAAGCTCTCAAGGAACTCACATAGCCTACCAGGTCTCCCCTGAACTTCATTAGAAGGTGAAGATGCTGAAGGTTGAAGTTTTCAACTCCTTACGACGCGTCAGGACAGCCAAGTCTGGAGGTGGCCGCTTCGCGTGGCGGTGCGCCGGAGCAGGTTGCCAGCATGTTCGGACGGTTACCAGTTGAAGGGCGGCGTATCCTCATAGCAAGAAGGGGTAGCCAGTGGCAAGAGGACGAGGAAGAGGAGAGGCCTGCCTCGATGATCGTCAGATTTTTGATGGAAATTAACCACTGCTTTCATAGAAGGCATCAGGAGTTGTTCGTCACAGAGGGAGAACGAGGGGAAGGAACTCAGCTTAGCGGCGGTGGGCGAACAGGAGTGCATAGTTGCTTCGGCCGCATCGTCTGGAGGTTGATTGAGAGTAGCTGTGTAGCTGGATGGGCTCTTGGTCGCTGGATTCCTCTGTGGAGTGTCCGGGTTCCGAGCGTTGAAAACTTAAACCCCAAACCGTACAAACACCAACCGACCATGAACACCGTGCACAGCGGCCTTGTCCGTGCGAAGTATGAGGCAACAAATGTCGCGTAAGCTCCGAGCCGTAAAAATCTCTACAACCCTCTAGGCTTGACCCACCTGCTCCCGGCCCTTGCAGGAGCGAGCTCTAGCTTTGGACCTTCTTCCGCTCGCACTGCGTTTCCGGCGAGGCGACCGGCGTCAAGTGGATTTTGAGGGCTTCAGTTTAGGCTTTGGGGAGAGGCCCGGAGCGTTCGCATTCGTCGGAGTACTGGGGGGAAAACGATTGGGTCCTGATGGTTTGTTATCCTGCAGGAGGATGCGGGCTTGCCTCCATCTCTCTCGCACTCTCGCAGTGTCAGGGCGGCTCTATGCCCTATGCCAGACGCATGGTCAAGCTCCGGCCCATCAGACTCACTGTAGCAGCACCCGTCTGAATGGCTTCTCGCCATCATACTGGCGAGGTTTTAAGCAGCCACCGCAGAGTTGCCTTCCTGAGGATGGTGCTGTACTGTGACACTGCTGCAAACCCTTAAGAGACCGTTGCAAACTAGTTGTAACGCAGGCTCTGGGAGACTTAGGAAGTAGGGTCATAAGTAAAGTAACTACAGTTATAATTACCTATACCCCCAATAAACCCTACTTACTAAGTCCCATGATCCTCCAAGTAATTACCTACAGTTATCGACCATCGAAGGAATCTTCAGCCCTAAGCCCGCTGAGACCGGTTTTGGAGGTTTCCGAGGACATCCCCGTGCGTGTGCCGAGGAGAGTGGGTACCGATGGAAAAAGATTCGATGCTGCGGGGAAAAAGCACACTTGTGCAGGGTTTTGGATTTATAGTTCCGCTTACAGGTGGTTCAGGTGACGGTGTACCACTCTCGAGTCAGCCTCGGCAGGGTTTGCCAGAAGCCTGTCTCGAGAGCCATTGCTTGCTGTTTATTCTGAAATCGCAGGAAAACCTGAGGCCGACACTAGCCCCCGCAAGGCCAAGGAACAACTCTGAAGTTTCAAGCGGCCCAATCCGGCCGTGAAGCCTCAACACATCTTCTGGCCTTGGGCATGTTGCGCGGACATGTCAATCCTGAAATCGGAGGGCTAGGTTTTGTAGCATCGAACATGGGGTCAAGAAAGCCGACTGCCGAGGCGGGATATCTTGAATGCGCTTCGCAACCTCAAGTTCCACTGCAAGGGGCAGATTCAGGCACACGTGCCTGCTAGTTTCTGGTGGCGCCAGGAGCATAGATAGATGCCACGTTCGTGTTTAGGCCACCGTGCAGAAGTGTGGCTGTATCTGACTGATGATTTCGCTTTGTATCCATGTCTGTGTCTATTGATGCGTCAATAAGGTACATGAACAACTATGGACATAATTATATGTTTATGTTTACGTCGGTGTGTGGATGCATGTGGGGATCCTCGTATGGGCATGCTTTGCATGTGCGCCCTCGAAGTTCCTGCCAGTAAATGGACATACATCATACAAGAAAAAGCCTACAGAGGCCGTGCTTGTATGTATGGGAACGGAAACGGCGGGCTGTTCCGTTAGGTGTCGTGCATAAAGTCTTGAGTCGTTTTTGGCGATGGTCAGGTCTTCCCATGCATCAAAGAAGCAAACAATGCAGCCATCTGGCAAGCTTACTTCAACTGCGCCGCGATCCCAGCTGCATTCCGAGGGAGTGGGTACTCTTTGAACCGCTTCCCCTTTTATTCGTAGTTTTCAGGTTTTCCGGGAGCCAGCCCTTCGGAGCTTACGCAAGTGAGACACTTGTCTTGCGATTTCAGTCAGGGAAGCAGTTGATGTTAGGCGGGGGGGTGCTTTGTCTTCGGAGAGATGAGGGGCGTATGGTACAACCCTAAACCCTAAACCCTTGTCCGAGACACGCCAGTGCACTTTAAAAAAAAAAAACCCTTGTCCGAGTGTGAGCGCCGAAACCCTTGCGCAACAAGAACCTCGTCTGGCTGTGTCCGAGTTGCGAGAGCGTAAACCCTAAACCCTAAACCGTGAATGCATGTCTGCAGCCGCTGGTTCGGCAGAAGGCAGTCGACTCCTTAGTCTTCCCAGGGCCGTCCTCCATCAGACGCAGAACAGTCATAGCATAAGCCCAGATGCAGTACTTCGCGAGTTCGAATTACCATGATTACGATGAGTACCACTGTTTACTACAGTTGGAATTACCATTACGACTATTACTACTAGGGTTACTACTGTTTGCTATCATTTACCATTATTGCTGTTATTACTGTTTGCTGTGGGCGACTCGCCGACCCGGGCAGCTCCGCGCGAGGCTCAAGGAGAGTCCTGCTGCGGATTCAAGGGGCCGTAATCAGAGTATCAATAGTAATAATTGTATAGCTAGTTGTGGTGGTAGTAGAAATAGTAGTAGTAGTAGTAGTAGTAGTAGTAGTAGTAGTAGTAGTCGTAGTGGTAGTGGTAGTCGTAGTGGGTAGTGGTAGTGTTAGTGGTAGCGGTAGTGATATTGGTAGTGGTAGTAGCAGCAATGATAACGGTAACCATAGTAATAATAGTCGTAATCGTAGAGAAGTAACAATAGGAATTATAGTCATTGTAGTAACTAGCAACTACCTTCATCGTAGCATCTACAGTACATGTAGTAATAGTATTAGAAATAGCGGGAGGCTTGAACCTGTAAAAGCTTCAGTGGAAGCCAGAAGGGCTTGTTGCCACAAAAATTTAAAGCCTAAACAGACTAGGTAGGAGGGAAAAGAAGCCCTGAACCCTAAGCCCTAAAGCCTATAGTACAGCTATGTCACATATCTCCCTGCTTCGCGTACCAGGCCATGCAGGAGGCAAAAAAAGCTTATAGTACCCTTATAAGTAACCCGTATAGCTCCCTTAAAGCAACCCCAGCCCCTAGCCCCTAAACCCTAAAACGCCCCTAAGGCCCTAAAGGGAACTCCAGAAAGTTGGAATATGGTTTCAGGGTAGGATACCCTATAATTTACCATAAAGGGTTTAGGATAATCATATTCCAACTTTCTGGCTTTTACCTTAAACCTTCGTTCTCTACAGGAGCTCAGGCCATGGTTGGAATTCTGCGATCTGGAAGCAGTGATTCGCCCCCTGGGCTTCCGATTTGGCGGGTGGGATTTTAGAGGGTCGAGGAGCAGCGACGAGTATAGCTACTACTATTACTACTACTACTACTACTACTACTACTACTACTATTACTACTACTACTACTACTGCTACTACTACCGGGTTTAGGGTTAAGGGTTTACGGATGAGGGTTAACGGTTTGGGGATTACGGTTAAGGGTTTAGGATTAGGGTCCCTACCCCTACTCCTACTGCTTCGGCTGCTGCTACAGCCAATTTTGCCACTGCTGCTGCTGCTGCTACTGTGGCTGCTGCTGTTTTCTGCCACTCCATTTGCTGCACAGCTCCTCCTTTTCTTCGCCATCATCGTGGCAGCACTGTCACCTGATATTCAGAACGGCACGCAAACGGTGCAACTGCAATACTGTGTGTGTACACATACCTACACACATGCATACATACATACATACATACATACATACGCATATAAACATACATACATACATATATATATATATATATATGAACTGTTCCTTCTTGTTGAGGAACTGCAAGGGAGTCTCAGCGTGTGCATCCTCGTGGTGAGAGCGCGCTGACGGGGTCAGGGGAGGCTTCAACTTCCAATTGCGGTGTCTTGGTGCCCTCACCTGGCAGGACAGTATACAGCTCGTACCAAGCAGTGAGCAGGGAAACGAAGCATCGTCTACTAGCAAAACCACCCTTTTCGCCCTAAGTTTTACATCTGAACCCCTTGGAATGATGAAGCATCTTCAAAACGAACTAGGCCATGCAGGAGGCAAAACAAACCCTAAACCCTAAAAACCCTATGCCCGAAGCCCCCCCGATCGGCTACCGAGGCTAACTTCGTTCGGGCCTTCAGCTCAAAGAGGGGAGGCTCGCGGCCCTTTGTCAGGGGAGTTGGCTTGGGGAATCAAGGGCTGCAAGTGGTCTTCTTCCCAAGTCCCAAGGGCCACGCCAAGAGCTGGTTCAGATTTCCAGGGCGCTTCCCTCCCCCCGCTAACAACTTCAAAGGACTTTTTAGGGCAGCAGGAGCCTGAGAAACCTCAACCTCCAAACTGTCCGCCACCTCCCTCAGCTTGGGCAGGCACCGGTTGCAAAATGGCTCGAAGAACAGTTATCGTCCGAACGACACTCGGCTATAAAGCATTCGAGGAGGGGGCCCGGGATGGAGCTTTCAGGGCCTGGATGGAGTTCGGGTCCGAGGCATCCGGCACCAAACTCCCCCCCACCAAGTCTGAAAGCATCCTGAGGCCTCGTAGGCTGGCGCTGCGTCTCTTGTTGTCTTTTTCAAAGACGTGAAAAAACCTCGCCGTGTCGCAGCGCCAGAAGACCCGGCAACCAGAGTCCCTGCTGACTAGAGTGAATCTCGCATATGCCCTTGACCGATTGGAACCCTAAAGCCCTAACAAGCCAGCTATGCGGAAGGCAAGAGACTCTACACCCTCGGCCCAAAATCGCTTGAGGCACCCATCCACTCAGAGTGATTGTGTTACCAAGGAGAAACCCTAAAGCCTGGTAATTAGCTGCAGTCAGTAATATGCTGACGCCAGGGAATTGTAGCAGTCACGATTTCCAGCAGGTCGTCCTAGCCTGAACCGTCCTCGGTTCGTATATAGGGGTAGACGTTATGCAGTGGTCTTCTCAGTATCCTTGTGCCCGTACCCATACGATCTGCATTTGCTTTCTCAACCTCAAGGTCCCATGCCACTTACTGGTTTGAGCAGATGGGACGTCGAGGGGAGGACGCATCTCTGAGCACAGTCACGTTATGTGTTGCTAGAGATTTGTTGCTGCCATCGTGACGATGCCTCCTAGTGCAGTCTCACTCAACAGACTCCGAACCATATACCTCGCCTGAGTGTGAGCGCCGAAACCCCGAGCCCGTCTTATCGAATCCTCATAGAACTCCTTGTAGAACCCCCCCCAGCCGAGGCAAGAGGATACAGCTTGACATGGAGCTCAGGCACCAGTCCCTGGTGACAGAGCCACCCGGCGGGCGTAGGGCGTATGGATCTGAGGACTTACGTCAACTTTGAGGTCTAATACAGGCGCCTTAATAATTAGAATAGGGTTTTGGTGCCCGCTAGAATATAGGCATAATAAGGAATCCCCAAAATAGTATAGATAATTGCTGGCCCCTATAGTACACCCCACCCTCATCCCGAATCCGGAGACCTCTTGTCTACTGTAGCAGACGACAGCCTTCCTTGATGCCCCATGCTTCAAACCAAGGCCCAAAATTCCCTAAACCCCCGACCCCTAAGTGAGTGCTGGAAACCCCAAAACCCCCTAAACCCTAAACCCCAACCCCGGTCTCACTTGTCAGATTCCGAACCAATTGCCTCGCCTGGGTTGTCCGAGTGTGCGCGCCGAAACCCCAACTCCGAATCCCCTAAACGAAGTTTTCGGTGCGACATTGCTCAGCTGGGCGGGTGGCAAAAATCCCCTAAACTTAATGTTTAGGGTTTAGGGTTCTGAACGCTTAAGACCCCTGAAGCCTCGAGGCTGCGGTCGAAGTTGAAGGAGCTGGCGCCCATCGTCGAGCCGCCTCTCCCGGCCATGGGGCCCACGCGTCCCTGGGCGGTGCTTTTGAAGGGTTTTTTGGGGTTCCTGTAAGGTTTCCTTGAAGACTTTTATAGTGGACTATAAGCTACAAGGGTACCATAAGGGATCTATAAGGGTACTAGGATCTTCGGGGGATCTGGAGGCATCTTTAGCAAGTTAAGGGATCACTCGGGATCTTAAGAAATTTTAAAGGGGGATCACGGCCGTTGAAAGGGATGTTTGAAGGCATCTTTAAGGGAATCTTGAAGGGTGTTAGGGTTTCGGGGGTTCTGGGTTTAGGAGTTTTAGGAAGATTTTGGGGGTCTAGAACGTCAAGAGTCGAAGGAGGTGGAGACCGTGCCACATAGTGTGATGCGTTTAAGGTTTTCGAATTCTGGGGTTTAGGGTTCTGTCCAGGATAGAAGCACGAGTTGGTCGCGTCACATTTTCGTGCGTCAGCCATGGGATTCGGTGGCTGATTCAGTTGACGTTGGGAGTTCTGAAGGGATGGCTTTTCGTGCTGCTTGGACTTTCAATTGCCACCAGTTGTGTTTTCACATCACAAGCCCGGGAGGATGGGTGAGAGAAGTTGCGCACCAGCCCTGGGGGAGTAAGATCCCCACCACCCCTGTGTGGCAAAACCCTAAACCCTCAACAGAAGCCGGCAAATGTAGACCCTTTCTGAACGGAGACTTCTTCGACTAAAGCGCTTTGTTTGCTCAGCTGCCGTGCTCCTGCTATCCCCTCACCCCACGCCCCGAAGACACCTGCCTGTTGATGCTTAAGACAAGATAGCACAAGGCTCCGAGCCCAGCTTCGCACCTCCGACTCTTGAAGAGAAGGAGGACGACCAGTCACTGGCGGTTGGGTTACTTGCAGTGCATACTCCGACATGCTGGGCATGCTTGAGCAGTTAATCATAGAGAATACAGAGCCGGCCGGATGCCGAACCTGATAAATGTCAGTGAGTGATGCATCGCCAGACCAGAGCGTGCCTCAACGGGTTCCTATCTTCCAGAAGGACACGTATCAGCTTAGTAGATGGGCCTCACACACCAATGTCCCACAAGCTGTCAAGCCCCACCACGTTGGGAATGATGCTGCCAAGATCTGAGGCTCAGACTGTTATCTTTACTTGTCATCGTGTCGCCTGCCATGCACAAACAGTCGTCAACTTTATGCCAGTATACATCACAAGCGGTCCCTCGAACCTTGCTGCCCTTTCCCCCATCCTCTCGCCATATGCCTCGATGGCGGAAGGAGATTAGTTTATCAACGGCGTTGAAGTCCACCGGCAACTCCTCGTCGATGCAGAGCCTTGGCTACATCTGCGAGCCGATATCGGCCACGGAGCGATGCAATCAGGGTTTAAAGTTTCTCGTTGCCTTTCATCCTCCTGATAGTTCTCCACCATAGGATCCACGAGCAGAATCCTTAGGCTGTTGAGATTGTGCAGTTCGTTTCCCGAGAGGGTTGGAACCCGAAACCCTAGCCCCAAACCCCGTGAGTTATCATTATTGTCACTACTTTGTTTGACATTATGTTTAGTATTATTTTTGTCATTACTATCATCATTGGTATTGTTGTTATTCGACTTGTTGCCATTATGATCAGTTAAAAACTACAAAGAAGCCAGCAACAGCCGCAAACCTAGAAGCCCGCAGGCTGCCAGCCCTGGACTTGCCGGGGCAGATCAGTGACCCGGAGGAGGCCCCATTTTTGACGTAATCTGTTGTAAGTTTACAGTAATCTAGCAGTATAATAATATAGTCAGATCGTCATATAGAAGTATAGTAGTATTGTCGGATACTCTTATACTAGTAGAAGGCATAAGTAGTATAGTACTGCGGGAGTATAGTATTGTCGTAGTATAGTCACATAGCGGCTTGAAAATCTACCAACCTTTTCCCTGGGGTTCCTGATTCTAGATAGGCGATAATGTATCCCCTAAGCTTAGTATTCGAAGGATTCAGGCCCCTGTATCAACCCTCTCTAGTGCCACACGGTACCCCATATAGTACCACTCATGTACCGCCACAGATCTTCTCTTGAGATGTGGTGAGGCTTTGGAGATACTCCGGGTATTCGAGCGGGAGATCTTGTTTGTAGGATCGTTGGCCCCCTCGCCTGTTGCGCTTTGCACAAGGATGCTCGGACACCCGAAAGCCGAAGGTGTACAGCTCCAGCCCTAAGCTTCAAGCATGCCTGTTTCTGCAGACGCCTGCATCTTCCCCGGTGAAGCCTCCGCTGCAGACGCTTGGCCACCGAGGGTCTTGGATTTGTCCCAGCCCACAGCCCATGGTACAAGTCTCCAGTCTGTGTGGCCTCGTCTCATCATATCCGCTCAAGCTCCCGGCCCAAACTTTCATGAATGGCTCAAAGGTGAGAACAGATCGTGTGCAGCCTTCTTTTCTTTCCCTCTTCTTGCATCTCGTGGTCATGGCCAGCTCCGCTTCGGATGTGGAGCTCCTGCTGGAGGCGGAGAGCCCGGCGGAGCGCCGCAGCTCCGCGTTCCCGCAGCGCGTGGCCTTGGCGCTGGGCTGCATGGGGCTGGTGATGGTGGGCATCCTGGCAGGCCGAGCCCGTGGCCTGCGCAGCAAGTCGGGTGCCTTCGTGGTTTTGGAGGAGGACACTGCCACGGCAGACTGCATCGAGGCGTCTACCTATTACAGCAGCCCAATCAAGATGGTTGGAACGGAGAGGACTAGTGAGATGACAATGGAAGCTTGCCAGCAGCGTTGCTTGTCAGTTGACGGTTGTGCCCACTTCACCTTCTGGCCTGATGGAGGCTGCCTCTTGACAGATGAGTCATCAGTTGCTTCCGTTGCCCCCAAGAAGTACTTGGAGACAGTATCCGGACCCCCATACTGCGGGGAGAAGCCCGCAGCAGCCGTGGGGAGCGATGTTGGGATTGACATTGAAGAAGAGGCGGTGAAGGCAAGCGTTGAGACCCCGAGCGTGGTGCCCGTGCCAGGCATCAACGGCACGACGTGCGCCAAGTACCCTGCTTGTGTGGCTCTCGGAATCGAGGAGGGGAATTGCTGCCCCAACGACGACAGCGTGGCACTTGGTTGCTGCCTGGGATTTGCAGCCGTAGTCGCAGCTCCGAAGATCGCTGCTGGGACCGAGTGCTCATCCTTTCCTGCATGCGTGACGCTCAACCTTACGGGTGCTTGCTGCCCGGCACCTGATGGCACGCGCCTGGGCTGCTGTGACTCGATCTAGACTACATCGTCCTTCTTGCACAATTCGGTGCCCTAGATTCGCGTAGGGCTGGTTGCGATGTCATATGACTTCGGGCCTGGATGCCCTTTGGCCGCGTCCTGATTTTGGCGTTTGTGTGATGGTGTCCGTCTCCAAGCCTTTCCGGCTTTTGTTTCCGATCAGGATCAGGCCAGGCCTCGCCGAGATTCTCTCGAAGCAGGGCATCTCGATGTATCTCGATGAATTGACGTCTCCTTGAGGCAGCTCTTGTCAATGCAACATCTGAAACATGCGAGGCGGTACTGCGCAAGGGTATTGGCTGTGATATTCCGGCAATGGTCAGTCGATGGGGGATGTTGTTTTCGTTTACCTTAGTCTTGTCACTCTGTTGCGGAGGTTTGTGGAGCTGTTGATGATGAGGTGGTGGCCAGATAGTGTTGACTGGAATTCTCGTGCCGATTCGGTCACTGCATTTGGGGGCATTGGAACATATTGTTTATGTCCGGAGACCATCAGCCTGTCTATGTGTTGCCGAGTCCTAAACTTAGACACTAACACGGAACTTCCTCAACTCGATCTTTGCAGCTTGAGGCGTCGAAGCAGGTCTAATTATAAAATCGTATACTGCGTTTGAAGAGTGGCCTGCAGGTTCACGGGCCACACTAAGTGCATTCGGTGTAAATGGGAACAGCAGCAGGCATGGTTGTTTGGAGATTGTTTCTCTTGCTGCCCTTATGGCTTTGATTCTTGTAAGCGGCGGCTTCTGTCAAACATCCCCACTGTTTCAACCCGCATCTTGCGTCACCGTGAACCAGAAAAAGCACCGTATCAGTGGCTGCAGAGCAAGAAAGATAAAGCCTCGCCGGCCTCACACGAGCCTCCACAAGACCCTTTCGATATTTCCGATCCCAGCGTTTGAACCTCAGCAGGTCCATCGATCGGAAAGCTACGGACGCACTTTCGATCAAACTAGGAATCCGAGACAAAAACATGGCAGCCTCAAGCAAGGCTCCAGGCTTCATGAGTCCCTGCTAAGCTAAGCCTAAGAAAGAAGCCGCCCTTTGACCGAACAACGGCCGAGGACCGGCATGAGCTCTCAGTCGATGGCCCGGGCCTAAAAAATCCTCAGAAGCTGCCCGGAGACTCCAATATGCCAATATCTGTATCCCTTGATTGGGGAATATACCTTAAATCATATTTAGGGATCCTACAAAAATTATGCTCTATTCCTTATTGTTAAGGGATGTTGGAGTCGCTGGGTGCTTCAGGAAGAAAAACCGTCTAACCCTAAACCCCATGCGGTTAAAAAGCCCTTAGGCGGCGAAGCCATGCCCCTCCAAAAACACAGCCAAAGCCCGAACATCATACCTGAAACTTCTTCAAGCTGGGACCCTGCCGTAGGATAGCAGGAGTTACCCCTTGGTGAGAACACCCATGTAATTGGACAGGTTGCAGCCATGATAACGTTTGATCTGCATTCTCATTCCCATACCAAACCTGATTCGAAGTTTTGCGGCGTCTCTGTGCAGTGCATTCCGTGTGGAATCGCGTCGAAAGCCCAAACCCTTCTAACTTAACTCCTGAAATCAGATTAGGGGCACCTTGTTTCCGTGTCCTGTGGTAAACCCAGAACTTCGTCGCCTTTAAGGCGTCTGACGGCAGCCACGCGGCGCCGGACTCTCCGACATCGGCGGGTCCCGATGACAGCCAAAAGGGCCGCAGGAGAGACGCAGTAAACGAACCTGGGGGCTCGGGGATGGTCCCATGGATTCTTGAGGCATTCTACTGGCGGAGTTGATCTCCTTTTTCCGAGGCTACCAAGACTTGAGCTCCAGAGGATCTGACCATTCTGTAAGCACCTGAATTGGGCTAGGAGAAGCCTGGAACTAGTTCGTGTGAAGATCCGGCCGTAGGCGGCGTGTAACCCATGCATCCTCACAGTCCGTGGAAGCAAAGCCCTCTCAAACTCCGCCAGCTCGGAAGGAACAGCCTGAACAAGTACAAGTTCAAGGGGATGACCATGTCACGCACCATCAAGGCCGCCACTTGGCTGCCTTCAGCCTTTGCGGAAACAGAGCGGTTCTTGGTGACAGCAGCATGCCAGAGGGAGCAGGGGCGACGCTGAGAGACCATAGTGAGCAATCGGCTGGCTCTGACACGCTTTTTTCAGAGACCTACACGAGAAACATCCCACCCTAGAGTGGCAGCGAGAATTTGTGCAGACTGCAGACACCGAGGACATGCCAGCTTTTGCCATCAGAGAGGAGGAAAAGATTGACCACTGGCTTGGACGTGCGCTGTCTGATTTGGCACTTGACACCCCGGGAATAGAGGTCATCTTACCGAAAGATGCAGACAAGTGGCAGCGATGCCGGTGGTTCGCAAAGTGGTACGGAAAGCACCCTCCGAGGCACCACCATCTCAAGTCGTGTGCGCTTGCAGATTCCCCAATATGGGGGTTTCCGAGAATAGGGGACCCCAATATAGTACCCTAAATAGTAGGATCCCCATTATAAGGACCACAAAAGAAGGTGCCTAATTGTCGGAAGCTCCCAGATCTGGACCGAATCCTTGACCTCGACCTCTAACTTGTGGCCCAGGCTTCCACCCCACGGAGCTTGTGCCCTTGCTGCATGGAGAAAAGGCGGTCAACAGACGTCGCGAGTATGTCTGCGTGCTTCTGGTTTCAGAGTGGCTCACCTCTGCATACAAAGGCTGCAAGCTTGGGAGGTTGAACCGGATGAGAACTGGAAGCTTTATGTTGTGCCCCCCGAAACATAGCTGCAACTACTGCCTCTGTCCCAGGTGAGATCGTCGTGGTTCGAAACATCGATGTGCCACTTGAAGACACAACTTCCGAGCCTGCTGGGGAGGGCTCTGGGTACGGGTCTGCACGGTAGCCCTGAGAAGTAGCACCTTTGCTCTCGAGCCGGCAAAGGCATCCTCATCGTTTTGAACATGGTCGTCATGGCCGTGCAGGCCTTCTCGCCTTAAGCGTGCTTAGTTCAGGGTCTGGGGTTTAAGATGTCCAGTGATAGCAGTCGTTGTCGTAGGGACGGTGGTGGTGTTGTTTGTGGAGTGGTGGCTGTTGAGGTGTTTGATCTACGTCGTGTCGACTTCTCGATTGGGCCGATCGACATTGCTCGCTTCCTTGATCGATGGGTCGGTTGCTCGACGGCCTTGTGCCGTCATTGTGGTCATCCTCGTCAGCATCACGAAACTCGTTTCCTTTGTCAAAGCAAGTGCCAGCATCAGCATGAGTAGCATATCTTCATACCATTGTTTTCTCCCTTTTTCGACTGCAGGTGGGTTTGCATCTCATTTTAGCATCACTTTCCTTCTGACCCTTCATCTCCATGCGACGAACTAAGCCTTGAACACCCCGTCGTATGCAGCGCGATGGGACGACATGGCCGCCAGGGTAAACTCGGATCAAGACTTCAAGATGAAGTTGTTCTTGGGGGCTAGGGGCTCTGACAGTACTAGTAAGAATAATAAGAATGATAATATTAATCATAATAGTAATAGTAATAATTGTAATCGCAGTTAGTAATAGTAGTAGTAGTAATAATAATAAGAGTAATGGCAAGCTTGGTTCGGATTCTACGGGCCTGGGTCATATCTTCAACAGCTCGGGTGTCGGAGTCTGCAACATCTCAGGTGGGCGGACGGTGCCCCGACTTAACCCGCCAATGAAGGAGCCCTGTCGTGAGCAGCCGTAACCGCAGGTGCAGTACCATGGTCTCGAGACGGGACATACCTTGGCCGCTGGGCCAAACTTTGAGCATCGGGCACGCCTTCTCTTCTACAGCCGAAGGTCAAAAGCTTGGTAAACTTCTTCTCCTACTTGCTTACTGCTTTCCTTTGTATCGACTCTTTCCAGATCGTGGAGGTTCTTGGAGCACGGAGAGGTTGAGGTGCGGAGGAGTGAGGGAGGAGAGACCAGGTCTTCGAGATTTTTCACTTCAGAAGTGCTTGACCTATGGGAGCTTCCGAAAATTAGGGGTACCTTCTTTCGGGGTCCTTGCAATAGGGAACCTACTATTTAGGATGCTATATTAGGGTCCCCGATCTTCGGAAGCTCCCATATTGCAGACATGTGAGATTCCAGCCCAGACCATCCCACGAAGTCACCTTTGTCGTAGTTGGGTAACATTTTACATGTTTATGGGTACTTAAACCCAATAAGGAATAAAAAAGGTACATTTTTAATCCTATCCCAACATTGAACTAGTCACGTTCCTGCTCAGGGCTTCGGGCTACAAGTCCTCCTAAACGCTCATTACGGGGGCCTTCCGACCGAACAGCCTCGCCTTCAGATTCCGAGCTGCGAGAGTTCAAATTTTGAACTCTAACTCTAAACCCTCAAAAGTAGACCCTGAACGGCAGGGACGAAGCCCGCATTGCAGGGTACTTGGTTGAACATCGGATGGCTTTGATCATGGAGTTCAGGGCCTAGCAGGAAAAAAAAGACCCTGAACTCCATGATCAAAGCCATCCGATGTTCAACCAAGTACCCTGCAATGCGGGCTTCGTCCCTGCCAGGTAGGAGGGAAAAAAGACCCTGAACCCTAAACCCTCAGCAGCTCTGAGCTTGAACCCTTCTGAGGATTTCCCTGGCTATGACACCGCAGCCTCAAATCTGTGGCCAGGGGTGCGGCTGGCGAAGTTTGTCACAAGTTGACGGTTTAGTGTTGGGGTTCAGTGAGTTTGAGAGCCTTTATGGCAAAGATGGTAAACAGTCATGCAGGAACCTGATTACGAAACCCTGCGCCTGTAACCCCCAACCCTAATACAGGCCCAAGGTTAACGTGTCCGAAACCCTGGCTCTAAACAGCAAGCCCTAAGCTCAACATGATCACGCTAATAGTAACTAATAGTCCTAGTAATAATAACCGTAATAATAATAGCAATAGTGGTAGTAATAAGAATAGTAACAATAGTTAAATCAAGCCCTCTGCCGAAAGAAGTTTCAAGACACAGGCAGAGACGGCCTTTCGAGCGACCGAGCAGCCATGGCTGCAAGTGATGAGAAGGAGACCCGAAACCCGATACCCGAATGGAGGGTTCCTTTAAAAGGGTCTATAAATCTTACTATAAGGGATCTATAAGGGTACCCTAATATAGGGGGCTTAGTAATTAGAATAGGGCGTTGGGGCCCATTATACTATAATTATTAGGCAATTATTTAGTAAGGCCCCTATAGTAAACCCCTTCGCTTGGACTGTCTTGAGGCCACTAATATGCGGAGTATCTTGCAGTAGAAGTACCAGCAGGCAGGCAATTTGCAATTATTCAAGTTTTTATATTAAAGAGGCGGCACATCCGTTCGCATTCGTATTTAGGCATTAAGGCACCCTCGGCAGTTTGATGTGCTGTTCCTTACAGTTGAGTGCATTGGGCTCTTTGGGAGGTACAATAGCCCCCAAAACCTAACCGTAAACCGATTGCCGTGATCTGCGTGCCTAAGGGCCGCGGATTGCCACTTCTCAAGTTGTAAAAGGGGGCTCGGAGTAATTAGGAAGAGTGTTCCCTCGTAGTCCGCATATGTTCGTCAAAAACCGCAATTCAAGGATTAAGGCCTCTATAGTAGGCCCACCAAAGGAGACTGGAAGAGATCCTGCGCAAACAAACATCAGAAGGCGTCGTGGTAGCTTCGGGCTGTGGGGAGAAAGCCAATGAAACCCTAAACCCTAAAACCCCGAGTCCGAGTTGCGATTGTTCAAACCCTAAAACCCTTAACCCTAATCCCTTAAACCGTAAACCCCAAAATACGAATGAACGTGGTGGACCTCGCGTATGAACCTTATCAGGGCTGGCTCCGAGCGTTGAAGTGCAAAGGGTGTTTGTATGCCTCAGAAAGAGCCCCAGAAGCTGAACTGAGGTGGGTGTTCGGAGTGTGCTTTTTTGTGGAGAGCCTTGGCATGTTGTCTTGGGCAGTTGGTGGGATTTGGGTCGGCTTCTGAGGCTGTTGGCGAGGTTTTTAAGACGGTGATTCATCGAGGTTACGGGATGTGTCCGCTTGAGGGGAGTTTTGTGGCTACAGTCTATTTGGGGCCCTGATGTGGTCTCGCGTCTGCTCGGCCAAGGATCATCATCAGAATCTTCGGATGGGGACTGTTTCTTGGATGAAGTCGCAACTCCTGACTTCGGAAGTGGCTTGCAGGCTGAGCATGGTCTACCCATGCACATTGCTCTTGCTGTTGCCACTATGGACACCCTGGCCCCTCCTCTCACCAGACCAGACCCCTGGATGCCACCGAGGGCTTTTCCTTTCGATTTCTGGAATTGGTTCGATGCGGCTATGGTCCTGCTGTGGCTCCTCAGTGAGACCGCTTTCTCGGAAACCTGGCTACCATGGATGTGATTTACATAGACTGGGACCTTCTCGCTGCATTCCACCTTCAAGATGCATCACCTAGGAGTTTGAAACCGGGCTTGTGCGGCATGAAATCCTTGAAACTAATTCCCCTCCTTTTGTGTGTCACGTGTGTAGCTGACTATCACCGGTCGGTTTCTTTAGTTTCATTTGCTCCCATCCCAATCAGCCGACTGAGTAGGGATGTGGAGGTGCACAGGCTTTGAGCTCAGAGTGATTGTGCTGCCAAATTCTTCTGCTTTGCACATCGTTTCGGGCTGGACTCAGTCACCCTCGCCAACTTCCCCACTTGGTCAGGGAAAATGTCTCAAATATCGAAGCCCCGAACGCCACCCTAAACCCTAAACTTAAACCCCACACTGACGCTGCATTCAGAATTTGGACGACCGGGTCCTCCGCCTGGCTCGCACAGCGCGACTACTCCGCTGCTTGTCTTGGAATAAGCTTTCGTCTGTGTGTTGATAGTTGCACTAAGATTTTGGGGAAAGATGTTTTTGTCCTCCAATAACATATTGGGGGAAAGATACTTTTCCCCAATATGTTAGTGCTCTCGTCGTAGTGTGCGGCAGCATTGGCGGCGGTGGTGGTGGCGGTGGTCGTCGTCGTCGTCGATACCGTTGTAGTGCATTGGAAACCGTGAACGTGAAGGTCTTGGGCCGGCCACTAGCGCCCGATGACAATTCTTCGAAGAGGGCATGCGCAAAGCGTTGCCCGGGTAAACAGACGCCTTGCTCGCGGTCCGATGCGCTGTGACTGTGCATTGAACCGCCAACATACATGAAACAGTACCAACCTGGCGCATTACAGTCTCGTGTTCGTTTGGGTAATAACACGCCGCAGTAAGAATACTAGTTTTCCTTTGGGTAATAACAAGCCCGACACTTGGTACAATCCAAGTACTGAGCGAAACTGTTGCTGAGGATCCGAACGTACGGCAGCAACACACATTGACTGAGAAGGCATCGCGAAAATTACTTACTATGGTACTTTCTTATCTTCTGAAACTCGCAGGGTTGCTGACGTGGGCCTACTGTTGTCAAGCATCGTCACAGCCCTGGCAGCCTGTAACGATGTTGAGCATGACGGCACGCTTGGTCACGCTGCTGTGCTTGAAGACGCAAAGCAAGTACCACCACGACTGCCAACCGAATTGACTTGACAACACTTTTTGTACCAACCCTCTAAGCAGTGCAAGAAAAGCTCCTGACTGGGTGAGGTTTGGTCCGTGTGATCCGCATGATCCATGGCTCCTTGGCAGGGTTTTGGTCCACAGTATACGGCCTAGTGTTTAGGCTGCATGCGATGTCCTGCGTCGGTGTCTTGGACATATTATGGACGTAGTTGCTGGAAGAACCCGCCGCACTGCCGAAACCTCGCTTTGAGCAACTGGGTCTCTGCGCGTCGGCGTATCCATTCAGCTTCGCCAGGCTGTGCCGCACTTTAGCGCTACCCCGACCCGAAGCCCGTAAGCAAAGCCCCTAAGCTGGTTTCGGGAGCTCACGATTCCAAGCCGACCTATTCTGCATGAGCTGACACCGTTCACGCGGCACTCTTCAAGCTATCCTTACTGAACTCATCCCATGCAGGTTTCGACTCGCTGTACTTGATGATGACGGCGATGAGGGGAAGTGTGGTTCCTCGCTTGATTTGGGACTTGCGGGGAGGTGTGGGGTCTAAGTAGTGGTTGCCACCTAAGTGGGTTAGTTGACGTTAGTTGCATTTGTCAGGCTTGGTCTTGGCATCCCGTTTCTTGTATCCGCAAGCCTTCACACCTCAGTCCCTGAGACTGTCACGAACCCTGCGGCCGGAGTAGGGTCCGCTGGAGCTTTGTGGACCCCGACACAGTTTGAACTTTGATCTCGTGGACTTCCGAAGCCTCAACAGCAAGCCAGAGTTTGCTTTGATACCATCCCTTCAACTTCGAGCCGGAAGGACATGCTCACAGAGAGAGACACGGCTCGGTCCCAGTAGGCCGAGCCCAAGCCCCCGAACAGGCCCTTTAAGGGTAAATGGTAGGGCATCCTTATTCCCTTTCTTGACTCCAAGAACCTTTGGTGAGTCCTTCTACTCCAAAACCACAGACCAAAGTCCTAAGCCCCACGAGGCCGTGCTCTTCTGGTCCTTCATTCTGTTGCTGGTAGCGCAACCATGGCTTCGATATGCTTCAGATTTCAGGATGGGAGACATTTCTTGCCACAGAGACCAGTACCCCCTACGATTTCAGGCTCCTGAGGAGTATGCCGTCAACGAAGCAGTGATGTTCATCATGACTCAAGGTGTGTAGCCCATGATTATCATCCCTTAATTAAGCCCTAACAGCTCCGAAGATCAGTCCTATACGACCCCCTTTCTCACGATGTAGTGCAAGATCTAAAGTAGCACCCCAAGCCTCTTCTAAGCGATCCGTCCCTTGGCTTGCCGTGGCTGGGCCTAGGATTTTCAGAATTTGTTGGGTTTGAGGGCTTTTTTATGGTACTGCCATGTAATCTGCCACTATTTCGTGATGAAGCCCCGCTTTTTTCGGAGACATGGAGACGGCCTCCAGAAGTTTCCATGCTTGGTGGTGAATCAACTCCACCCATGCCCAGGCAGATTATGATTGCTTTCCTCTTGAATGCGACTTGGCTGTGCCGAGCTTCTGTTCGTTGCTGCCACAGCTGCCACACTGTGTATGCCCCTGAAGCATGCCAACACAAGGTTTCAGACTGTGGTAAACGCCGTTGCCTAAGGAAGTCTTGAGCGCCACCTACTTGGCAGATGAGCATCTTGACAAAAGCTTGCTCAGTTTAGATGGGTGAACTCGAGATTCCGAGCTGCTCTCGAAGCCCCAGCTCCCAAAGCAGAGCAGACGGGCGTGATGCATGAAAATGGCATGCAAGCACAACGTCAAGCTACCTCAGAAGCCAAGCCAACGCATAATACCAGGTTGATCCGCTTTAGCTCCGGTGTCAGATGTTTTGTGGCCCCAAGCCTCTGCTCCCAAGCTCGCTGGGTCAACTGCCCCGCAAGGGTTACGTTCAAGGGCTACTACAAGGGCTACTAGAGAAGGGTCTTCGGGTTCCTTGAAGGGATCTATCAGAGTTTCTATGAGGGTACTCCTAATCGTTGCATCTTCAGTGTTTCCAGGCCTTAAATCCTGAACACCCAGCATTACAGCCGAAAGCCTTTTGGTAGTTCTCTAAATGAGGGTCCCGCATAGGGCCCGTTTAAGAAGGGTGCCGTACTATGTTTGGTATCTAAACAGGGAGCTTAATTCTAGAGAACTATCCTTTTGTCTTATCTGAGGAATGCCCCCAAGGAGGACCGGCAGCGAGTCTTTGCCTACTTCGGCACCTGCTCCAGGGCGATCCTAAGCATGTTCGAGCTGCTTGGAAAATAGTACAGAAGCCTGAGTTTTGAATGATTACCTAGATTATTCCTGCGGGGTTCCGTCTGCACTATTATACTAGAACATGCTCCGAAGCCCTATTCTGATCAATAAGGTTTCCAGAGTACTTGGTATTGTCGCGCAACAGGGGGCTTCCATAATGAATCCTGAACTGCAGCTGCTGTGTGTCATGTCGGCTTGCGATCGAACCATAAACCTGATTCGTTAGGGGGAAGATCCGGTTCGCCAAGCTGTAAGTGTCGCATGCCTGGAGCGAGCAGTTTCGCTTCTAGACGGAGCCCTCCGAATTTGATGCACTGCTTGAAATTTCAGGGAGTTTGTCGCACCAAATGCCGGTGGAAATCATGCCAGCGGGCTCGAGCCAAGGTACAACTCGTGAACGGAGAGTAAAATAGGAGAAAATTGCACGATAACTACACTTCAAGGGAATGTCATCTTGCTCACTATATAAGAGGTCTCAATAAGGGGTAATTTACACTAAATTACAGGTCCTGGGTAGTTAGTACTGGCACTCGCATTCCAGTCTTGTTCCTTTCTCATGATTAGGAGATATTACAACCGGAAGCCTTCTTTGATTCGTCAAAGGCCCCAGTAAGAGCTGATGAGGATCTAGGATGAGCTCGACCCCTCCGCCCCGGCTCGAGATGAGAGTCGAACTTTCCTTCGGGCCCGAGGCCCCAGAAAGTTGAGGAAGACCGAACCCCGAAATCCGAAGCCACGAAACCTGTAAACCCCTGAACCCTAAACCTTGAAACTCCGTCATGCGGGTGTGCGAGTCGAAGCCCTAACTTTTTTAGCCCTAAGTCCCAGGCACCAGAGACCTGCCACCAAAAGCTTTGAACTCTTGGATGTCTGCTCTTGGCTCTACCCAAAGTGCAGAAAGAACGGAGCCCTAAATTAGAACATCTAGACATAGGGGCCCGAATAATTAGAATGGGTTCTGGCATTCATTTTTAGTATACTTCTATATAGATGGTAGGGGATACCATGGTCAGTTACTCACCGGCTTCTACGTTGCAACCGTGTCCGAAGGTTGACCTTGGGCAACTGGCCGGAGATTGCCAGGACTCCTCTCTCAAACTTTGCGGTCTGAGGTTTGGTGTTTGCAGGGCTTGTGATCGTAATCGGGCTTGGGAGTGCAGCAAGAACGAGATGATGGCTTCGAGGGCCTTAGATTCGTGCCGAGGTGAGGTATTTGGGTTGGCCTTAAGCGTCACACCCATCAGAATTCCGGGTTTCGGATTTGGGAGGAGATATCTTTGCACCGGTGTCCAGGCTGGTTTTCAACTGAGACGATTGGCATTCACACACATCCTGCCGAATTCGCCGCAGAGACAACCGCGAAGATGTTGATGGTATGCTGATTTCAAGTATATGAGCTTCCAGAAGCCAATCTGCCTGCCCTAAACTCTAGACTCCCAAAGAAAACCGCAAAAGAAACGTACCTAGCCTCCTGAAACTTTGAAACCAAGCCACTTAATCTCAGGATTCTCCAGGACAAGGTGAGCGAGTGGTATTTCTTGTTCTCTATTGCTCACAAAGTGACAATCGGCTTCGCAGTGATCGGCGTCATCAATGGCGTGTTCATGCAGGACCGACGCAGAACAAGACTTGGCTAGGACTCTACATCAAGGGTCCCTTTTCGGACCCCCACGGGACGTCACTCTACTGCATTAAAGTTAGAAGTCGCACGTTCTGGGAAGACACGAAGTCCACTGGAACCTGTACCTGCTGATAACTAGATCTAAAACGTAGCTGTGTCCCGGATGGATAGCGCGACAGTCTGCACCGTTAAGATAGAGACTGGGTTGATTAGGGATGATTCCGGGCTTGGAAGCCGTAAATGCGAATGCCCCAAGCTATGGTCCTGCAGCGCGAAGCCACGGTTGGGGCAGGAGACCTTCAAGGTCGCAGGCTCGGATGACAAGATCATGATGCGCCAGCGAGCCGCTCGGCATCTTGAAGATTCGGGAAATGCATGATATTTCCAGAGGCATGGAAAAGCGTGGTGTAGACTTTGAGTTCCAGCGTAGCTTCCCGCTCTGTGCTTTGGATGCAGAGCTGCCAAAGCCAGCCGAGAGCATGATGAGGGCTTCGCGCCATCTTGCAACCGCAGAAAGCCTTGAATGCGACTTACTCCGGCACGATTTGGCTACAGTTTGGGGCTTTGAACACGACTCACTTCAGCACGGTTAGGCTATGGTTTGGGCGAAGCTGCAGAGAAGGAGCCAACCAAATCACTAGTCGCAGACACAGGAGCGAGAAAGAAGGCTCCACACAAAGAAGATGAAGGTGCTGCAACCTGCCTGCAGCATAAGCTTACGGGGCACTGCAGGGCCTCGCTGGTCCGCATTGCACATTAAGGGTGCAGTTCTGGCGGTTCAAGTCTGAGATTCTCACTGCCAGGACCCTGAACCCTTTCCCCTCAGCGCCTGATTTGATTCGATGCACCCTGTTCGTGCACGGCATGACTACTACTGGCGAAGTTGGCCTGTTGGGGTTGAGGGTTACCCTGTGGCACTATACCGATGTTTGTGGATCCGGATCTCAAAGCTGCGCATTGCTTCGAGTTCTTGAGCCTTTTGAGTTTTTCCGGCTTGCATAGCAGAAGTTTCAGATCTGGTGTGGTGCTGAAGCAGATCAGTTCGGGTATGTTGGGGTTGAGAGTTCCGCCAGGCAGTCAAACAGCCTGCACATGCGACTTAGAGTCTCAGATGACACAAGAATAGACCTGCAGGCGCGCATGCAAATAGGGGCATGCGCATGCCTGTAGCTGGATTTGTGTAAGGAACTGGATCAACAAGTTCAAATCATGCACAGATCTACATATCTACAAGAAAAAGGACATGTGGGAGCTTCATAGCCGGAAATGGCATAACAAGCAGCAGCCCAGGTTCGAACACGCCGATGAGTCCGGGGATGGCGTTCTGGATATCGATGCCAGCGGCCCAGTAACTTTTCATAAGCTTTGTCTGTCCATTGCCACTGTTTAGCCCTATTTGCCATCCACTGATCCATATGTCTGCCTGTCGTCTATCCTCTGTGAGTATGGTTCTCAGATCTCTCACGAAGGTCTGGTTTTGAGCACGCAGGCATATATCTTCGTATATGCACTGGGGGACGTAATTACCACATGCACATAATCAGTACGACGCACGTGCAGGTGTGTCGTGTGCATGCACATGCATGTGCAGACCGGTATAGACTTGCATCTACAATCAACAAGCCCTGCTGAGTAGCGAGAGAAGAGTGTGCGAGAGAGTGCAAGGAAGAGAGAGTGACAGAGAGAGAGAGAGAGAGAGAGAGGTAATCCAGCGAGAGCGAGAGTGAGAGAGGGCGAGTCAAGGGGAATGCCCTTGGCCCATGCCCTTGAGCAACGCAAAGCAAGACTGAGCGCTGTGGGACGAGCTTTTTGCAGACGAGCCAGAGAGAGTAGTGAGTAGTGTTTCTGTCTATCTCCGGCACGACGTGACTCCCATCCCCTCTGTATGTGATATGTGTATACATGTTGGCACATACATGGCTTTCTCAGACTCGGGGGGCTACTGGAAATAAAGCGCACACACACACACACACACACGCACGTGTTGCCCTTCCAGGAGTTCCGCCAAGTGATGAAGAATCAATCAGTGCGTACCTGGCTCGCCGCGCAGGACCTGCACATGAGCAGCCTGCCTGAAAAGCACAGGGGTGTTCAAGGTTGCACGTGCTGTATGTGGGAGTGTTTCCGGTGATGAACAGATTCTTCTTCCTGTTTCAAAGACATCTTAACCTCAAGTAAGACGGCCGTTCTTGACGTGATGTCGACTTTGTGGCGAAAGGTGTATCCGCCTATACCTGACCCTTAAATTCCAAAAATCGCCATAGTGTAGCCTTCAAGTCTACGTGCTGAAAGCGAGAGTCCAAGTTCCGAAAGCCACGCGAAAACTGGCGCCCAGATACACCCGAAGCCAGCGACCAGCTCTTTCGGTGGCTTGGCCTTTCTTTGGGTTTGTGTTCGGTTTAGGGTTTCCTTGATTCAGACTGAGGCCTTGGCTGTAGAAAAAAAGGGGTTTAGGGTTCAATCGGGGTTCGTTTTGTTAGTGTAATACCTATAGTCTCCATTGTAGTTCCTTTTTTTGGTTTAGCCAATTTTATATTAAGGATCCTAAAAGGTAACCCCCAAAAGGAACTACAATGGAGACTATAGGTAGGCCCTGGAGGCGAGTTGAAAGTAGGAGTTCGGGGCCTCTGCCTGCCTCATGCCCAGGTTCTCCGTGACTTTCGAAGTCACCTCGTGTTGTGGGAGTTTCCGAGAATGGGGGGTACTTTATTTAGGGGTCCTTATAAGGATCCTACTATTTAGTGTTGAGGGCTCCTTATAAGGATCCTACTATTTAGGGTACTGTATTAGGGTCCCCTATTTTCTAGAACCCCCCTGTCAGGCTGCTGGACGATGGGGATGCGGCTCTCACGGCCCAAGAGCTGGTGGAGGGTGTGGCACGGCTGAAAGGCCGCGGAAGTGAGAGTCGGGAACAGGAAACAGGGCCTCCAGCATGAGCTTGCGGCTAGCTGCTCAGTCACGACCGCTGCTGTGGCTGTAGCCGAATCCATCAAAGAAACCCTGACAAACGAACGCTTAATCTAATCAACGTTATCCGCTTTCACTTTTTAATTTTATCATCTGAAGCCTCAACATATGAGCCAGCGAGCAACCCCACGGTCACCGAGTTCTGCAACTCATGAATCCACAGCCCTGTCCTCCTTTTGCGGGGTAAGCTCGCAGCCGCACCCATCCGTTGCAGAGCCTCTTTCGGAGTTTCGGATTTTCGGGAGTGGTTACGATGGTGACGACAAAACTGATGACGGAGCAGGTGGGGCTAGCCGAGTAACCAGGGTCCAGTTGACAAGGATTCTGGCCATCTACGCCGGGGCTCGTGTGACCAACCTTTCCAGTTAATCCGAAGGCATGCACCATTTGTCCCGAGAGGCATTCAGGACCTGCTTTTGTGTAGTGTAGTGCTAGTAGATAGTTAGTGAGACTAATATCCGTATACTTAAATAGATAGACGACTAGATTAAGAACTACATGTACGTATGGACATATGCATATACAGTTATGCATAGGCATCGGCATAGCTGCATCTCGGATACCTCGAGTGCGGAATGCCCGCCACATCCCGTCGCTTCCTTCGTCCAGGGATTACGTCAGAGATGGTCTTTGGGCATCCAAGAAACACAACAGAATACACACGTTGTCTTCATCATGGTGCAGGGCCAGGCGCAGGTGTCATTCACAATCTAGTGATGCTGGGAGCCAAAGAGCGAAGGCATTCCAGATGGGCCACGGAAGAGCCTTCAGGAGACCCTAGCCCAAGAGCACCCCGTGGACACCCTGAATAGCAGCGAGCTGCCGGATGCCATGGCGCCGTGCGGTGTCAAACACGTGTGGAGCACTCAATGGGCTTTCCTGGCGGAGCTCCAGAACGGTGAATTCTTGGCTTGGGGGCAGGAGGGCTGTGGAGGTAACATTGCTGCGGTGAAGGCGTCCTTGGAGAAAGTTGGAGTGAAAAACGTGTGGAGCACTGGCAGGGCTTTCCTGGTGGAACTCCAGAACGGTGAAATCGTCGCTTGCGGGGAGGCTTGGGGAGACAGAGACTACGGAGGTGACATTGCCGCAGTGAAGCCATCCTTGGAGAAAGCAGGAGTGAGACGCGTGTGGAGCACCGGTTATGCTTTCCTCGCCGAACTCCAGAACGCCGAATGCGTGGCTTGGGGGCACAGCACCCGAGGAGGTGACATTGGCGCGGTGAAGGTTTGCTTGGAGAAAGATGGAGTGAAACGCGTGTGGAGCACTTTGTACGCCTTCCTGGCTGAACTCCAGAACGGTGAATACGTGGCTTGGGGGCTAAAGGACCACGGAGGTGACCTTGACGCGAAGACGAAGGCATCCTTGGAGAACGTTGGAGTGAAATACGTGTGGAGTACTGCTGGTGCCTTCCTGGCCGAACTCCAGAGCGGTGAATTCGCCGCTTGGGGGCACAATGGCTATGGAGCTGACATCGGCGCGGTGAAGCCTTCCTTGGAGAGTGGAGTGAAACACGTGTGGAACACCAATGATACCTTCCTCGCCGAACTCCAGAGCGGTGAATTCGTCGCTTGGGGGGACAAGTCAAAAGCTTGGGGGCACAAGTCAAGAGGAGCTGGCATCGACAGGGTGAAGGTTGCCTTAAAGAAAAAGGAGTGAAACACGTGTGGAATTGGACTAAAGGTGCCTTCCGCGCCAAACTCCAGAGCGGTGAATTCGTGGAAATCGTGGCTGGGAGGAGCAAGTACCGCGCAGTTTACACCGTGAAGGAATCCTTGGAGATGGCCGGAGTGAAACGCGTGTGGAGCACTCACGGTGCATTCCTGGCTGAACTCCAGAACGGTGAATTCGTGGCTTGGGGGGACAAGTCAGGAGGAGCTGGCATCGGCGAGGTGAGGCCTTGCTTGGAGAAAGCAGGAGTGAAACGCGTGTGGAGCACTTACTATGCCTTCCTCGCAGAACTCCAGTCTGGCGAGTGCGTATCTTGGGGGCTAAAGGACCATGGAGGTGTTTGGAGCAAGGGGAACTGGGGAGGTAACCTGGGCGCGGTGAAAGCCTTGCTGAACAGAAAGGCGCAAGGCTCGCCCTGCGCGGCCGTGGCCGCCCTCCGCGACAAGTGAAAGGCTGAGAGCCCGGGGCCTTGGCGAAGGGCGCAAAAGCAGATGTAGCGGTGAGAAATGCCTGAAGATCCATTCTAATCAAATCTTGTTCTTCGATGCCAGCCGAGCCTGCCCGGAATACCTGCTGGCATACCAAAAGGGTATGACCAGCAGGCATGTCCTTGCAAGGGTGTCTTGCGGGTGCATGCCCAAGGCAGCACGTCAAGGAGGGCGCGGTTTGGGGGTTGAGATGAAAAGTATCACCCTGTGGATCGACGATCCGTCCTTGATCTTCTTAGTGTAGCTGAACCTCCGCTTTTGAGTCGCTCTAGAAGCGATGTGTTTCACACGTTCTCCGAGTTCGTATAGGCGACTTTGTCAGCAAGCGGGGCACGGATTTGTTCGTCCCCCGTGAGCGCCAGGGCTCTTAAGAGCCTGTAAACAGGCTAGACTCTCGCACCTCGGCAACTTTTGGTATAGACTGGCCCGAGCGAGCTTGCAGCTTCTCGCGCCACATCAGGTCAGGCGATCATTCCGTGACCCTGCCCCAAGGGGCAAAAGATCACTGAATCGCCTCGCCCTGTGCTGTACATGTTGAGTGTGTTGAGGTTTTGCTGCTCCTTCTGCTAGTGCCAAAGTTACCGTCAGCTGCTATTGATATTGGTACTTCACTGCTGGTGCGTACTACTTCTACCGTATGCGACATCAATGCCTTGCTGTGAGCCTGCTGCTGGCACGACCAGTTGCACGACAACGACCACATGATGTGCCCAAATGATGGTTCTGCCTAGAACGACCAGATTAGACGCGTGATGCCAAGGTCTTGGTCATGAAGCCAGTTGAGAACGGCGTAGCTGGACACCCTCGCGACCATCCTAAACCCGGGCCCTAGTGGGGCCGATCAGTGCTTGATGAAGTGCAAAAGACCCTCAATCGCAAACCTTAAACGTAAATCATCAAGAACCTCGTCTGGCGGTGTCCGAGTTGCGAGAGCGTAAACGTAAAGACCCTCAAGTCCGTAGCCTCAAAAGCCCTTAGCTCTGCATAGCTTGTCTGCAGACCTTGCCTGGCTAGGATTGTCAAAAAGGCCCCAACTCGAAGACTTGGCCAGGGCCGGCGAAGAGCATGGACCTCGCGGTCTTTAACCTTGAGTTCAGGCCGCTTTCTGTTTGGGGATTAGTTACTAGTTCCTAGCGAGCTTCGTGACAACCTGCACTGTACACCTAAAGTTTCCATCCTGCAGCTTCGGCGAGTTGAAACAGCTGGAGCTTTCGCCTGAGGTCGTTGGATCATAGGGTGTTCCACGACCTCGAAGTTTTCCTTTCTGGTTTCTTCCGGCCTCGTACGCTTAGCACACGGGGTTCCTTTGCCGATGGCCGTGGGTCTTGAGCTCGGGGTCCAAACCCCTCCGCGATGTGCCCTGGCACTCTTGTGCTCCGGAGTGCACAGCGCGCGCCAGGAAGTTCAAAGACGATGTGGGTAGGCCTGCCGATGCCTGCAGAGAGGGGAAGAAGTTCAGTTTCCTGCGCTGAGGGATCAGACCCTAAATGCCAACACTGTCGTAGTAGCGCAAGGGAGCGAGATCCGTAATTACGATGATCTTCGGTGAGTGCGGGGCCTCGCGGCGCTACACTCCACCTTATGTCTCTCCTTAGTACATCTTACTCTACTATAGGGGCCCATTATGCTGCGATCATGGTAAGGAACCTCCAAAATGGTAAAGATAATTATTGAGGGCCCTACTCTACAGGGTTGTTTTCGTTTTGGACTTTGTTGTTTCACCTTCGGACCGTGTGACCATTCGCCTCGCCTGGATTATCCGAGTCGTGAGCGCCGAAGTGCTAATACTAGGCCCTGAACGCCAAATGGGTGGTTGTCAAAATTAGGGCTCCCTTTTTGGGTCCTTATTATATTACGGCACCTACTATTTAGGGTGCCCAAAAAGGGACCATAATTTTGGCAACCACCCAAATCCTGAACCCTAAATCCAAAACCCTACACCCCAGATCCTGAACCCTAAACCCCTACACCCTCCATCCCAATGTGTTGCGATCTATGTCGAGGGATTAGGTGCGGAGGCCCTCGACATTGCAGAAGCTCCCTCTCGGACTTGGGATGAATGGTTGATGGACAAAATCCTGCATGACCCACTATAAAGAAAGTACCATAGTTCCCATAGTTTAGAGTCCTTAGGGTCATGCAGGATTTTTGTCCATCAACCGAATGTCGACAATAGTTGCAGGAATACGAATAGCAACAGCAATACCAATCGTAATACTAGTGGCAGTACCGGTACCAAAGCTAAATACTCGTCATGCTAATAGCCAGGCGCAGAACAGGAACACTTGCTAACAGTAGTACTTAAGGCTAATGGTCAAAGTGACAGTACTACTCATAGTGACACTAATGGCAATGCCAGTAGTGATACTGACAGCAATGCTGAACGGCGGCATGCTAATGCTAATAACACTTGTAGAACTAGTCATCTCTATTTAAATAAAGCACTAATACGAGTTGTCAGACAGGCCACAGAGTCACGGCGAGTTCCTAAGCTCCAGGTGCCGAAAGATCAACGCCTGTTTGAATGAACGATGAGTGTGGGTTGCCATGAACCGGGACACTCGGAGTTGCCGCCTTGCATGTACTTTGATGTAGAACCATCCTCCGAAACGGGCAAGCTCGCCGCAACCCATACCCCAGAGCCCTTATAGCACGCAGGTTGGGCGAACTGGCAGAGAAGCTGAGTGACTTGGTTTGCTCATGCGGAGTCGAGCCTGCAGGAATCTTGGTCGTGGCTCGTACTGTCACACGACGTAGGGCATCCGGGTCAATGCGCAAGCTCCCTAAACCCTAGACGCTACACCCAAAGACCCTGGACCCTAAATGTCCCTCAACTACAAATCCACTTGGGATTTTCGGAAAATTAGGGTACCTTATTTGGGGGTCCCTGTAATAAGGATCCTACTATTTGCGGTACTATACTTGGGCCCCCTATTTTCGGAAACTCCAACTTGGCTCTCCGGATGCCAGGAGCCGAAACCCGAAAGCCCAAGCTGCTAACGCCTCCCGACTTCTGCCCCTTTGAAGCTCAGGTAGCAACTTGGGACTTGCGAACAACAGGACTTGCCTATGGGATCTTTGAGGGAGTTGTCACGATTTGGGAATAAAGCTGACTTGCATTCGACTGAATTCTCCCTGGGGCGTGGGGCTGTTGCTGCAGGGGCGTTCATAATATAGATCCAAAACGGGGTCCTCACTCAGGGCCCCCCTAAGCACGGGACTGTGAAAGCTGTCGTTATGTGGGGTATGCTTGCGGTGGAGCGGGTTTGCAGCCCGAGCTGCGAAGCTCGACATTGTCGTCGTTTGCTTGCCCTTCAGTCCCATGTCATAAGCACGCCTTAATCCTGAGCAAAGTATAGATAACTACAACGAATTCAGTAATTGTCAAGCAGATCGATCGACAAACGTGCCACTGCCTCCCTCTGTCTCTCCGTCTCTGCCTGTCTCTCTGTCTCTCTCTGTTTCTTTTTCTCTCTCTCTCTCTCTCTCTATCTCTGTCTCCTGTCTCTATGTCTCTCTCCGTTTCTCTCTTTCTCTCTTTTTATTTCTTTCTCTTTCCCTCTTTTTCTCTTTCCCTATACATGTGCAACTAACTCTCTATCTCTCTTCCTATATATGTGTACATTTAGCAGTGGCAGAAACACATAGACATAGATAGACCCTCAGGTAAACAGGAACATAAGTAGGCATACGTACGTGCATGCTTGCTATATGCGTATACATGCGTCTGCATCTGAAACTTTTGGATAGAGACAACAGGAGCGCACGCGTCCACATATGTTTGTATGCATGGATGCATGCACATACACACATGCAGGCACATAGACCTTCAGCATGCCTTGGCCAATATTGCTAGTAGTAGTATTGGTACCCTTAAAACCATGGAGTTGCGGAAGCTCCCACATTGCCCATCAGGACTATGAGGAGGAGCATGACTGCAAATGTCCGAGCTTCCTTGTTTCACTGAGAGGAAAAGGCCATGGTTGGTCACAGAATGCCTAGTACATTCGACACCGAAGGCACCACGATTAGATTTTCGAGGGCTTGTGCCAATAGTAACTCATATGAGACGCTGTAAGGACAACTAAACCCAAAGCCCTTAAACCCTTAAACTCCAGACCTCCTCAATCCTGTTGACTTTCAGAGGTTTCATATTTTTCTGCTCCATCACCTGGGTCTGTTCGACCAAACGGTCAGTTGAGACTTGCCAAGCTCCTGTTTGAGGTTAGGGTTGCCGCATGATTTGTATTTTTCGGGGTTCGATTTGGGAATGGCTCAAGAATGCTAGATGGATCCACGGCTCTTTTGCTCTTCCCACACACAGGCACACAGAAGTATACAGAAAGACACGCATGATGTGTGGCCTCCGATGGCCTTGATGGAAGGGGACACGGTTCATGTGAATCGCGTTTATATTATTTGCTATTATATTATCCTTACTATGGTATGCTTCAGATAGTATATTATGGTATAGTATAGTATAGTTTAGTAGAGTACAGCAATGGTTTCAGCTTCGGGTCTTTTGCTCTTGGCTTGCTCCGGTCTTCTGCAAGGAATTCAGCGCACGGTTTCGAGTTCTTCCGCTCAAGAGCCAGTGCCTGGGGCGGACTGCAGCCGATCTCATAGATGTCACGTCAGGTTGCAGACATAGGTGATGATGGTGGTGATAGTGATGAGGATGATGATGGTGATGTTGTCGATGCTGACCTTGGCTACGCCAAGAGTGATCAGAACACATGATAGCTTATTGATTGGACATGAGTCACGACGGGTTTAACTGCCCTTCTAGCACTTCGCGGCTACTTCGTGTACGAAACCCGAATGGCGACAACTGTGACGACTGCCTCCATGCAGAGGACACATGAGATCTTTTTGCCGCGACGGGACCACTACGCAGACGGTGTCCCAGCAGACAAGAGAAACACCTGCCGTTTCATGTCCTGAATCGTACGGCTCATAGAAGCAGTCTTCCTATCCGCAACTGCACATGCTCAGCATGGTGGAGATGATGGGGCTGATCATGAAAACGAGGGCGAGGAGGACTCTAAAGATGGGATGCGGCAGATGATGATGTGGTGATGACGACATGGTGACATGTCATTTTGCCTTGTTGTGATGGGGCGCGTGACGATGAAGGGAGAGGACTATGGTAGTGACAGTGATTTTGCCACGACGAGACGACTTTCAATCGTCAGGTGTGAAGCCGGGGTAGTAGGATGTCCGAAGCCAGTGCAATGAGGTCTATGCGCTCATTGCAGGGTAGTGTACAGGGGTATTGTAGGCCTTCTTAGAGGGTTGTCGTTGGATGATCCTAGGCCCTAAACCCTAAACCCTACTACTTAGAGTAAGTAGGGTCAATAAGTAAAGTAACTACAGTTATAACTACTTATAACCCCAATTAAGGTACTTATAACTGTACTCACTAAGTCCCATGATCCCCCAAGTACTAGGGAGCTCACCGACCAAAGACTCCCTCGGCAGTCCCCCGCTGCGCGGCTTGCGGCTTTAAGGCCCCTTGCCAAGCAGTTTCACCCGAGTCAGGACAAAGCCTGGAAAGTCTGCAGAGAAGCTAATACAGATATGGGCGGTTGTCAAAATTAGGGTCCCTTATTGGGTACCCTAAATATTAGGTGCCGTAATATAATAAGGACGCAAAAAGGGACTATAATTTTGACAACTACCCATATAGGGACCTAAATAAGACATCCTTGTAGTTTGGTAGTTCTGGTTCTCGCATTTCATTTTAGATAAGCGTGCATGGCGAAATCGCTCTGTTCCGCGTCGCCGCTGACAGGTGACTGAGTCCGTGTGAGAGATATAGGGGCCTAAATCATTACCAATACTATTTTGGGGGTTCCTTTGCATTTTAAATTTATAACGTAATTATTAAGGCGCCCTATTAGGGTATGGGGTTTGGGACTCGGGGGTTTAGGGCCTAGCTCAGGGCTCAGGCCCCATCATGCCCGGATCTCTGGCAAGGGATATGTGGGATTCAGGGCATGTTCCTCAGAGTTGTTGGGTTTCTGGCCAACTTGATTTTGCTACTGTATCTGGAGCATTTCCTTGCCTTGAAGGAATCGCATACTTCCCAACACCTTTTGGAACACGCCCGAACAAGTGGGAGGCATGTGTAGGTACATAAATAGTACACACACACACCAATGTGTGTATGTAAGAATGTGTCAGACTGTGTAGTTTTATGTGCGATGTATGTTTATGCACACAAAAACTTAGAAGCCATGTGCTAAGCATAGTGATGATGAAAGTGTGGGCCATTGCTTGAATTGACGATGCTGTGATTCGCTCCCTTAGAAAATCCTGTTTCAATTAAGGAGGCTTGTGGCTGGTGCTGTTTTCATTGGGTTGAACAGTGTTGGGACTTGTTTTCGGTGGTTCACACCCTTTTTCTCGTGACCGGTGGGCGGTCTGGGTGCAAGCATCTGACTCGGCGCGCCCCTCGGCGTGTATCGGAGCCAGAGCTGCAGGGTTTTGAGCCTGCAAACGCTCGCTTGATCACGCTTGATGGAGTGTGTTCATAAGTGTACACCGCTAGCGAAGATCGTGCGACTGTCGGGCACTCGGTGTTGTGCATTTGCCTGGGGCTAGCACGATCCTGTGTAGGGTCTGCAGAAGCGGTTCTCTGGAGTGCAGTCAAGCTTTCTGCCCGGTAGGAGAGCACGAAGATTCTCATCGTAGCGAGAAGCTACCCGCGCGAAGCTCGGGTGCTGAGACTGTCGAGCATCTCGGCAATCGATTCTTCTTAAATCTCCGGTGGGATCCTTTAATGGGACTCCCGCCTTAATCAAGGGGCCCCAAGACTGCGCCGCAGCAACTGCCCCTCCGAGCCCAAAGATGTAACCCCGGGGGCATGAGTCCTAGCACGACATGTGAAGCTACATGACCCAGTCCGCACAGCTTAGATGCCCTTAGCCTTGGGGTCTTATCTGTCTTTGCGTCACATGCCCACTTCATGGCTGGGAGGTACCGGAAGCCGACCCCGAGCTTGCAATCAAAGGAGCCCCCCAGGCCTCGAAACCTGGCTCTCACGATCGAGGCCCCTTGGTCGTGCAGTTCGGCTCTGCAGGCATCCAATGGTGCAGGCTCTATCGTCTCTTCCCATCTCTAGCTTAGGTGTTGGGTCGAAGTTGGATTAAGCATGGAATCGGCGTGGTGTGGAGTTGTGGAGGTCGACGATTCCTGGAAGAACCATCCGATGCTGTGCAGAGCAGAAGCTCTGAACGTGCAAGGAGTACCCACGCTTAGGGAAGCTCCGACAAAAGTCATTTGCGGGTTCGGAAACCCCGAACTGAAGGAATGGAACAGTCATTACCAGTCCCGCGGGCGTTCTGGGAAACATCCCAAGATCTTCAAAAGTTTCACCGCAGAAAGGCGAGAGCGATAAAGCTCGTCCTGATCCTCTCACAGCCAACTAGACCCATCGTGGCTATGAGCGATAGACGTCACCAGAATTCCTAAGGAGTTAGTTAAAGCCCTAGCCTAAACCTCGACTCGACGTGGACCTGGCATGTCAAACGCAGCTTCAACAGAGGAAATGCGGACCCAGAAGCTTGAGAAGCACGAGGAGTCGCACCTCGATGATCGCTAATCGCCATTTAGGTACAGAGCCATATGGGTGGTTGTCAAAATTAGGGTCCCTGATTTGGGTACCTTAAATATTAGGTGCCGTATTGGAATAAGGACCCCAAAAGGGACCATAATTTTGACAACCACCCATATGAATACTTGAGGATACATGGGAGGTTGTATATTTCTGATTGCACAGAGGCTTCCTGAACGCAGAGTCGCCTGAGTTGTGGGGTCCACTGGACAAGGAATAGCATTTTTCTTGATTCTTTGGGCAATATGTCAATAGCTTATATGGTAGGATAGTATATGTGAGTATATATGCATATATATATATATACACAAAGTACGATGCACGCACTGCTACCCGGTGAAACGGCTGCACAGACTGACCCTGCTTTCTGGCTCACTAGTCTTTCGGACCGAAGTTCTGGCCGTTCCGTCCATAGATCCTGATATTCTAGAGCAGCTGCGTTTTTCCGAAAATTGGCAGTACCTTATTTTGAAGTCCTTATCAATAAGGATCCTACTTGTAGGGTGCTATATGAGGGTCCCCTACTTTCAGACGGTTTGGGCCCACAACCCGAAGAATTCGGGCTTTAGGTGGCGAGAGGATCAAGAGGCTCGCTGCGTCCACGCTTGTTCCGCTGGAAGGTTAGCAGGTCTCTGTGCCTTGGAAGCGCCTCCGATGAGGACCACCTCTCTTTAAGCCAACCATGCAGCCTTGACAGTGGATATAGGGAACTAAGTTGCATCGGGCTGGGTGGCCCATTCTGTGCTATGGAACACAGGGTCCGAGCTTTGTGCCGTCATCCAGCCCGCAGCTCCGGCAGGCCTTTTCCTCAGAGCAGAAATCAGACTAGGCCCGGGGATCCGAGGCATACTGGACCATTGTACCTATCTCCCTGCTTCGTCTACCTGGGTTGTCCTTTGGAATCGTTTGAACTTCCCCTGTGATTTTGTAGAGAACCATAATAGTACATGATCTTCAAAAGGCTTTAAGGACAACTCAGCTACTTAGCCATGCAGGAGGCAAACACAACTCCGAGGCACAGGGGGCGTTGGTGACAAATGCAGGCGATGGGTCTGTGCAGACCTGGGGGCAAGCAAAGGACAGCTGGGACTTTCTACGAATTAGGGGACCCTTATTTTGGGGTCCTGAGAATAAGGATCCTACTATTTAGGGTACTCTATGAGGGTCCTTGTAATAAGGATCCTACTATTTTGGGTACTCAACTACGATTCTCATAATCATCAGGATCCTGCTATGTAGGGTGCTGTGCTGGGGTCCCCCTATGTTCGGAAACCCCGACCTAAGAGTGCTGAGTGAGGGAAGGCTTCGGGGTCGGGACCATCGTGACGATCAAGGCAACTACCATAAGGGGTTTTCATTATTACCTGTACTCTTTTTGCGGTTCCTTGTTATAATTATGCTATAAAACGCTCAAAAGCCCCGTTCTAATTATTAAGGCCCCTATAGTATGTTTTTTAAATGGGTGGTGTGGTCTAAGTATCGGCCATGGACCCAACCGGCCTCTCTGCAACCTGCAAAAACTACATTCGATGATCCAGGGCTTCATTTTAGAGGAGTGGCCGTTAGGAAAGTCATCTCCCTAGGCTATGTAGGGGAGGAGGATTTCCAACGACTACTTTGGGAACGCACTATCTGGAGTCAGCACTCTTGGGGCTGTGATCCCTTTGCTGCCACAGGCGGCATCCATGATGCTTTCTTGGCACCCGCCAAGCTTGTTGGAAGGCGGGCACCACTGGTTGGAATTCCACGGCTCAAGAGAATGTGCCAGGTTAAACGGCGCAGCGCGGCTTAATCGAAGGAAGTCGAACCTTCTCATCCTCGAATTGAAGTCCATGGGCGCTTGACTTGAAGTCCATTTTCGCTTGATCTGAACCCGGAGTCCACATGTGACCGCAGAGCTTCCAGGGATGGTACCGTGGTTGGGGTTTAGGGCAAGTTGGTGTCCTGGCATCATGATGCCGCGTTTGAAATTCGCTTGCACAGGAGCTGTGGAGTCTGAGCGGCGCAACTGAAACCGAAACCTTAAAACAGCAGCAAGAAGTAGAAGCGCAGTGGCAAAAGCCAGCCAGAGCAAGTGGAATGTATGTGCAGTCAGCGCTAGCACGGGTGAGTAGTGGTAGTCACCACGATCCTTTTGGCTGATTACCCCTTTAGCTGCTGCAACGGAAAGCGCCAGTGGCAGCCGCAGGTGAGTGGTGGTGAGTAGTGGTCGTGGAGTGGTCGTCAGTAGTTTCGTCGTCCTCGTCGCGGTGGTGGTGGAGGTAGTGTTCGTAGCAGCAGTAGCAGTAGCAGTAGCAGTAGCAGTAGCAGTTGTAGGAGTAGTAGGAGTAGTAGGAGTAGTAGTAGTAGTAGTAGTAGTAGTAGTAGTAGTAGTAGTAGTAGTAGTAGTAGTAGTAGTAGTGTAGTAGTAGTAGTAGTGGTAGTAGTAGTAGTAGTAGTGGTAGTGGTAGTGGTAGTTGCAGTGGCAGTGGCAGTGGCAGTGGCAGCTGCAGTGGTAGTGGTAGTGGTAGTGGTAGTGTAGTGATCGTGATCGTTGTCGTGGTCGTCGTGGTGGGGGTGGTAGTAGTTGTTCTTGATGACATTTTTCCAGCGGCTGTAGCGCCATTACCAATGCTAGCATCCTTCTACTGCTCCTGCTCCTGCTCTTGCTCCTGCTCCTGCTGCTGCTGCTGCATGCTGCTGCTACTGCTACTGCTACTGCTGCTGCTGCTACTGCTGCTGCTGTTACTGCTACTGCCACTGCTATTGCTGCTACTGCTACTGCTATCGCTACTGCTACTACCCCTGCTACTACAACTACTACTCAAACTACTACTACTACTACTACTACTACTACTACTACTACTACTACTACTGCTACTGCTACTGCTACTACTACTACTACTACTACTACTACTACTACTACTACTACTGCTACTAGTACTACTACTGCTACTACTGCTACTACTGCTACTACTGCTACTACTGTTACTACTACTACTACTACTACTACTACTACTACTACTACTACTGCTACTACTGCTACTACTGCTACTACTGCTACTACTGCTACTACTGCTACTGCTACTTTACTACTACCACTACCGCAGACAGTGGCAGCAGACGCAGCACTCGCAGTAGCAAGAGTAGTGTTTTACAGGGTTAAGGGGTTCTGAACCCTAAGCGCCGACACCGACAACCGGAGATCAGTAAACCTTGCATCCAAACACTCTCGTGAGAGAATAGAGATTTCTCATAGCTGGAAGCCGCAAAGACTGCATGGTCTCCGCACTGCACAGTCAAGCTGGGCCGGCTGCTGGGTCTAAAGCAACTTGAAACCTTAAGCCCTCCACTGCTGGTGATGGCGACGCTGACGAGGGTTGGAACCTTGAGAACGGTAACGTTGATCATGGAAATCCCATGGTTAAGTGTCGCTGTTGCTGCTGCTGCTGCCGGTGTTGGTGGTGGTGTGTGGTGGCGGTGGTGTTCTGGTGGTCTTTGTCGCCGGTTGTGCCACTGTTTTTGCCACGGTATTTGTCACATTAACTTGCTATTCGTTCAGCTGGGCGGGTGGCAAAAAACTTGCTATTCAGTATCGTGGCATGAGTGCAAGTTCTGCTCTGACGCTGGTCAGTATATCAAGGTTCGTTGCTTGCTTTGGGCGGATTGTTCACAACTGACAGGTGGTTGCAATTTCTACAGTTCCCTGCTTCACCACAGTGGAAATTCCAGCCTTACCGCGCACCGTGATCCTTTACTTATGTTGCCCCAGTCTGCCTAGATTGACTTCGTTTGTGGTAGCACCACAAGGCGGAAGTGTTATCACACGAAGTGACAGATTTCGCGCGCTGTTTCGAAGAAAGGCTTGTCTCAGTCCGCTGCATCACGATCGACTTGGCTGCTTCTGCGAACCGGGAGACCCTAAACCCTAAACCCGAAACCCTAAACCCTAGACTTAGCTTCGAGTCCAAGCAGAGCAAGGTTTCCAGAGCAGGCGTGACATCCACAACACCAGCCTCAAGGCTTCGGGTTTGGGGTATATGATACTATAGTTATACTAAGGAGCCCCCCCAACCTTATTCTAATTATCTAAGGCCCCTGCATTAGTTTAGTTCCGCGGGCTTCGGGTTCATCTCAGTCTGCCCAGGTGTCCGGAATGGAGCCGCAGGCGATTGCACTGGCTTCCTCCCCACAAGTAACTCCCGTGTTGGACCAACTAGGCTCGACCTTGTCAAGGCAGCTTTCGGTTATCAGCTTGTGGATGTAGCAGGTAGCAATGGTTGGTGCCGGGGGGTGGTAGCTGGTGTTGCCTAGTGGTAGTGCTAGGCAGTACTAGTCCTGGTCTGATGTCTCTCGTCGTCGTCCTCCTCGTCGTGGTCGTTGCATGTTTTGTGGTGGCAGTTGGGAGCAGAACTAACCGAACCCTCAACACACAGATTAGGCCCAGCCTCTCACTCCAAAACACGGCCATCCTAGTAGGGCCATCCTGGTTGTGCTCTCACGCGTATTTGAGGCACAGGGCTCTTTCTCTTTCCTTTCGGAGATTTCGCTCACGTCGGTCCCTGGCAGGGATTCAGCGCTTCTTGCCTTTTCACCAGCTCTCCAAGCCACCTGAATCCCAAAAGAGTTGCCTCCCTCTCTCTTGGGCCGTGCAAATCTCCCCCTCGTGCCAGTGGCTCATGAAATCCGACGGGGTTGGCGCGAAGTCGGTCTTCGCGAGGTGTGTCCTGTCTTGAATGGTATTGATTTCAAGACCACGACGTGAGATCCTGTTTCGCAACCCTACGCCCATGGATGCTCGGTCTTGTGAGAGCGAGAGACCTCGAGCACCAGCATGAGAGCGTTGATGATCATGATGTTATGATTTCCATTGCAACCATGCGGTATGCCGTCACCTAAATAATCGTAGTCATCGTCACTATCAGCATCACCCCCGCCACCACCAGCATCATCATCTTCATCTCGCAAGCATCTGCATTACCATCTCTACCGCAACACCATGGAAATCTTCGGATCACCATCATCGTCACCACCACCATCATCATCATCATCATCACCATCGTCTCTTTGCATTGTGGCAACCCGTCACAACTTTCACAACCATCGCCATCCTCAGTCAAGCTTTCATCACAATCATATGTCCCTTATCGTGCGCACCCTCCCCTATGATCTCATCCGCCACCAGCGGTGGCAGACAGCAGGAGCAGGAATCAAATCATTAACAGCAACACTGATCACAACATCGTCTCACAGTCACCGCAGTCATTAGCATCGTCGTCATCATCTTCACCATCATCGGCAACACCATCCCCAACATCATCATCATCATCATCATCATCATCATGGCCATAACCTGCAGTGCAGCAAGAGCCGCAGCAGAAGCAGCAGCAGCAGCAGCAGCAGCAGCAGCAGCAGCAGCAAGATCGACATCAACATCAACAGAAGCAGCACCAACACCGGCAGTCAGCAGCAGCAGCAGAAGCAGCAAGAGCAGCCGCAGCACCAGCGGCAACAGTAGCAGAGTATCAGCGGTCTGAACTACAAGAACAAGACAGAAATAACAGCACGTGGGAACGAGCTGAACAACATACATAGTTTAAGAAGATGGTTCTGAGTTGAAGGAAGAGGAAGGGGAAGATGGTGGTGATGGTGATGAGGACGATTGTATTTGCTGACGGTGCCCAAACTGCCGTAGTTGATATTCAGGAGCTATCAGCCCTACGCCCGAGCTCCCATGCCTCATGGGCTTCCGAGCTAAGGTGCAGCCATTATCCCCGTCTACATAGACAGGAACAAGAAGGACCTGTTACCGTGAAATCCGGCTTCTGATGTGCTGTCCGCGGGTGCGCTTCGACTTGGTTGGCTAGGTACGAATTAGGGGGTGCCTCTCTCGGATGGAGCAGAACAAGTTTTTCAGTATCGAAGTTAGTGCTGAAACACCCGCGGTGGAGCTGAGTTCCGGAGGGCATTTTACTCAGCGGCACTGGCAGTGGAACGGCATGATCTCTACTTTAAAAGCTTCGACCTTTACATGTTTTGTGCCTAGGTCCAGCCGCAGAGCCCCCAAACCTACCTTCCCATGATGCTGCTTCGGATGATGCTGGTGGTGACGACTTTGCGCGGATGAGGCCACGGTCGCGAACTTTCGAGCTTTTTACAGTGCTGTCATGAGCCAGTCCTTGGCGTTGCTGCCTTGACCCCAGGAGATTAAGATCTTCAATGTCTGGTGTCCGGAGAAGAAGAAGCGCCACTGGGCCTTCTTAGAAGGAGACATTCTTCGAGGCCGCTGGGGGGAAGGAGTCCGGCTGCGCATGTTTCCGGAATTCCATGATCGCCGTCGTCTTGATCAACATTGTGAGCAATATTCGTTCAGATGACCGAGACAATCGCCAAAGTCACCATTGCTTGACGACGAATCCTCAAGCCACGTATGTGAACGTGTAGAAAAACTTGTGTGATAGCAGTAGTACTCGTCAACATCATGTCAGACCTAGTACTCGTCAACACTGTCGTTTTAACGATGCTACTGGCAGCGAGCAGCAACAGGAGCAGAAGTATAAGTAACAAGCAGAAGAAGCAGTAGCAGTCTGGCACAGAGGGTGCTGTTGTCAGAGATAGGTATGTCCTAGACTTTCCCGTGCGAAGCCATGCAGGGACGTTCTCGAATACATGCGCCACGGAAGGAGGGAAGGAAGCAAGGAAGGAAGGAAGCCCGGAATAGTGGTGATAGCCGTCGTCGTAGTGGGGGTAGTAATAGTAGTAGTGTAGTAGTAGTAGTAGTAGTAGTAGTAGTAGTAGTAGTAGTAGTAGTAGTAGTAGTAGTAGTAGTAGTAGTAGTACTAGCAGCAGTAGTAGTAGTAGTAGTAGTAGCAGCAGCAGCAGCAGTAGTAGTAGTAGTAGTAGTAGCAGTAGCAGTGGTAGTGGCAGTGGTAGTGGTAGTGGTAGTGGTAGTTGTAGCAGCAGTAGTAGAGATGTCGAGGTTCATGAATTGACCACGATAAGCACCACAGAGCTGCAGCTTGTGTTTGATGCTGCCTTTGCTGTCGAGCATCATCGTCATCCTCACTACCTCACGTCCCTGGGCCCCACGGCCTCCACAACCACCCACCCGCCTTACCGACCCCGTACACCCTGACTGATCGCATAGAAGCAATGTCGAAGGTCTGTGCACTAGGAATCATCGGAGCCCAAGCTCTCGGAAGCTATCAAGTCACCTCCGGAGCAGGTGCAGATCGCATGGCCCCTGACTTCTCAGAGAGGGTAAGAGCGTGGAACGTTTCTGCCTTCGGACTTGGGGACGTAATGTAGTGTCTCTTGCTTGAGACATTTGCATGTTGCATTGTGGCTTCTTGGCTTCGCACACATGTGCCGCTGCAATCGGCAGGAGTCGGAGTAGCAGTTCAGGAGTATCTTGTCGTCATCATCTTCAGCATGATGCACGTGCACTGCCCTGTCGGAAGAACTTGCATGGACCGATGTTCAACTTCGACTTCTTTAGCCCTATGTCCACATTGTTTCCAATACCATCACCGTACCACTGACAGCCTCAGTACCCCACCACCACCGTCACCCGCCACCACAACCAATGACCTTCACGAACGCCACCAGCACCGTCACACCACCAGTCGCAGTTTCAGTACCAGCGCCGTCGCCACACCCGTCGCCAGCACTAACCAGTACAATCCGCAAGTACCACCATTCCCACTACGACCACCGGCGCCGTTCAGCACCGTTGTCATCCTCACCCTATTCAGCATCATTGTCACCATCATCATCGTCATCATCGCCGCCATCGTCATCAGCACCTCTGCATCATCGGCGACGTCGCCCCTGTCAGTCTCAGCATCGTCGTTGTTGCAGCTACAATCCTGAGGAGTTGGCCTGAAAAGGTTTCGTGCGCAGAATGTGAAACGGCACATGTCATGTGGCAGAAACGTGAAGTCTCGAGCGGGTGTGGGGAAGTCCCCTCTCATCCTACCTGAATGCTTTGCTCAGAGAAGGCTGAGCCACCCGGCCTGAGGTCACATCTACGATACATGCCGCCGCATCTTCAACAGTCAGGCCCTGCTTCTACTAGTGCTGCAGGTGGTTTCACTTTGTGCACTTTGCCGAGGGCTCAGGTACCGTAGTCAATCTCAGCAAGCTGTGTTGAAGGCTCTCTTCCACCGGGCTTGTCACTTCCATAATAGCAGACCCTATACTCTACTCGCAATATAGTACTCTAAATAGTATGACCCTTATTATAACGACACCAGAATGAAGCACCCCTATACTAGATCCATGTATCTCCCGATGCGACGGGATGGATGTCGATCTCCTCTAGCCTTAGAGCCCTTAAATCGCCTTCATCAAAGCCAGGAAGGCACGCCTGGCTTTTGCAGCCCGCAACAGAAGACCTTGAGCCCCCATCATGCAATGGCCTTTAAGCAAGAACTCTGCCAAAGCGGAAAACTCAGCAGAAGACGCCCCTAAACCCTAAACTCTAAGCTTCTCAGACTCCCTGCACTGCGGGCCTCGTCCTTGCTAGGTAGGAGGGAAAAAACTCTAAGCTTAAACCCTTCTTCAAACAATGCCATCAGGTCGGACATCTCTTTGGCAAGCAGTGGCGGGAGCCCTGTGATAGTCACCAGGGGCTCTGGGAGATGAGTTTGCTGCACCACCAGGTGTGTGAATGATTTTATATACTAATATACCACATTTAATCATATTATACCATATTGTATCATATTGTATCACATTGTTGCACATTGTCACATATTGTACATTACATTATTGGCTTAGTTGCTGTAAGCTTTCAGGATGTGACGTGGGGTTGAATCTTGAAGCTTCAGTCCCAGCAAGGAGGGCCCGCCTTCTGCAAACGGAGTTACGAAGAGATAAATAGATAAATGGGAGTTTCCGAGAATTAGGGGTACATTATTTAGGGGTCCTTATAATATGGATCCTGCTATTTCGGGTAGGATGTTAGGGTCCCTCATTTTCGGAAACTCCCAAATGCTACTCAATGGATCTAGTATGTACCATATCACCGCAGCATCTTGTTTGGGGTGGCTGGCGATCTGCTGTCAGGTGTTCTCACTTTGGCGTGGTCAAGTTGCATAACCCTACCAAAACCCACAGCCCCAAACCCTACTATAGGGATCGAGGGCCCAGTGCGCCGCAGAGACAAGATTCTGCTTCTTTCAGACTGGCTACATCGTGGTTGTCGCATCCGCGGAATAGACAAACTCCGCTTTGGATCTCTGTTTGAACCACAAGTGTGCATCACTGTGGCTCTATGTGGCATGCAGGCGGCCGCCTACTGCGTCTATAAATCTTCAGAAGCTTGCAGTCCGGGGTTTCAGAAGCTGATTGTGGCCGAAGAACTAGACTTAAAGATTCATTGTAGATCCTTCAGCGTGGTGATTCTCAGCCAGACTTGCTCATTCGCTCGCCAGCTTACTTGCTTACTGTCTCCTCTGGGAGCCTGGGGGGTCACAAGTTCTCTGCCGATTGATGTCCATATCCGTCTTGCAAAGCATTGCTGAGCTCCAGACTTACGAAGCCGCTTGGGCCACTGGAGAGCTCGCCCCCACAGTCGTGGAAGACTGCAGCCCAGACATAATGCACGGGCCTAGATAATTACCAATGCTACTTTGAGGGCTCCTTATTATAATTAGTAGAATGGGGCGCCAAAACCCTATTCTAATGATTAGGGCCCCAATACTAGCCCAGACATCGGCGCCTCAATAAGTAGTAAGGTATTCCCTATACAGCCCTTTACTATACTGCACCCCCCCGAAACTTTATTCGAATTACTGAGGCCCCTATGTTTGTTGCCATCGCCTTTGGTGGGTTCTGCGGGGGGGCAAGGGTACGGTGGGTTGGCATATTCCACCAGCACATCCATAGCAAGAGTCTAAGGTTCTCTATACAAGTCTCATGGGCTAAGGGTTCGGGTCTTTTGGGCCAGAGGTGCTGTCAAAGGCTCATTTGTATGTGTGAGCCTTGGCACGTCGAAGAGCTTGTTCCTGCTAGCAGCTACACACTGAGTACGCGTAGTTCTCAGGCCCCAAGAACTTTTTTCCGCCGCCTTCAAGATCTCCTCACGCTGGGAGCTCCATAATTCACTTGTTGGCCAGGTCACTTTGGGGGATTATTATAATTAGTAGAATGGGGCCCCAAAACCCTATTCTAATTATTAGGGCCCCCGGCCAGGTCGGGCTGTTTTCTGTCCGAGCTTCCCGAAGTAGCTGGCCCGGAGCTGAAGGACGCGAAGCTCCAAGTCAAGACTGGGTTCTTTGTGAATGGAATGAGCTTGGTTTTAGTTGCCATAATGGGGATCTAGAGTACGCAATGGTTTTCTAAAGAACCTATGGAATTTCATTGAAGTTACCATAATGGGCATGTTTTGTAAACAGTATGGTTTCCTTATTATGGGTAACATAAATTAAATCTCCCAGCAAGAACCCAGAAGAGTCTTTGCGCTTCGCGCAACTTGACTCGGGGATCTAAACAACTCCCGTAGACCATGAAGTGGTCGCACCTGTTAGACTTCACTTCGGGCTTGATGCTCTGGGGGATGCATTTTTTTCTTCATCTGTCACTCTACGCTGCCGACCTGGGACCCTTACAACCCTTGCAGGAGCCTTCCATCTGCACCTATGTGAAGCTGGAGCAGGTCTCCATCTCAGCCTTTGGTTTCTTCAACTAGTTGCAGACTTTGGGCCGCCGCAAGGATGGCCATCGGTATCCTTGCCGGCCACACTTCTTCCTCCAGGCCCGGTGAAACGTGGATGCCGTAGATCTTTGCTCTGCATCCGCGGCAGGTCACGGAGGACTTTTACGAGACGACGAGGTGTTATGAGGCGCTTCAGAAAGCCATATAAGCCATGCTATGGCTGTGGCTGGCGATCCAGGGACGAGAGCACTGAAACCGGAATGAGAGGCTTCTGAGACCTCTCAAGACATGAAGCCGACCAGGCGGTGTCAAGCCCCTGAAGATAGCCTCAAAACCTGTAGTCGCCACGAGTCGTCACACATCCAGTCTCTCTTTCGTACATGCCTCTACATCCTCAATCTATATCCGTCAGCCCGGAAGAAAGCCCCTCAGACGTGGAAAGGATGCCAGCGGCGTCATCAAACTCCCACAGCCAGAGGAGACCCCGGATCTTTCATCGCGGCTTTACAGGGCCTTGGGGTTTAGGATGGTTTAGGGGTTTTGGGTTTAGGTTCAGATTGAGCAAGTTTGCTGGTATCTCATGAAGACCTTGAGAGCCCAGCTTGCCGGCATACAACCAAAGCCCGTGCTCAAAAAAGGTTCAGATTGAGGGTTCGGGGTGTGAAGTCTCGAGGAGTTCGCAGAATGAGGCTGTTCTTGTTCGGTGGTTTAGGGCTTAATACAGGGCGCGGGAGCCAGTGCTAGTTGACAATGGTAGAGGGTCCGTAGCATGGGCATACTGTCATGAACGGAATCCTGCATGACAAATGCCAAGGAATGTGCCTTAAGTCCTCATTCTTAATACATGATCTTGTCTTGTTACGCACGAAGTTCGGGAACGAGCATTAATTATGCATTGGAAAGTGATAGGGGGGCGCGAGTGTGTTTTAGGGATCTCGAGGTTAAGACTTCTGATTGTGATTCACAGCAATCTTGCTTTCTGGGTTTGGGGCAACGTCGAAGTCTTGTCAAAACCTTTCGCCTCTCAACGCTACAGCCCTAAATCTAAACCCTAAACCCCAAGCCTGTGCCCACCCCCCAAAACCGAAACCCCGTACGAAATGCACTGCGGATGTCTGTCGGAGCTATCGATGCAGGGCGACTTCGTCAAGTGGGACGACTTGGCGAAGACCTGAACAAAAAGCTGGTTACCATTCTCGATCGAGTATGCCCTGTCTTCAAGCTGATGATCATGATTCCAGCTTTATGCAACGAAAGTCTAGACAGAGCACGACGGCGCTTTTGTGTTTTCGGTGGCAGCACACAACTCGAACTCTACTACCAGTAGTTCCGAAGCTCCACGTGCCTGGCACTTGCAGTTTACCAAGCGGGAGCCGAGTCCCTTCAGCCCTTTACGCTCTCAGGCTGTAGGATTTGCAACGAATGGCAAGCAGAACAGCGCGCCACCTCCGGGCGATTCTACGCCCAACATCCGAGACGCTCCAAAAACGTGGACCTCAAATCGATCCTTGCACGTGGATCTCCCGGCCTGGAAAGAGCCCTAGGCCTCTGCCCGCAGAGTGCATCTCGACGGCACGTTTTTCATGGAGCATGACGAGGCATAGGAGGGAAACGGGTGCGTCGGGATACGGGTTGTGGGGGTGTGTTTGGTCGACTCGGATTTGGACTCAGTTTTGCTGTTCGCGGTTGCATCGTCACGGTGCTGGGCTTTCGGCGGGTCCCGGGCCTGCAGAACAGCCGGTGGGATGACACGGCCGCAGTGGCGGATTAGTGGCAGTTTTGTTTTGTTCAGGCCCGATGGGTCATCATGGAGTACGAAACTGGCAAGCTCATGGCAGTGCTCTCAAAGGGCACAGGATTTGGAACCTCCACAGGCACATCAGGGTTTTGCAGGGTTGCGGCCCGTGGTGCCTGGTTCTTGGGATTTTGCGATTTTGGCATATCACGCCAGTGTCCAGATCGTGATCGTTGAGCCATGTGCCAGATATTCGTTCAACCCGGTAGCCAGCCAGTCACTTTTATCATGCTGCCTTGGGGGGGGGGGGCAGGGCGGCACGGAAATTGCCCAATATTGTCCATGCAGCCCGTTGAGAGTGAGAGTGCAGTTCATGTCCATGTCGCTGCAGCCTTGTCGGCTCAGAAATCTCGATTCCTCAGCAGTTGGGCAATGGCGCGAGGCAGTGCAACGACGGTTGCAACTTGATCCCAATAAAGTCGGTTGGGCGTGGTTTTTGCGGACACTGCAGGTTTACAGTTCCTGGGAGGTAAGTTTGATCGAAACGCTCAGAGCGGGATGAGACCTCACGCATCGACGTTTCAGCCCTGGCGACATGAGGCCTTTGTGGCAAGCTGCTGCTTGGCAGGTGCACGTTTACCTCACGCAGTGATGCTGGAAGGGGATGATCGGTTGGGGCCCGGAGTGCGTATGCTACGGCTTGCATCAGAAATAGTCTCGGCAGGTGGCTTTTTGTTCGTGCCTGGACTCTTCCCGTCGGCTGCAACGTCCACCGTGACAAACGCAGCTGGCCGCCAGGCGCTTGAGCTTTCATATCTTTGTTGCTTCGTGTGCGTCGCGGTTCAAGTTTAAGGCCGCAGGCCGCGAATAGACTCGAATAGACTTCGGACACACAGCATTCAAGGTTTGAATCATAAACCCAAAAAAGCCATCCGAAAGCCCAACTCCGAAACCCTGAGCCCAGAAGCGCGAGTCCCCTTCGTGATCCAGGCGGAGACGTCCCACACTGCCGAGGAGCCAGCAGGAGCATCTGCGTGGCAGGGGCTTTTCGTGCCTGGCCCAGGTTTGAAGACCTCAGGGTTCAAAAAGAAGAGGCAGGCATCCTCCGCTGGACAACTGAACTCAGATACAGATATGATCATATACCAAAAAGAAGAGGTGTAAAAAAGTAGCAAGAATAGCAGCTCCCTTTGCATAGTCCTTATTACACTGACTATGTAACTATATACTACAGGATTCCCCTCGAACATCCCCAAGCTCAGTTAAGTTTCAGAGTTTCATCGACAGGGGTTGTTGGAGATCATGTTTACCTTGAGGAATGAGACGGACAGAAAGGCATGGGTAACGACAGAACATAAGCTGGTATCCGAGCTGCTTTACTCTTGACGTCATGACAGAATTGATGTTTTGAAGGATAGTGTTTCAGGACTCAGCATTTGATGGCTTTTGAGGCTTTCCTGATCTGATTTGGGGTTGGGAGCTGCCGGGGAGGAAGAGTTTCTGACGACACACATGCAGGTTGTTCTTTGTTTGAAACACGAGAGCCGACGGGATTTGAGAGCGACCCTGCAAAGGGCCCTATACCATGTATGACGGGCAATAACAGGTGTCGCCAGAATTTCCCGGAGGATTTGATTGGCATGTTCTGGGATGGTGCTGGGATGATACAGTTTGGGGGCAGGGTTCAAAGCGTAGACTCCGAACGGGATGCCTGATGACCTTGTCCTTTGATGGGCTTCCGTACAAGGTAACTCTATGAGTAGTGTAGCCAGGCTTGAACACGACTAAAACGGACTCCGAGGGTGGCGTTGCACTGGGCTTGCTCCTGAGCGTGGCCGCGGCCTCCCCAGTCCTGGCCGAGGAGGCAGCAAAGCCCAAGGACTTCTTGGGGCTTGACTGCCGTTCTCGCTTTCGGTGGCTTCACCGCTAGTTGCGCTCAGGAGCTCACGGATGAGGAAGTCCTTGCCAAGGACGGAGCAGTTCTGGAACCCTTCCCCTTAAGCCAGCGATGCCTGTACTTCCGAAGAGCTTGGTGCTTTCTGTGCTTGAAACTACGCAGCGCCTTATGAACTTGGCAGGGCTGCGACATCCGCGTCGACTGCAAGACCAAGGAGGAGCAGTTCCGCTGGGCCAAGGCCTACTACAGGACAGTTTGCAGCGCCATGTGCAGTCCCTGTCGGTATAAGGGCGAGGGTGTGAGCGGTCTCAGTAGGTCGCGGTTGTGGTTGTGGAGGGCTCGTCGTTCCGCTGTGAGTTTTGAAGGTCTTTCCAGGCTTCGGGCATTGTTGCAATGTTTGGTCTTACGACATGGAACACGATCCTGGAGGAAGTACAACAGGGAGAGCGACGGCAAGGACCCCAAGTACAGCGCTTCCTCCACCGGTGGCGGCATCTACCGCAAGTACAAGATCGACCAGTTCATCGAGCCTTCGGGCATCGTGAACACCACCGATGGCACCTACCCCATTCGCCCCGAGGCTGCGGTCACTTGGATGCACTTCACACCTTCTCTGAAGCAAAGACGCACGAGTGTCAGGAAACTTCTTTGCTTCAGCCTCAGACTGTGGCATGTGGTTGCGGGCTCCAAGGCCTTCAAGCCCATCTGGGATGAGTACAACAAGAAGCTCATCGAGCGAGTCGAGAAGGTCTACGGCATCGTGCCTTGGCGGGGGTTGCGCATTTCTGCGAATGAACGTGAGGTAGTTGTCAGCCCACCGGTAACACATATTTTCTGGTTCGCCATTCGCAAGCATGTTGTGTGCAGCTCATGGCTAACTAACTAAGTCTGACGAGCCCATCCGCTGGAACGGCGACTACTACGACAACAAGCTGAGCCCGTACAAGCCCGCCAACGGCCTTGGCTGGTACAACAAGTGATTTTTGACGTTGAGCCCAAAGCCTGGAGCCCGGGGCCCAGAATCTTGCGAGAGGCCATCTCGTGTGCCAGCAGTAGCCATGCGGGCGTATCAGAAGCATTACAAAGTCCTCGGAATTGCCATCAGGCTGGTAGCTTCAACAAACAACGTTGACGAACGATAACATATGGGAGTCTCCGAATATAGGGGACCCTAATATAGTACCTTAAGTAGTAGGATCCTTGTTGATTATAAGGACCCCCAAAATAGGTACCCCGAATTTTGGGAAACTCCCATGTTGAGCTCTGGTCCGAACCCGTGCCTGCAGAGGAAACTGACAATAGGCAGCCCCGCTCCGATGTTCTGGAGAGCCTCTCATTAAAGTTAGGGTAATGATAAGGGGTTTTATATGGGATATCCCTATCCTAATTTTTGCTTATGTGCTTTTTGGGGCCCTATGGAGATCCAGGTGTAGGGCCACAAGGCCTTGAATACTCTACAAAGCTTGCCTGCTCTGATGCTTTAACTATATAATGAATCTTCGTGGACCTCATCCTCTCAATCATATTCCTGATGATCAGCATTGCCAACATGAGCACGCCGGAATCCGAGGCCATGCCATGCTGATCACTGGACAAGCGCCACCGATCAGTGAAAGTCCGACTGTTGAATGCTCGCTCCCTATACCCTAAACTCTGGCTCAGGCACCAGCCCTTCGAAAGGCTTTTCGCAGTTGTGGTCGCAGGTTCTTCTTCGCGCGTTTCTGGAAACAGGAGTCCCGGACTAGGCTAGTCTATCAGTACCAGGCGGACCGAAGCGCCTCAAGCCCGCAAGCCCCGCGGTAACAGCATTTAAAACTTAAACCTCCGAGCCCGCCCTAGACACTAAGCCCTAAACCCTACACTCCAAAACCCTAAGCCCGTTTTCGGTTGTGTCCCAAGCCTGAGCAGCCAGGCAGACGTACGAAGCTCTCACTAGGCCCAGACGCGTCCTAAACTTCCCTAAACCCATGCCATCAAGCCTCACTCGAAACACCCCGAACTTCCCTAAACCTATACCTTCTAGCCGAAACCCTAAACCCTAAAAAAAAAGCAGTGCCTGCGTGAGCGAGTGTGCGTGTCGAAACCCTAAACCCTAAACTCTAAACCGACGCACCCTAAACTTGCCGTTCAAAGCCCCAGGAGGTTGAAGGAGCGAGCCGCTTTCCTTGCCGCTTCCGAGTTTGTTTTTGCTCAAAGGGCTCCGTCAAAGAGCTTTTCTGCCATGGCTCGTGGATGGACGGCTTGCGGCCCAGTGCTTGGGTTTAGGGCTTTAGGAATTAGGGGGCTTAGTTTCGTTTCTGTTTCAGGATGCGTTTGGATTCTAGATGTTGAGGCTGGCATGGATCTCCTTGACCATGCCTGTCGTAGATCCCCGTTTCAGCGAAGCAAACGTAGGTGGTACCAAATCAGGAAAAGATGTGCAAAGAAGTAACGTTTTGTTTTGGCATGATGCTGTGGTCCATCGCCAGGCCCGAATCGATGGAGTCCCAGGCTGCTTTGAGAACACTGGTTTTACATCTGCAGACAGCCCAAGGGCACGAAGCCCTTTAGCACATCTCCCCGAGCCGTCGACTCTGGGATTCTGGGTCCTGAACCCCAAAACCACAATTCCCAAACTTCAACCCCCAAACCCCTCAATCCTGAACCCAAGCCCTGAAAGGCACTTGTGGGTGGCTGCGCCCTGGCGGGCCGTGGAACTCAGCTTGGAAAGGGCTGCTCCGGTGTTTTTTCCCGGTGTTTGAAGAAGTCGTGGTCGACCTGAGGTTTTGAAACTAGAGTCTTAACTAGAGTCGCCTTGTGCGCTAACGGAGGTCTGATACTCCGCCGTTCAGCCTCTGAAGTCTTAAGGCGGCTTGGCCTTCGTGCCTGGGATGATGCCGTCCACCAGCTCCTCTCCGAGCAGCCATGTAAGCAGGGAGCAGGCCGGCCCTGAACCATCCGAAGCCCTACTTGGAGGGTCGGGGGACTTAAGTAGACTTATAAGTACCCTAAAAGGAACCCTATTTGGGGTTATGGTGCTTATAAGTCCCTAAAATAACCAGTTACTAAGTCCCCCGACCCTCCAAGTAAGCCCCAAACCCCCCCTAAGCCCTAAAGCCCCTGAGCCCTAAGCCCAACGGGCTTTGAGATTTGCAACCCCGAAGGGTTGGGATCCAACTTCCGACATTATGGCCCTCTTGACCCAACCAATCTTCTTTCAGACGACGGCTCTTGACAAACGAAAACGGGCTTGTTGAATAGGCCGGCATTGATCTAGGTTGGATTTTGGGACAATTTCTATTTTCTTTATTTGGGTTTATAAGGGGCCCTATATATAAATATTTTTCAGGGTGTTTAAAGGCCAACCCAGTTGATACAAAGCAATAATTCCAGCCGGGATCAGGGCCACTTTGACGCAGCGGACGCCGGCAGCTCCTTCCAGAACCTGCAGGGGCTCTTCGCCCCTCGCTAAGCAGCTGGTAGTTTGACGCGATGCGGGGTTTTTCCTTTGCAAACCGATGTTCTGCACCGGGGCCCCCTTTTGAGGAACAGACTCAGCAGACAGTCGCTTGCGTCGCGTTGATTTCCATTTGCTCCTTTTCCGATGTTCTTTCTGTAAGTCTCTGCTTTGACTGCTACACTTTGGTGGTCGCAGCGAGTTTGTTGCTTTCACTTCCGGCATCAGAGCCTTTAAGAAGGCGACGTAGCATGATTGCGCTTTTGCAAAACGGTGGCTTACTGAGAAGGGGAAACTACACGACCCTTTCGAGGGTTCGACATCAAACTGTCTTCCCAAGAAATCCCGAACTCTCGAGACGCTAAGCCCAGTCGCTTGGGTTTGCTTGCCAAGGGTGGCATCGCATTGGGCTTGCTCCTGAGCGTGGCCGCGGCCTCCCCAGTCCTGGCCGAGGAGGCAGCAAAGCCCAAGGACTTCTTGGGGCTTCACTGCCGTTCTCGCTTTGGGTGGTTTCACCGCTACTTGCGCTCAGGAGCTCACGGATGAGGAAGTTCTCGCCAAGGACGGGAACCTTACCCCCCAAGCTAGCGATGCCTGTACTTCCCAAGAGCTTGGTGAAGCGGGAACGCTGTGCACTCGGCAGGGCTGCGACATCCGCATCGACTGCAAGACCAAGGAGGAGCAGTTCCGCTGGGCAAAGGCCTACTACAGGACGACGGGCTACTGTGTGTAGGTCGGCTAGTCGTAGACTTCCGCTATAACTTTGAAGATCTTTTCAGGCTTCTTACGACATGGAACACGATCCTGCAGGAAGTACAACAGGGAGAGCGACGGCAAGGACCCCAAGTACAGCGCTTCCTCCACTGGTGGCGGCATCTACCGCAAGTACAAGATCGACCAGTTCATCGAGCCTTCGGGCATCGTGAGCACCACCGATGGCACCTACCCCATTCGCCCCGAGGCTGCGGTCACTTGGATGCACTTCACACCTTCTCGGAAGCAAAGATGCACGAGTGTCAGGAAACTTCTTTGCTTCAGCCTCAGACTGTGGCATGTGGTTGCGGGCTCCAAGGCCTTCAAGCCCATCTGGGATGAGTACAACAAGAAGCTCATCGAGCGAGTCGAGAAGGTCTACGGCATCGTGCCTTGGCGAGGGTTGCGCGTTTCTGCGAATGAACGTGAGGTAGTTGTCAGCCCACCTGTAACACACATTTTCTGGTTCGCCATTCGCAAGCATGTTGTGTGCAGCCTTGACGGACTGAGTCCGATGAGCCTATCCGCTGGAACGGCGACTACTACGACAACAAGCTGAGCCCGTACAAGCCCGCCAACGGCCTTGGCTGGTACAACAAGTGATTTTTGACGTTGTGCCCAAAGCCTGGAGCCCGGGGCCCAGAATCTTGCGCGAGGCCATCTCGTGTGCAGGCTGCAGGCGTATCAGAAGCATCACTGCGTGGGCCACCAGCACCAGCACCACAAGCACCAGCACCAGCAGCAGCACCATCAGCAGCACTAGCACCAGCACTAGCACCGGCACCAGCACCACCAGCACCACCAGCACCACCAGCCCCACCAGCAACACCAGCACGACCAGCGCCACCAGCCCCACCAGCGCCACCAGCACTACCAGCAGCACCAGCAGCGCCACCAGCACCAGCAGCACCAGCAGCACCAGCAGCACCAGCAGCACCAGCAGCAACAGCAGCACCAGCAGCACCAGCAGCACCAGCATCACCAGCAGCACCAGCACCGGCATCGCCATCATCACCAGCATCCCACTAGCACCACGAGCACCAGTAGCACCAGTAGCACCACCACCACCACCACCACCACCACCACCACCACCACCACCACCACCACCACCCACCACCACCACCACCACCACCACCACCACCACCACCACCACCACCACCACCACCACCACCACCACCACCACCACCACCACCACCACCACCACCACCACCACCACCACCACCACCACCACCACCACCACCACCACCACCACCACCACCACCACCACCACCCACCACCACACCACCACCACCACCACCACCACCCACCCCACCACCACCACCACCACCACCACCACCACCACCACCACCACCACCACCACCACCACCACCACCACCACCACCACCACCACCACCACCACACCACCACATCACCACATCACCACACCCTCACACCGACGCTGCGCCACACCGCCACACCCGACACCGCCACACCGCCACACCGCCACACCACCACCCCACCACGCCACCACGCCACCACACCACCACACCAACACCACCAGCGGTGTGCTGAGGAATATGCAAGTTACAGAACCGAATCGATGGTAAGGTAAAGATACAGATACAATGAGTGAGACTGCTTACAACAAGAGCACAGTCGTTGTACTTTCGGTCTGAGATGGTGATGGGTATGCAAGGCCTCATCAAATGGCAATATCTCCTTGACACTGCAAGCACAGCCTGGCATGACCTTCGGAAAGACATGCTGCGGCACCGCCCTGCGTGATCATGCTTATCTGCTGCTTTGGGCAGCACCCAGATCACTTGAATGGTTCTGTATGCTCCTCCATCGCCATCAGCACCGTCATCATCGTCATATTCGTCATTATCATTCTCAACATCGTCATAATCATCGTCATCATCAGTATCATCTTCAACAGCACCATCACCATCATCATGATCATCATAGTTACCGACAGCGACAAAATATCTTCATCATCGCCATCGTTATCGTCATCACTGACCAGTCACCAGGCATCAATCGCCATGTTCTTCCTCTTCATCATCACCATCATTATCATCATCGTGCCTCCTCGAGCAAGCTGGAATCCAAGGCCGTGCCATGCTGATCGCGGGACTAGCGCCAACGATCAGTGAAAGTCCGACTGTTTCTTGAGGATTTTTGCCGTGTTTTCGAGCCTTGACTTCCTCTGCCGGTGGGGGTGGTGGCGCTGGGGTGGTCGTGTTGGTGTTGGTGGTTAGTCGTGCCACCACACTGCTGCAACAAGAACCCCTTGCAGAGGTCCCACAGCCACTGCACTAGTCTCAAGATATGCTTGTCCTGCTTGTGCCCTCAGTGCCCTAATCCTCAAGCCACAAATCACCCTAAACCTTAAAAGAAGCCCTAAACTCACGTGGTTGTTTGCCGCAGTTGGCCAGCAGAGTGTGGGATCCGCTTTTTGCAAAGAGTCTCCGTCCATGGCGCGCAGCAGGGGGACGATGATGGCGGCTGCATCGCCGCAGAAGAGGATCAGTTCAGGGTTTATGCTGTATAGACGTATAGATACAGCATTTTTTCGGATTTATCTTGTTTAAAGTTGGAGGTTTCGGTGGCAGTTGCAAATTTCCATATTTCCAGAGCCAAGCCAGGCGCCTCAATGATCACCCCATTTTATTCCTTCGGGCTCCTTATCAGAATTCCTAATGTTTTTCCATGTTTTTCACCAAAGCCCCAAAACCTGTGGTAGGAGCAAGAAACCCTAAACTCTAAACCCTTAACCCTACAAGGTTACAGCTTGCAGGCCTGGCTTTTCGTCTTTCAATGCCGAGCCTGCTTGGAGCGGTGCTACAATCCTTAGACCCCAAATGGGAGTTTCCGAAAATTAGGGGTACCTCATTTTGGGGTCCTTATAATAAGGATTTAGGGTACCATATTAGGGGCCCCTATTTTCGGAAACTCCTAATGGGAGTTTCCGAAAATAGGGACTCTAATACAGTACCCTATAGCAGGATCTTTAGTACAAGGACCCCAAAATATGGTGCTCCAAGCCCGAGACCTCTAAATCGCTGAACCCTAGAAGCCCCTGCAGCTCTCCCGAAGCCTTCAGCCCCTGGCTTAAGTTTGGGGTTTAGGGTTTAGGGTTTAGGGTTTAGGGTTTAGGGAGGGTCCTAGTGCGAAGTGTGCGCAAACCTGGTCAAAACGCTGTGGACACTTTCAGTTATCTCGGTGCTGAACTGCAGAGTTGTAATTATGCCCTTCATCCAATTCGTTGCCCTTTGAACCCACACCGAATGCAATGTCGTGTGAAATCCCAGACTTTGAAGCCATCAATCCACAGCCCTAACAAACCCTAAACCCTAAACCCCTAATCCCTAACAACCCAACTGCTTCAACCTCCAGACGTCGTCGACCCAGGCTGTTGTCGGCAGCTGCGCACTCACAGGTGCTGAAGGGAAGTTCTTACAACTTCTTTGGGCCTCTCAGGGCTTTGCGGCTTTGGGAACGACTGCGGGGCTTTAGGATTTAGCGTGTGTGTTGAGGGGCCTGATGGAGGGCTTTGACCGCAAAGCCTTGACACTTCTAAACCCAATGCGGAAAACAAAACCCCTTTCTTGAACACTAAGACCTAAACCCTCTGCTCCCTCTCCTGGCTTTCGAGCCTCTTGTGCCTGCAGGCCTCCAAGCCCTACGGCCCGAAATCCTTGGCTGGAAAACTCACTCCAGAAATCGATCAAATAGTCATAGTAGCAAGAAGAATACGAGCAAAGATAGGAAGACTATATACAACTAAGGTAAATAGTAAGTTCGTGCGCTAGTCAGGAAGCCTGCTTTTCGTGCCGGGCCTGATTCCTAGCTCGGCACCTTCCTCGATCCCTCGCATTGGCAGCCAGCAGGACGGATAGGTTCAGCTCGAAGGGTTGAGATACTGAGTAATGCTTAAGCGAACACTAAATTAACTTAAATAGTTCATGCTAAACAAGTAGGAATGATGATTGCTAATGGTTTGTGACGGCTGGAGAAGCTCAGATGACAATGACCTATCACATGATAACCAGTGGTGCTTAGTAGCCGTTGTTGACGGTCATCATCACCGATTAGCAATGCATACTAAGACTGTTGCGGGTTGTTATGGTAGTCGTTACTTTGTTCTTATTAGTGGTGTGTGGGTTGCTAATGCAGGCAGTCATATGCATGGATATCAAAACGAGGGTCTACCCCAAACTGTACGGTGTCGTATTGAGACTCGAATTTGTATGGGGTTCTCCAAAGGGACCATGATATGGACACAGTTACCCAGTATACATACATATATACATGCACACATACATACATACATACATACATACATACACACACACACACATAGATAGAATCTATGGGGTATGGGGCACTTCGGAAGCAGGAACTTGGTTTCTCAAAGCCCGAATACCTTCAACCATGAGGAGGCCGGAGCATCCGCGGGTGCCGAGGAAGGCAGCTTCGGCCACCTGCCGGGACTTCTTGCGCCTGGGCAATGGGTTTAAGGGTTTCCTGGGGCTTTGAACGGCGAATTTAGGGTGTTTCGGTTTAGAGTTAAGGGCTTGGGTTCAGGGTTTAGGATCGGGGCTCTTTCGCAGGTTTGGGCTTGGGGCCTTCGGGTTTAGGGCCAGGGCTGAGGGAGCTCCCGGTCCAAGCCCCAGATGTGACGCAGGCTGAAGATGTCGGGACGGAATGGAGGGCCCTTTGGGCCTTCCTTTTCATTTATACAGGTGATTGGAGGCCAGGCAAACTCGCTGAACCGTCTACGTCGCCCTGCCATACCTTGGATTACCTCGAACCTCAGCCCGCCCAGGCCGCGCAGCACGATCCCCGCTGTTTCCCGAGAAACCTTGCAGCTTAAGCTTACCTGTGCCAGGACAGAGGAATAACAATAATAGTAATGATATGTAATAATAACAATAGTAATGGTTTTGAACGCTGGCCAATTGCGTTCCTTTGCCAAGGGCGGCATCGCATTGGGCTTGCTCCTCAGCGTGGCCACGGCCTCCCCAGTCCTGGCCGAGGAGGCAGCAAAGCCCAAGGACTTCTTGGGGCTTCACTGCCGTTTTCGCTTTCGGTAGCTTCACCCCTACTTGCGCTCAGGAGCTCACGGATGAGGAAGTTCTCGCCAAGGACGGAGCAGTTCTGGGACCTTCCCCTTAAGCCAACGATTCCTGCCTAAGAGCTTGGTGCTTTCTGTACTTGAGACCAAGCGGCACTTTATGAACTCGGCAGGGCTGCGACATCCGCGTCGACTGCAAGACCAAGGAGGAGCAGTTCCGCTGGGCCAAGGCCTACTACAGGACGGTTTGCAGCACCATGTCTTTGACGGGCTACTGTGTGATAGGTCGCGGTTGTAGAAGGCTAGTCGTAGACTTCCGCTGTGAGTTTTGAATATCTTTTCAGGCTGCGGGCGTTGCTGCAATTTGGTCTTTTGCCTGCAGGAAGTACAACAGGGAGAGCGACGGCAAGGACCCCAAGTACAGCGCTTCCTCCACTGGTGGCGGCATCTACCGCAAGTACAAGATCGACCAGTTCATCGAGCCTTCGGGCATTGTGAACACCACCGATGGCACCTACCCCATTCGCCCCGAGGCTGCGGTCACTTGGATGCACTTCACGCCGTCTCAGCTGAAGCAAGGGCGCAGCACTCACAGGAGACTTGCTTGCCATAAGCTGTCGCATGTTCTTGCGGGCTCCAAGGCCTTCAAGCCCATCTGGGATGAGTACAACAAGAAGCTCATCGAGCGGGTCGAGAAGGTCTACGGCATCGTGCCTTGGCAGGGGTTGCGCGTTTCTGCGAATGAACGCGAGGTAGTTGTCAGGCCACCTGTAACACATATTTTCTGGTTCGCAATTCGAAAGCATGTTGTGTGCAGCTCATGACTAACTGAGTCCGATGAGCCCATCCGCTGGAACGGCGACTACTACGACAACAAGCTGAGCCCATACAAGCCTGCCAACGGCCTCGGCTGGTACAACAAGTGATCTTTTTGAAGACAGGTCTTTTACCACCCGTCCGTTTCTGGCATCCCATCACATCAGCACACTGTTGCTTCTGGGGTACGTCGAGGGTATGGTCCACTTTCAAGTCGAACAGAACAACTTTAGCTTTCGTTATTACGGACTTCGATGTTTCGTGAACGAGACTTGGCAGTGGTGAGATGGGATGCCTACACATCGCGTTCTGTCCTCTCGGCTGCTGCTGGAACAGAAAGAGTTGTCGCCGTCGGGTAGCGCAGTCGGATCGCAGACGCATCGCTTCTTTTGGTTCGTGTTTCTTCGTGTTTCTCCGTAAGATAGCAAAGCACGTGAGCAAACGGGCAAGCAAAGACAAACACAAACACACAGGCACGCGTGGAGGAGCAGTCTGAAGTCCGTTCCAGTGGCGTTCGTTGAACTCCGCAGCAGCGGCTCAGAAACAGATCCATAGATCCGCAGAGATTTTATCAACAGGCTTTTCATAAAGCCAAAATGGCCGTGGGCGCCTCAGCCTTTGGAGTGTGTGGGGGTGCAGAAGGCACACAGTGTTCATTCAGGCCAAGACTTTCACCGTTGCCGCCGCCGCCACCGCCGGAGTGTGGCTTTGCAGCGAGGCTTTCGTGCCCGGCGCACAGGTCACTCGCGAGGTGCAGGCCCGATCCTTATGAGATGCTTAGTACAGGGGCCTTAATAATTACATATACTAGTTTGGGGGTTCCTTATTAATGGGCCCAAAACTCTATTGTAATTGTTAAGGTCCCCATATTAGTATCATAAACTATCGCGTAGACGAGACGAATTGGACTGGACTGGACTGGACTTGACCATCGACACTGTAATGTTGCACCCTTTTTCAGGGTCCTCTATTGTCCTTCGTCGGCACAGGCCCCCGCGGCCCACCTCCGCAGCGGCGCGCGCGCTTCCCGGGCCACGGGCTCCAGCCTGGCCAGCACCGCGGGCGCCGCGCTGCTGGTGGCCGGCGCCTGCGCCTCCCGCAGCCGCAAGGTCTCCACCTCCACGGCCGCCGGGCTTTACACTTGGTGCTTTTGCATGGGGGCGGCAGGTTCTGGTGCGGGATCTCAGGTCTGCAAGTCCTTCGAGAATGAGCTGGGCACCACCCTTCCCATGAAGTACTTCGATCCCCTGGGCATGGCCAAGGACTGCTGTGCTGCGCTGCCCTAGCCTAGGCCGGGCCAGGAGCGAGTTCGCACTATCTCCATCTCGATGCAGGACGACGACGCGGAAGACTTCCGCCGCCGCCGAATGGCAGAGATCAAGAACGGCGCCCCGACCGCTAGAGTGCGTGGCTAGCGGCTCGAACTCAGTTGCACAGCATACTCTCGATCAAACGATACCTATACCAAGCATTATGCATGCGCAGGTTGTGCATGCCTGTTTCAGACAGCTCAGGACGCGTGGCCATGCTTGCCACCATTGGCTACATTGCTCCAGAGTACTTCCGACTGCCCGGCTACTGCAGCCCTTCCGCAGGCCAGGAGTGGGGGAGGTTCATTCGCGTGTGTGTTTCTAGCATGGATCCGAGATTAGGCGGAGTCAGCTTGCCGCGCCTCTTTGAGCAAACGCCTCGTGTAGCAATGCTGGCAGATCGTGTAGTTCTGGGCTTCAAACGAGTCACGGCCCGGTGCGAACTTGTTATCTTCCCGCCTGCCCTGTCAGATCTCAAGTTCGCGGACATCCCCAACGGAGTCCAGGCCCTCTACAAGATGCCCGCAGAGGCAGCGTGGTTGGGAGGGATGTGCAGGAGAGTGTTGTGCTTCTGCGCTTTTGCTTCCGGAAACCTCGAGCCTAGCTCGGCATGCTTTCACGGCGAACCTGGATCCCTACACGCCTTCAACCCCCAAGCCCTCCCCTGAAGCCGAAACCACCAAAATCCCCCAAGTGCTAAAAGGCACAACTTCTCTGAACCCCCAAACGCTTCACGCCGCCGGACAATGCAGGGCTGGGCGCAGATCGCCTGCTTCATCGGCTTTCTCGAGCTCTTTGCCATGAGGCGTGGAGAGTTCGGGGCCTCACTTCGAAGGGGGCTGGCATGAAATCTACCATTGCCATCTTTGTCATCATCGTTATTGTTGTGTTCATGATCATCATCATCGTGTGTCCATGTCATTGCGATTATTGTTATTGCTATTGGTATCATGGCAATTAGTCTTTGTATTATACTTGCGAGTATTGTTACTATTGGTGCTTTCGCAATTAGTAGCATTTTGCTCAGTAGAGGTTTCTGTCTTGTCCCGGTATTCTGCAACTCGCAGCTCGAGCTGCCAAACCAAGGAAAGGTGTCTCCGAAGCAAAGCCGTGCGTTTGAAGCAATATAGGGGCCTAAACAATTATCAACACTATTTTGGGGGTTCCTTAATCTAGATGTAGTATAATGGGCCCCGAAACCCTATTCGAATCATTAAGGCCCCTACATTTCTCGCTTGTCATCCACAAGTCCTGACTCCGTTGCATTGGAAGTGCAAAGGTCGCATTGAGTCGTCTCCCTGCTGCTTTTTCTTCTTCACATGCTCTGGGCGACCCTAAACCCTAAACCATCCTAAACCCTAAACCGCAGACCCTAAACCCTAAACCCTTCAAATTGGATGATGTTGTACAGATCTCTAACGGCCGTATTATGTTCAGGACCCCGAGAAGGAGCTTGATTTTGACAACCACCCACATTCGTTTAGTAACTTGTGCTTCAAGACCGGGTTCTTTGAGTTCCTTCCTTGCGATGCCTCAACCTGACCTCATGAAGCCATGCCTGCGAGAGCGAGCGTGCGAATCGAAAACCCTAAGCCCTAAAACCGTATTCTTTGTGGTTACAGATCCCTTATAGACCAGGCAGGAGAAGGACCGCGCCCCGGGCGACTTCGCGGGCTTCGGCAAGCTCGGCCTCCCGGGCGGCAGCGCGCCGATGGCGCCTGGGCCTATACATCTTAAGGAATACCTAGGGTTTTTTTAGGGATTTGTAGGGCTCCGTTAAAAGGATATATATATATATATGTATATATATATATATATATATATATGGGAGGTATTGGGAGGATGCCTTGCCTTGATCTTGGGGTTTAGGTACCCAAAAACTCCAGTATCCCTTAATCAAAAATATACCTGAAATCATATAGTAGGATCCTTAATATGATTTAAAGAATAGTTTCTATATAATTCATGATTTTGGAGTCTCTGGGTTAATAGTTAGAGGGTTGAGGGTTTTAGGGGCTTAGGGGTTGTTACAGGTATTTTGGGCTTTTGCGCTTCGGGGTTTTTACCTTAACATCGAAACCCCGCAATATAGGGTTTATGTAGAATTGTTTATGTTTTAATGGGGTTCCTGTAAACGGCTCTTTATACTGTAAGGTCTGCTTTCGATATACAATTTTAGTGTAGGGGCCCCAATGATGAGGACAGTATTTCCAAATCTTGAGATTCCTACAGTTGTAGTGGAATATGTATGGATATCCTGAGCAACTACTGTTCCCATCTTAAGCCGTTGTCTGCCTCTCATACCCCGAAGCCCGAAATCCAAGAACTCTATGACGAACCCTGCACAATCAGAACGAGGAACAACAAGGCTTAGCCATATCCTAGACACAAAAAATGATTCCCAAACCCCTGGCAACACGCAAAAGAGCGCATGAGTCGTAAATCTCGACGAAATATCATCCAGACCCTATGAGACACAAAACAAAAACGTCAAGGATCCTTCGGCCAACCAGCGCTCCCTTGATGCCGAGCTGAACAACGGCCGGCTCGTGGCGTGGCAGAATGGCTTTGGGGTTGGGGGCGTTTAGTGAGGGTTTAGGGTTTTGGCTTTGGGCTTAGGGTTTGGCGGGCAGGGCTTGGGGTTTGGGGTTCAGGAGTTGGTTTGGGCATGTCGATTAGAGGGAAGGCTATGGTTGAAGGTTGCGAAGCTCCTGGTGATGTTCTGTTGTGGCTTTAGTTGCTGAAGCTTGGAGCCTTTAGCAAGGATGCCACGATCTCTTCAAGAAGAGGTTCGCTGGCTTTACAAGTCACTTCCGGTTCATGCCGAATCAACTAAGACCATTCCGCAGGAGTTGTGTTTGGGCTTTCAGTGCCCGGTGCGTTTGCGGTTGTCGTTGTGGGTTCAGGGTTTTGAACCTTGGTCCGTTAACTCCCTACCTTTGGTCTGAGGGTTGCAGGCTTTTTGAAGCGGGCTTGACGTGTTTTCTTCAGTCAGATCCTGCGCTCAACATGTTTGTTCGTAAGCCCTCAGCCTCAGCGAAACCTAATGTAGGAACCTGATTAAGAAACCTTGGGCCTCTAACCCCGAATTAGTAGGATTCAAAGAAGGAGCCCTAATAAAGGCCCAAGGTTTCTTAATCAGGTTCCGGCAATAGGTCTCATCTTCCACACGGCCGACACCTCCAACTCTCTGCCATTCCAGGCGATGATGGCCATCACCGGCATGGTGGCCCAGAGACTTGGCTTTCAGCGAGCGCCAAGGTTTGCGACGGTTGGAGGCAGTCCTTCATCTTCTTCTCTCTAGACTTGTCAGTGGTTGCGATCGCTACGATGATGTTATGAGTTGCGCTATTAACTATGAGAAGTTCCTTGCTCGCGCGGCTACCCCTTTCTTCGACACTGTCGACAGGACCTGAGGGTTTGCGGTTTCGAGTTTTGGGCGTAGGGCCAACGAACGAACGAAGCTCCAGCTGCGAAGATTCTGTCAGCATGAGTCTTGTTTATGGTGGTTTGTCTTCGTTTCTTCTCCTGTTTGATGTCATTTCTGCGATTGTAATGCTTATTCACTAATCATGCATAGGTGTCACTACGGGTGTTATTCTTAGCATCGCTATTAAACTGTTTAGTACTACTGTTGTCACTAACATTACTGTTATTGTTGTTATTGTTATGACTATACTTGTGACAATGTGATGAGGTCTTTGGTATGGCATTGCTTGTTCGGCGAATTCTATCATGGTTTCGGGTTCAAGATTTAGGCTGAGGAAGCCTCACGATGTGGGTAATTCTCGAAATTAGGGCTCTTTTTTGGGTCTTCAAGATAATACGGCATTCTTATAAGAAGGACCATAAAATGGACCCTGGTTCCGGGGGTTGCCCCTTTGGGGCGCAAACTTGGCTTCAGGGTTGCTAGTTCAGGATGAGGGTTTAGCGGCATAGCCTGGCGCAATGCTCGCTTTCAGGAATGCCTTCTTTGGCACGACCGGCTCTTCCATGTGGCTGCCGTAGAGAGGCCAGCCTTGTCCTTTCTCATGGTTCCCCCAAAAGAATAAACAGACCGGCTAGTAGGCCTTCTTAAATACTAAGGGATATAGGTATAGGGCTCTGTCTATTATTTCTAAAAGGACAAGGGTGAGAGAGGCCGCTGTAGAGAACGGCCCTTCAGTTCAGGGTCCTTGCGTCCTACACCAACGTGACTCCTCTAAGCTCTAAACCCTAAACCCCTAAACCCTGCAAACCCTGAATACAAGATCCGAGTACACACCCTGAAGCATGAAGCTGCCAGATTGAAATCCTCAGTCATGTGAACTGCTGTCCCAATCCACCTTTGACACACGAACCCGCATGCTGGTAGCTTCGGGAATGATTCGCTTCCACTCCGTTTTTTTAAGTCAACCCAACCTTAGACCGGTACACATGGGTGGTTGTCAAAATCATGCTCCCTTATTATTGGGGTCCTTAATATAGTACGGCACCTAATATTTTGGGTACCCAAAAAGGGACCGTAATTTGACAACTACCCACATTGATCCTGTTTGTTGGGTTCTGAAAGGCCTTGTATAGAGGAAGGAGGTCACAAGCAGAAGAAGGAACCTGTTTGGATCGGGAGCTGTTCTTCACTTTGGGAAATCCTGCGGCGGTTTCTTCTGTACCGAGTTTGCTTGCATTGTGTGCGGGTGTCTTGTAAGTGGCTGCATTTTTAGAAAATCGGCTATTGGGATGGTCATGTGTTCGTGGGTCTGCTCCTTTGGGACCAGATTCCATGGCATGCTGCTAAACTCTAACCCGAACTAGTACCCTCCCGAACGGGTCCTTCAGCTGGACAAGTTAGTAGGCTTCAACAAGACCCTACACTGGAAACCGCTTGTAGAATCCTAAAGCCCATAAAAATAATAATACTATTGGTTCTTCAGCAATAAACAATGATAATAACAGTCTGGGCCCCAAGGGCTCCTGCCAGGCATACGTGGCCAAGGGCAAGGCGGCGCCCCATCGAGTGGAACGCTTTTTCTGTACAGCCGAACTGCCGGAGTGTGCGCTGTAACGCTCAGGCGATGGCAGGAGAGAAAAGGAATGCCCACCTGATGGCCCCTCCCCGCCCACGTTGGCAAGCCCTTGACGATTGATACTGATACTACTTCTTGTGGTTTCAGTGGTGAGGGTGATCAGTAGCACTGGTGGCGGTAGCTGCAGCGGTGGCAGCTTCGTCTGTTCTAGAAAACAGAGCCGTAATCCGTTACAGGATGCAAGAGCGGTGTGCACAATACTGCATGATGCAGGCCCCTAAACTCTAAGCTCCTAAGCCCTAAGCCTTCTAGAACCCGATGCTTTCCTCAACGGCAGCCGCGGCTCAAGAGGAGCCAGGAGGTCAGGAGGTGGAGCCCGAAGAAAGGACCTTCCGAAGACACCATGGCGGACGCCAAGCTGCAGTGGCACAATGTTTCTGGGGGACTCGGCAGTAGCAGTATGTAGCAGTATGTAGCAGTATGTAGCAGTATGTAGCAGTAGCAGCAGTACGTTGCAGGAAGTAGTAGAAGTAGACACAGGAAAGGAGGAGGCTTCTATGAGTCAAGGGTAGCCATAAGATAGGGGCCTATATAAATACCTATACCATCTCTTTTTTGTTGGGGGGGGGATTCCTGATTATATTTAAAGTATAATGGGCCCTAAAAACACTATGTTGGGGGGGTTCCCTCTCATAGTTATAGTATAGTGGGCCTCAAAAGCCTATTCCAATTATTAAGGCCCCTAGATCACTGGCTATGCTTCAGTCTTTAAGGAGTTTGGGGCTCTCTACTTCCAGGGACAGGGGACTGAGTAAGACTCTATTTATATAACTTAGATACTAAGTCCCCTTGGGCCTCCAAGTAGTAGTAGTAGTAGTAGTAGTAGTAGTAGTAGTAGTAGTAGTAGTAGTAGTAGTAGTAGTCGTCGTAGTAGTCGTCGTAGTAGTCGTAGTAGTCGTAGTAGTCGTAGTAGTCGTAGTAGTCGTAGTCGTAGTAGTAGTAGTAGTAGTAGTAGTAGTAGTAGTAGTAGTAGTAGTAGTAGTAGTAGTAGTAGTAGTAGTAGTAGTAGTAGTAGTAATCGTCCTTCGAGGCCAAGCCCCTGACAGTGGTTGCGGCAGCGGCTTCGGCCGCCTGGCTGTGCAGTGAGGCCTTCGTGCCCGGCGTGCAGCTGACCCGAGAGGCTCAGGCGCGAGTGATCAGCCCCTGACACGTAAATAGTAATCCTTACAGCGTTATGGAGAATTGCAGCACCAAATAAACCCTAAGCATGCTCTGGGCATTCGGTGGTTCACACACGGCCCGAAAAGCCCAAGATTTTGTTCCATGGCCTGCAGGCATGTAAACTTAGGTTCTATTGGGGTTTGCTTGGGGTACTTTGAGACCAGCGCTTTCCTCGCTTTCGGTAAGCCAGCTTCGTCGGCGCAGGCCCCCGCGGCCCACCTGCGCAGCGGCGCGCGCGCCTCCCGGGCCACGGGCTCCAGCCTGGCCAGCACCGCGGGCGCCGCGCTGCTGGTGGCTGGCGCCTGCGCCGCCCGCAGCCGCAAGGTCTCCACCTCCACGGCCGCCGGGCTTTACACTTGGTGCTTTTGCATGGGGGCGGCAGGTTCTGGTGTGGGATCTCAGGTCTGCAAGTCCTTCGAGAATGAGCTGGGCACCACCCTTCCCATGAAGTACTTCGATCCCCTGGGCATGGCCAAGGACTGCTGTGCTGCGCTGCCCTAGCCTAGGCTAGGCCGGGAGCGAGCTAGCACTATGTCGCACTTGACGCAGGAAGACGATGCGGAAGACTTCCGCCGCCGCCGAATGGCAGAGATCAAGAACGGCGCCCCGACCTCCAAGCACGTTTTCGGAGAAAGAAGCTGTAGAGTGCGTGGCTAGCGGCTAGAACTCAGTTGCACAGCATACTCTCGATCAAACGATAGCTATGCCAAGCAGGCATGCGCAGGTTGTGCATGCCTGTTTCAGACAGCTCAGGACGCGTGGCCATGCTTGCCACCATTGGCTACATTGCTCCAGAGTACTTCCGACTGCCCGGCTACTGCAGCCCTTCCGCAGGCCAGGAGTGGGGGAGGTTCATTCGCGTGTGTGTTTCTGGGATGGATCCGAGATCAGGCGGAGTCAGCTTGCCGCGCCTCTTTGAGCAAACGCCTCGTGTAGCAATGCTGGCAGATCGTGTAGTTCTGGGCTTCAAACGAGTCACGGCCCGCTGCGAACTTGTTGTCTTTCTGCCGGCCCTGTCAGATCTCAAGTTCGCGGACATCCCCAACGGAGTCCAGGCCCTCTACAAGATGCCCGCAGAGGCAGCGTCGTCCGCAGTACCGCGATGGAGTCGTGACCTGCTCGTAATCTCTTTGCCTTCGATGGCCCTTTTCTTTGGCCCCGGAAGAGAACTGGCAAGGAAGTACTGTAGATGGTGAATCAAAAGACCGTGTTGCAGTATGTATTCATCCTTAGTACATTCGAGTGCCATGCAACATCCTCATCCACACGCAGATGCAGCCAGCGGGAAGTTTTTTAGCATGGCATCTCCAATAATACAAAAGCAGAAACCTAAATAAGTATCAAAAGCATTCCCGTATAGTTACTCTATATAGCTCTACCATAACATACCCTTCCCCCCTTACGAAGAAACGAACCACGCTTGCAGCGCCCGAAGCAACCCCCCACCTTGCCTTTGCACGAGGGCTGGGCGCAGATCGCTTGTTTCATCGGCTTCCTCGAGCTCTTCGCCATGAGGCGGGGAGAGTTCGGGGCCTCCCTTTTTAGGATTCCGGGGTTGTTAGGGGTATTTAGAAATAGTTTTTAGTTTTTGGTTTTTATAATCCCTAAGAAACAGCTAAAATTTAAATTTTTGCTAGAGTTCTAAGTTCAGTATAGGGTTGTTCGTAGAGTAAAGATGCCAATCGTCGAAGGTTAGCCCTAATTCAGCCTGAGCCCGAGTCCCGAAACCAATTTGTGGGAAGCTTGAGAGATCGCAAGACCAAATCTCGAAGCCCGCAAGCCCCTTGTCCGAAGTTCCTCCACGCCTGGAACTGAACCGAGACCCTACGCCTTGAGCTGGAATAATTCAGGGGACTCAGTAATTAGAATGAGGTTTGGGGGGTTATTTTATGCTATAATTATAAGGAGGAACCTTATTCCAAGAATAAAGGACAGGGCTCTTCGACCCTCAGTCCTTCCAGCTCCTCGTCGTTGCTAACATAGGAGTCTGAATGCGGATGCATACCTTAGCCCACCAGAACCTACCTTTTTTGTAGGGTCCCTATAAATCCCATATCAGGGTTTATAATGAGAACCTACAAAGAAGTAGGGTTCAGTAGGTCTAGGTAGGGCTCTTTAGCGATCTCATGGTCGCGTTATGATCTGCCAAAGCCTATTCTAAGGAGCCTCTAAACCCCCCAAAAAGCTCGCCTTAAAGAATCACCAAAGTCCTAAAGGCCATAAAGCTCTCAAGCCCAAAGCCCAAAAACCTTAGACCCTACAATGTCACTGAAACCGAAAACCAGACACCTAAACCGTAAAACCCTAAACCCTAAAACCCTACACTCGGAACCGTATACTCTATAGATCCCTTATAGATTCCCTTAGAGGAATTCTAAGTAGATCCCCAAACTCCGAAACCCTAAACCCCAAACCCCGAAACCAGGCAGGAGAAGGACCGCGCCCCGGGCGACTTCGCGGGCTTCTCCAAGCTCGGCCTCCCGGGCGGCAGCGCGCCGATGGCGGCTGGGGCCTGCAGAGCTTAAGGGGCTATTATACCTTCAGGAGTACCTAAAGGGATGTGTAGGGTTCCGTTAAGGGATCTAGAGGCTTTTGGGGGGACTCCACTATCCCGTAATGGGGATCCAGAGCGAATCATGAGGGTTCCTTATGGCAATGGGCATCATATCCGGGCTCTCATCGGTTCTGGTATATGCACACACTCTAATGATTGGTTCGTGTATATATTTCCATTCACATACACGCGCACAGAGGTTTGTGGCTACAGTCGATTCAAGAGCCCTGACCGGGTTCAGGGGTGGGCTCAGAGTTTAGGTGTTGAACAGAGGGTTTAGAGTTTTGAGTTCCGAGGGCTCTTACAATGGCTGCCACCGAATATGTACGGTATTCGTATACATGGTAATATGTATGAACGTGTGTACTGTTATGTATGTATGTGTTTTATGTGCATACGTATGTATGTATGTATGTATGTGCATACGTATGTATGTATGTGTGCATGTGTATGCATGACTGTTGATGTGCAGCCGAAGTTTGGCTTATATGTATGGTCTTGTCATACTTTGGGCTCATCGTTCTTCTTGCAAACTGAGTGTTCGTAGCATGTCTCAAGAGCTGATCGCAGCTGATCGTGACTGTTCCCACTGAGTAGCCCGACCTGTGAAGGTTTGCGAGTCGCTTGAGCCCGACCTCCTATTCTAGTGAGGTAGGTACAACTTAAACATGTTGGGGACCATGACCACTTTCTTCCGTACATGGCCTCACCATGCCTATCGCGACTTAGGCCCCAAGCGGCCTTCTCAAGCACATAGAAATACAGGTCTCCCATAACCGGTGGTAGGATACCTATGAGGTGGATTTCAGAAACCCTCATTGAGACATGCTCATACTCGTGTGATCTTCACGGACCCCTGCAGGCTGTCGAACCGTGTGCACACCCCGATTGTCAGGACAAAGTTGTTCCCGACACCCTGGACCCCAACAACAGCCTGCACCAAGTCCTACACCCTTAGCTAACTGCGGGTGGAAACGGAGTCCAACAACAAAAAGAACCCTCCTCCTCCTCCTCCTCCTCCTCCTCCTCCTCCTCCTCCTCAGGATCCGGCGGCCAACCAGCGATCTCTGGAGGCGGAGATCAACAACGGCCGGCTGGCTCCTTGCTCAGTTGGTGAAGAATATGTGAGATATGCCAGCAGGGCAGACCGCAGTGACGATGCTGATGATGCAGAAGAAGGACAAGACCACAAGCTAGGGTTATGTTTGTTTCTTAACACCAAGACACAGAGTTCCGGGGTAGCAGCAAGTGCAATATAGATTCAATTCATCAGTGTCAATGAGCCACAGGAAGTTGTGAACTGTGAGCTTCCGAAATACAGCTGCCAAGAGACCACGAAAAAGTATTTGCGGCCGGACCAAAACAGTGCCCAGCATCGGTATGTAAGGATGCTGCCAATAAAGACAGACATCGTACTGGCGGGGCTCATGTGATCGAAATCGAGCTCACCGTTTCCAGGGCCCTAGGCCAATCGGTGTTCTTCTTGTTATTGCTATTAGTATTGTTGCTACTGCAGTAGCACTGCTAGAATTGTTAGTCTTTTTGTCATCATTGTCACAAGGTACCGTGGCAATCGCAGGGGCAGCACGGAGGGGGGAAATGGGGCAGTTATACGAGCGCTAGAGGAAGCGTTCATGGGTACGCGAAACACCAATTTTTCGATGTGGTTTCCTCAGCAATCGTCAGGGGGTTTTCTTCGAGCCTGGATCCCGGAACCCTAAACCCTAAACCTTTCGCCTGACCGCGCCATCGGCTCCTCAGCCCTTTCTGAGGCGATGATGGCCATCACCGGCATGGTCGCCCAGAGCCATGGCTCTGACTCTGAGCTCTTGCGCATGCATCTGAGTCAGAGACAGACCTCAGGAAACGATAATAGCAACAAGAACAGCAGCAGCAGTAGCAGTAGCAGTAGCAGTAGCAGTAGCAGTAGCAGTAGCAGTAGCAGTAGCAGTAGCAGTAGTAGTAGTAGTAGTAGCAGTAGTAGTAGTAGTAGCAGCAGTAGTAGTAGTAGCAGTAGTAGTAGTAGTAGTAATGAGAATAGTAGTAGCAGCAGTAGTAGTAGTAGTAGTAGTAGTAGTAGTAGTAGTAGTAGTAGTAGTAGTAGTAGAAGTAGTAGTAATAGTAACAGGAATAATATCTCCTGCCTGCGAAGCTTCTGCCTTCCAACCTTTCGCAATGCAGTCGGAATGATAGGCGATGGTAGTCCCTTACCTGTAGTCCCTCTGCAGCTATTCTAATATTTCCCAAAATCCTGCTCGAGTTTATTGGGTCCCCAATGGCCTCCATATTACCCAGAGACTCCAGTTTCCCTTCATCAGGGAATATACCTCAAATTATAGTGGGGATCCCATTATATTTTATGGTATATTCCTGAATTAAGGGAGGCCTCGATCTTCCTTCTACCATGGCCGGCGTTGCACTTCTCTCTGGGCGTTTAGGGTTCTCAAGGAAGGGGACCTCGGGAGCACCTAAGTATGAATGATTGAAAACATCAGTTTAGGATTCTGGGGTGAGTACATTTGCGAACAAGCTGCGGCAACTTGTAGATGGATCCTTGCACGTAAAGCCCAGAACCGAAGAGCCGTAAATTCCGCAAACTCTTCCTGCAGATACCGCTCAGGAATGCTTTCTTCGGTACAACCGGCCCGACCATGTGGCTTCCTGGCTCCTCTGCTTTTGAAGGCCATCGTGGTTGAGGGAGACTCCGAACAAGTCGTTGAGAGGGGTTTAGACTTTAGGGGAAACCGTGATAATGGTTTAGGGTTCAGTGTTTTTAGGCGCGGAGTGCTAAGCATAACACTCCAAAGTGACTAGATAGCTTGCTGGCTCTGGTTTGGGAACCTGCGTGGGCAGCCGGGTTCAGAAGGTTCTAGCATCAGCTGCATCATACCCCAAGCAGACACTCCCCTTCAAGGCAGCCCTAGAGACCATACCCAAGCCTTACCACCTTTGGAGTTGCAGTCTCAATAGCTAAGGCGGCATCTTTCGTAACTGCCGGGGTCTCCGGACCGACGCAAATCCTGCAGACCAAAGATCCGGCTCCCTACAGGAAAGGGCTCAGTGATAGCAGGAAAGTGGATCGAAGCAAAAAGTCACAACATGCGAACCACTGAAGGCGGTGATAGCTGAGACCTTGAACTGCAACGTACCCAACAGCATGCTCTCCAATGACGTCCTTCTTTTGCCCTCCCCCAAGTAGTAATCTCGCCTGCCGGCTGTAAAGTCCAAGCTTTAAAGTACTACTCATAATGAAAGGCACCCCCTACTATACTGCTGTCCTACTCAACCCTAAACCCCAAGCCATGAACACGACAGGGGAGCTCGGTGTGCAAGCGCCCGTGGGCTTTTGGGACCCCCTTGGGCTCTCCGCAGACGGGGACGCCTGGGGACCCAAGGGTTTTTTTTTGGTCTAAGATTCGAATATTTCGGAATGTTCTTGCATGTAAGCATCATTCATCACATACTAAGATATTCCACAAAACCTATTTTATTTATGAAGTCTATTGCAGTGGTATCGACTTCGTAAAGAGGCTTTCTGCTGGTTGGTCCACTGGTCACAGCCATAAATGGGGCTGCGCAGTTTGGAGGTGGCAGTGGGAGAGTGGAACCTATAACATCTTCCTTCGCAGCATCCCGTTTTGAAGAGAGCTTGGGTTGAACGGGCCGATCAGGCCTGGGTGGAGTCCCGAACATGCACAATCAGTCAACGCCTAGTGCAGAAATCACTGTTTAGGCCGTTTGCTGCTCTCGCATCCTAAAGCCGAAGACCTTGCACCCTGAACCCCGACTCCTCAAATTATGCTTCCCTTCGAATGTTTCTGATTCTGCGAAGCATGTTTTGCCCTACACCCCCAACACTTAGACATACAAAAGTCGGATCTGGAACACCCACTCAATGCCATTGAGCCTCTCCCTCTGTTTGTACACATGTAACCTCGTGTTGACAAGCTGCTACGGATGCTGGCAGCTTGAAATGGAGACTGCCAGTAATGATGCTGAAGGTAAGAGTAAGCTAGCTGCCAAAAGTTGGCAACATGTAGCACTGAAAATGACAAGGATGACCGCAAGCAAACTATACCACGCACTGACGATAAGAACCATACTAGTGTCTGTCAGAGTACGGGTCATCATATTCATATTTGTGAGAGTGAGCATATTCAGCACCAGCATACTGTAAAGCTAGTAACAAGAATAATCATAACCATGCTGGTAGTAGAAGTCGTTGTCGTAGAAGTCGTCGCAATGGTAGTTGTCGTCTAGTCGTAGCAGTACTGATCGTCGTCGTCGTAGTAGTAGAAGTAGACATGAAGCAGCAGTGGTCGTCGTAATCGTCGTCGTAGTGTCGAGTGGTAGTGGTAGTGGTAGTGGTAGTGGCAGCAGCAGCAGAAGCAGCAGCAGGACTAGTAGTAACAGTACTCTTCTAGTAGCAGTAGTAATTAGTAGTAGTAGTAGTAGTAGTAGTAGTAGTAGTAGTAGTAGTAGTAGTAGTAGTAGTAGTAGTAGTAGTAGTAGTAGCAGTAAGTTGAGAGGTCGACACCTTCAAGCGCCGCAGGGCTGCCGAGCTGAAGCATGGCCGGATCTGTGCGAAGCCCAGCAGGTTTCGGAGGGCGGGAGCAGGGACGGAGAGAGAGAGAGAGAGAGAGACAGAGAGAGACACAGCAAAGCAAAGAGCGAGAGAGTCAGGGGTTCTATGCAGGGTTGATCTATGCAGAGGGAAGACGTGCGATTGTTCAGGCTGGCAGAGTTGGTTTGGAGATTTTCTGCTGTTGCCAGCTGTTGGTTGCTATGAAGCAGCTAAAGCCTTGCCCATTCAAGACCACACACACCCTGCACGAGTAGTCGCCGCCTGTGCAAGCCCAAAGGGTTGTCACAGACCTTGTGGGCACAGATGAGCAGTGCTTAGCCTGAAAATGCCAGGACAGTGGGAGAATAATGTTTCAACAGGTCTGGACTTGAAACATTGCTTGAGTCGCCCAGAGAGAGAGATTTCTGCTGTGATGTAGATGATTGTAGCTGGCGTGCTGCATCCTGGAAGGAGGAAGCTCAAGACTTTATTCAGTAGGTCAATTGCATATCACCTCGCTGTTTCGATGGCTTTGACATGCGCAGTTTCCCTGCTGGCTACCCGCTACTGAGGCATGTTGGCCTGCGTTGCTTGCTCGCACCTTTGGGGACCTGAGCACAGAAGTTTCGCGCAGATTTTGTTCCATTGGAGTGTGACATGCATCCTCATTACACCCGCCAATAGGGGCTGTGCTTCGTTTAAGAGCCCTCGTTCAACCACCCGAAAGAGTCTGAAGGTGGGATACATCGTGCCGGAGTACTTCCGCTGGCCCGGTTTCCTTTCACCGGAGAAGGGTCTCAAGTTCGCTGACATGCCCCACGGTATCGCAGCCATCTCCAAGGCTGATCTTGGAGGGAGCACGAGAGATGTTTTTGTTGGGCGTGTCCTGCCGGCAGTTGTAGTCATAGCCGCCATGGCCACAGTTCAAGCAGATACAGGCAGTATGCAAGGCATCCGTCCGTGCACACTGTGACCATTGCCAACATTTGTCATTTGTCTCTTTCATAATTGTGTTCCCAGAAGTTGAAACGGCACAGACGTGGTGATTACTTCTTGCACAACATGCCATCTAATTCGATGCTGTCTGCAGTTCGAGCACACCCAATTTCGCGTGACTGAACTCCGGTGATCACAAATGGTAACTTTTTCTCGTGTACAATGGCGTTTGCAGTACGAAGCTCTCTTTTCAGCCGCTTGTTGCTTGCTTCCTCGCAACCTTTTCTGACAAGCATACGGAGTGAAGCGTCTGCCCCCCCACCAAGAAACAACCCACACAGAATTGTCAAATCTGAGACGGCAGGTCCCCCTGGAGGGCTGGCTGCAGATCGTCCTGTTCGTCGGCCACTACGAGGGCTACTTCTGGCGCCAGGATCCCAAGCGCGCCCCGGGCGACTACGAAGGCTACGGGGACCAGCGCCCGGCAAGCCCCGCTTCGGAGTGTGATCGTTTTTGTATGACTGTTAATATGGGGCCCTAAATAAATTCCAATACTATTGTGGGGTTTTTATTACTAGAGTTACAGTAGATAATTGGCCCCCCATAACCCTATTCTAATTATCAAGGACCCCACATTATTGTCAGTGTCCTTGTCAGTATAGTCTTGCTTTCATGAATGTCTCGGCGGTTCTATTCACCACGGTTGCTATCAGGTTAGGCGCATCCGTGCTATTAGCATGATTTCACGTTCTGCATAGGCCGCCTTCGTGGTAAGAGAGCCGGAAAGTTTGTGATGCATTGCTTTACTTGAAACCTGAATCCCGTAAACCCTAAACCCCATAAGCCCATACAAAAAAGATATGCTAAATCTGAAGAGGCTACGGCTTCCTGGGTGTGGGCAAGAACTTCATCGTCAACGTCGACCCCATCGAGTTCCAGGACGCCGAGGCAGCGCTGTTCAGGGCATTTCGGGCTTCAAGCTCGTTAGGTTTTGGGCTGTTTGTGTTTTTTCGGTTTTGGGTTCAGGGGTCCGGTGTACAATTCCATCCTTAGATATACATAGGCGTGTCTTGAAGTTGACGTACAGTCGATTCAGGGTATGGCTTGGGAAAAAGATATACATAGGAGGTTATGTCCCCCAGCGCTAGTTGTAGTTAGGCCGCCACAAACTACTTCTCGATCCCGCAAATCGTCTGTGGCAGGTGAAGAAAACCAAGCTTTCCGCCGAGATTGCGAATGGACGATTGGCACCTGGACTCCACCTCTCTGAAGTAATTGCACTGTTTCGAGGGTATGTTGAGATGGTAAAGCCCGAGATTCGTGTACATCCATCTGTGGAAGCAAAGTGGGCAAACACCCTACAGGATTCGACAAAACGCTATGTGTGCAGCTGGTCCAGACCAGGGGCGCTTCCTCGGAAATAGACTTGTGCAACACAGACGCCTAGTGCAATGTACTTGTTTGATTCCAGAAACATGCAGGATGATACCAGTATCAACAAAGCTGGTGAAAGTACAGCTGGCAACAATGACGACCTTGAGAATCATAGCTATGAGAACGATCACCGCTTGTTGTAGCATAGACATATTATGAATTACAATACTACAGCATAATGCAATGCCGATCTTTTGACAGGGTAGTCTAAGGGACTGTTTGTCATTGAATAGAATGACCGAAGGCAACACCGGGAAGAAACACATAGACAGTTGCTCTTGGGCGCGACTCCACCCGCATCGTAAGACTTACAAGCACGAGAGAGGCGCACAGCCCAGCAAAAGTAGTTGACCAAAACAGCACTAGCAACCCACCAGAAGCACAAGCTGCGACGTCCTCATACATGTCAATTCGCAGGAAAGCTAAGCTAATGGAGGCTCTGGACTTTGAATCTCGACCAGAAGCAGAAGCACGAGATGAAGCACGAGGAAGGAGCAGTTAACGGTGCAACATCACGAAACAGCAATCTGATGGATCAGAGAAGCATCCAAAAAACACAAGACAACTGCATTGCCCCAAGCACAAGCGCAAATGCGACTACGAAGGATAATGTGTTGGTGTCGGGTTGCTTAGCAACAGCTTCCCCAACAGTTTTGCTTGCGCCGACCCCCTCACCCCAAATCAACCGAGTCTGGTTGTTCAGGGCTCCCTCTAAGCATCACCCTTAAACCCCAAACTCCTCAAATTAACTACAGGCGATGGTGGCCCTGATGGCAATGCTTTTTCAGAACGGCACCGTGGGCTCCACCGGCCCTGCTTCTTGGAGCTATTGTCCAGGGCTTTGGTTTAGGAAGGTTCGATTGCGCACTGGCTACGGCTTAGGAACTTCTAACCCCTTGTTGGTAATGATGGATTAAACATACCCCAACACCGTAGTTTAGTTCTTAAGGCTGCATCTTGCATGAAGTGGCTGGGAAATTTGTTCTGGGGAAACTGCGGGATGTTTGCTCGACAAGGGTCAGGTTCTGCAAGCTTTTAAAATGCTTCAGGGCGTGCTCTACCTGCATTTATTCAAGGTTCCTCAATCAGCCGTTTCCTTCGGGGGTTCCCGCTGGGGTTCCTGGAAAAACAATTGTTCCACCCTAAACCTTTAACGGGGTATGAAGAGAGTGCGGGCCAGCCTACACCCTGAACCCTAACGAAAAATGGACTCTGCAAGGGCACGCTCAGGCTTCAGGTGTAAGACTAATCATTACTCTGCTCGACTAAATAGTATTCGCCATTTTACTATAATGAACTCCCAATGCTTGGTTCTAATTATTTAGGCCCTAGATGTGCGGCAGAGTCTGAAGTTAGAGTCAGAAGGTCATTATTTCGGGTTTGCTGTTGTAGCAACCTTCGTAATTAGTACTGTAATCCCTGTGGGCGACCCGTTGTAGTCAGCTGTCGTCGTTGAACGCCATGATTGAGGCCATGTGGCTGCCCGCAGCATGAGTTGCCGGAGCCCGGACGTTTGGAGGTAGTGGGAAAGACGCCTGGGGCAGAAAAAGGATGATGGCATCTGTCTCAGAAGCTTTGCATTGCAACCTATAGCAGGCAGGGTCGCAGGGGTGCACGTCGAAGTGCAAAGCAGATGGGACAAGGATACCAATATCATTCCTCAGGGTTCCTTGTTGTTGTTTCCTTATTACTCTAAGCCCCAAACCCCGTTTTCATTATGAAAGACCGTGAATATAACGTACCCGAGATCGGATTGAACTCCGAAAGTTTGCATCTGACGATTGATACTTGTTGTTGCGGTTGCAGTGGTTTTGGTCAGCAGCAGCAGCGGCGGCGGCGGCGGCAGCTATGGTGCCGGCAGAGGGTGGCAGGTTCTTCTGTATTAGAAAGCAAGATAAAGACAACTGTAATCCCTCACCGCTGCCGGAGGGCGGGGCGGTGTGCAGGATAATATACCATAATATACCATAATATACCATAATACTATACCATAATACTATACCATAATATGCCATAATGAATCCTGCAGGGCCCCTAAGCCCCAAGCCCTCAGCCTTGGAGAACCCCGATGCCTTCCTCGGCAGCCGCGGCTCAAGAGGAGCCAGGAGGTCAGGAGGTGGAGCCCGAAGAAAGGACCTTCCGAAGACACCATGGCGGACGCCAAGCTGCAGTGGCACAACGTTTCTGAGGGACTGTCAGTATGTAGCAAAGGGAGGAGGAGGAGGCAGAGTAGTAGGTTTCTAAGAGTTTCCCGTTGAGTTTGGAAGGGTTTCGATTCGAGCTACTCCTAGGGCTTTCTTGGGATCAGGGCCTTTCCCGCGAGATTCCCGAGGGTACCAAACTGCTCAATGCATGGCCTGCGGCTGAACCGAGGCATCCCAGTACTCCTGAACCAAGAAAATCGCCCTGACATCGTATGAAGAAGTCGTCTATAAGCTAGACTTCATTCCTTAAGGAGCTTCGAGTTTGGGACACTAGTTATAACCTACTATGGTAGTAGTAGTAGTAGTAGTAGTAGTAGTAGTAGTAGTAGTAGTAGTAGTAGTAGTAGTAGTAGTAGTAGTAGCAGGAGTAGGAGTAGGAGTAGGAGTAGGAGTAGGAGTAGGAGTAGGAGTAGGAGTAGGAGTAGTGGTAGGAGTAGTGGTGGTAGTAGGAGTAGGAGTAGGAGTAGGAGCAGGAGTAGGAGTAGGTGTAGGAGTAGGAGTAGGAGTAGGAGTAGGAGGAGTAGGAGGAGTAGGAGGAGTAGGAGGAGTAGGAGGAGTAGGAGGAGTAGGAGGAGTAGTAGTAGTAGGAGTAGTAGTAGAAGAAGTAGTAGTTTAGTAGCAGTAGTAGTAGTAGTAGTAGTAGTAGTAGTAGTAGTAGTAGTAGTAGTAGTAGTAGTAGTAGTAGTAGTAGTAGTAGTAGTAGTAGTAGTAGTAGTCGTGGTAGAAGTAGAAGTAGAAGTAGAAGTAGAAGTAGTAGTAGTAGTAGTAGTAGTAGTAGTAGTAGTAGTAGTAGTAGTAGTAGTAGTAGTAGTAGTAGTAGTAGTAGTAGTAGTAGTAGTAGGAATCGTCCTTCGAGGCCAAGCCCCTGACAGTGGTTGCGGCAGCGGCTTCGGCCGCCTGGCTGTGCAGCGAGGCTTTCGTGCCCGGCGTGCAGCTGACCCGAGAGGCTCAGGCGCGAGTGATCAGCCCCTGACACGTAAATTGTAATCCTTACAGCGTTATGGAGAATTGCAGCATCAAATAAACCCTAAGCATGATCTGGGCATTCGGTTGTTCACGCACGGCCCGAAAAGCCCAAGATTTTGTTCCATGGCCTGCAGGCATGTAAACTTAGGTTCTATTGGGCTTTGGGTACTTTGAGCCCGGCGCTTTCCTAGCTTTCGGTAAGCCAGCTTCGTCGGCGCAGGCCCCCGTGGCCCACCTGCGCAGCGGTGCACGCGCCTCCCGGGCCACGGGCTCCAGCCTGGCCAGCACCGCGGGCGCCGCGCTGCTGGTGGCCGGCGCCTGCGCCGCCCGCAGCCGCAAGGTCTCCACCTCCACGGCCGCCGGGCTTTACACTTGGTGCTTTCGCATGGGGAGGGCAGTGTCTGGTGTGGGATCTCAGGTCTGCAAGTCCTTCGAGAATGAGCTGGGCACCACCCTTCCCATGAAGTACTTCGATCCCCTGGGCATGGCCAAGGACTGCTGTGCTGCGCTGCCCTAACCTAGGCTAGGCCGGGAGCGAGCTAGCACTATCTCGCACTTGACGCAGGAAGACGATGCGGAAGACTTCCGCCGCCGCCGAATGGCAGAGATCAAGAACGGCGCCCCGACCTCCAAGCACGTTTTCCGAGAAAGAAGCGGTAGAGCGCGTGGCTAGCGGCTAGAACTCAGTTGCACAGCATACTCTCGATCAAACGATAGCTATGCCAAGCAGGCATGCGCAGGTTGTGCATGCCTGTTTCAGACAGCTCAGGACGCGTGGCCATGCTTGCCACCATTGGCTATATTGCTCCAGAGTACTTCCGACTGCCCGGCTACTGCAGCCCTTCGGCAGGCCAGGAGGTTCTTTGCCGTGTGTGTTTCTAGGATGGATCCGAGATCAGGTGGAGTCAGCTTGCCTCTTTGAGCAAACGCCTCGTGTAGAATTGCTCGCAGATTGTGTAGTTCTGAGTTTGTCCGGGCCTTTTGCAGTGCGGACAGCTGGGAGATGAGTACGGGGAGAAGCGCGCCTGCGTTCAGCCTTGCTGCTCAGGCCAATAGGCCGCATTGGCTTATAGGCTCGAGATCAGAGGCATTCGCAGAGAGCAGGTTGAGTGTCCACAGCAAGATCATGGCGAAGGCTGCGCGCGTGATTTCGATCCTGGCCGTGGGAGTTTGCTTCTGCAGCCTTCCGGCCTTCGTGCCGACGCCTGCTCGCCCGGCTCGCAGCATGGCACCTGCAGCTGCAGGAGCACTGAGCATGCTGGGCGCAGCGCCTGCTTTCGCGGACAAGATCGACGACGCGGCCAAGAAGCTGTCAGACGCCTCTTACCCCTTCCTGAAGGAGATCGACTGGACCGCGGACTATGCGAAGAACATCCCAGGAGCGGATCCCCTGCAGATGGCAAAGGCCATCAGCAAGACCATCGACATGGGTGCGGCTATGGACCCATCTGCTTTGAAGGCCGGCGTCCTGGCTCACTCCAAGGCGATTGGCAGCATCGATGCCAACGGCCTGACCTCCAAAGCTGATTACCAGGCCATCAACGCAGCCATCGGTCACATGGTCTCCTCGGCCGGAGAAGCCAAGACACTGGACGTCTACAACGCCTGGGCAGGTGTCGTGGCCGCAGCCGTGGCCTCGGGCAAGGGAATCCCGGCGTACCTCATCGGCACTGTGAACCCGACAGACGCAGAGGCTGCTTACAAGGCCTTCCTCGAGTTTAAGGATGTGTTGAAGTCCACGATGCAGTGATCGGAGATGATCGTGGAATGTGTCGAGTCGTGCAGGAGTGAGCGCGGCGGCGCCCATCCGATTTAAAGACTTGATTTCGTAAGTTGCATATTTTCTTAAGGGCCCACTGGGTCCACCGAGCTCTTGCCCGTGGCTGGCAGTCAGCCGCGACGCGTGCGTGACATCTTTAAATGTGTCGGCGGAAAGGAAAGGCTGGAGGCTCCCGTTCAGTGCTTAACGGCGAGAGGCCTTCAAGCCTCTCTGAAGGCAGAGATATGGAATTGACTTCTTGGGTTGAGTTGTTTTGTGGATGTTGGGCCTGTTGAGAGGCTTTTGAGAGCTTTTGCGGCTTTTGAGGGGCTTGGGGCTGTTGAGTTTCGGGTGCCTGATGTTTTTCCTCAAAAACCAGGTTTCAACTCAGAGAATCTCGCTGCTCCGAAAGCGGATCCCTAGCCATTTAGGAGCCAGATGGTACAGCAGATGCGTTCCCTTGCTCCTGCACAGCTATTGTGAACTTGTTATCTTCCTGCCTGCCCTGTCAGACCTCAAGTTCGCGGACATCCCCAACGGAGTCCAGGCCCTTTACAAGATGCCCGCAGAGGCAGCATCGTCCGCATTGAAGTACCGAGTTGGAATCGGACTGGCTTTGGAAACTCGTAATCTCTTCCCCCTTCGGTGGCCTTTTCTGTGGCCTCCGGAAGAGAACTAGCAAGCAAGTAGATGGTCAGCCAAAAGACGGTACTATACATGTTGTTCACCCTCAGTAGCGTCGAGCCCCATGCCACATCCTCATCCACCAGCATGGGCAGTCAATGGGCTTCTGATTCTCGGCACATCCAACAGTTTAGAAGCCTACATAATTATCGACAGCATTCCCTGATATTCCCTTTGCATCAGTTATGTTAGTTAGAACATGCCCCCACAAAAAAAAACCATATTGATAATTGTGCAGGCCCGTTCGTGCGCCCAAGAGCCAGGGACTCCCTGTAGACACCCCCAAACCCTACTCTAATTAATAAATAAGGCCCCCATATCATAGAACCCTACTATAGATCCCATACAGAGCCTTTTACAGACCCCTGGCGAATGTGCGAAGCACTGCTGCAACGTCCGAAGCCAGAGACTCCAATACCCCGTAATTTGAGGAATACACCTTAACATGTAGAAGGATCCCGAATATGGTTTAAGGCATATTCCTGAATTCAGGGATTTTGGAGTCCCCCAAACCCTAAACCCTACAGATCCCTTACAGGAACCCCCCCCCCCTATAAATCCCTTTAAAGGAACCCTTGGAGTCTCTGGGGAAGCAATCCCCAGCTTGTTCTTTGCAAGAGGGCTGGGCGCAGATCGCTTGTTTCATCGGCTTCCTCGAGCTCTTCGCCATGAGGTGGGGAGAGTTCGGGAATCCCTGCTTTGGGGGTTCGTACATTGAGGGATCCTCGTCCTGGGCTAAGGAAAGAATCGTCAAAGCAGACATGAGTATGGATCGGGGTAAGTCCGGCCCCGTATATCCCCCATAAGCCGAAGTTCCTTCGCGACGAGAATTGAGCCGGAGCCTTTACGTTTAAGGCTGCTAGGGCGTGTTGTGGAGACTAAGAGGCAGCTCAAAGCCAGAACTTCCAGACATACAATACCTGAAGGACCCAATGAGGGGCCCTATGCCCATATATTATGAACCCCTATATGGTATAAGAGCCTTAACCCCTTTTATCCTTCATTTCGTCCTTAAGGTAGGAGGATTGATAATCAGAGCAGGGCGTGTAATAATCTACCAAAAGGCCTTACTTATTCTGATTGTATTGATTACAATGGCCTTTGTGTAAACACACATCCTGAATACCTAAAACCCTCAAGCTCCAAAACCCAAAGCCCTAAAACGTAAAAGCTCTACAACGCGAGGGAGGGGAAATTCCCATAAACCCATAAATCATAAACACTACATATATATATATATGTACACCTAGACTGCATTATAAACCCTTAAACCCTGAACCCCTAAACCCCCTGAAACCAGGCAGGAGAAGGACCGCGCCCCGGGCGACTTCGCGGGCTTCTCCAAGCTCGGTCTCCCGGGCGGCAGCGCGCCGATGGCGCCGGGGCCTGCAGAGCTTAAGGGCTACACTCCAATGACCCACATGTGTATGTGTATACATGTATATATATATATATATAGATTTGTCTTTTGATACATACATACATACATATATAGTACAAATATATATATATATATATATATATATATATATATATATATATATATATATATATATATATATATATATATATATATATATATATATATGGGCGCACCCCTATTTGGGGTCCCCTACGTTTTTCGCTATACCAACTGACTCGGTTATAACCACCAGACTAGGTTATAACCAGCCGAATAGGTTATAATCAGGTGTACGTCATCGACTACAGCATTATATCCGGTTTGAAAACTAACCCGGGAAGTTGCAACAACCCATGCTTTCAGAATGCTGAAACCCGCACAACGCTAAGAATTCTATGACACCCTCGTCGGAACCCTGTTACAATGTGCTAAAATCCTTGCCTTGAAGCCGTCGATATATCTTCGTAGTTCATCTTTGTGTGACTGTATCTAAACCGCTGTATTTCAGTTTTTTCCAACAAGCGCGCTGTAGTCATGAGTCTGCTTCAGTCATTCCTTATCGCGAACTAGATTTTGGAACGAAAAGTTCTCCATCTTCGTACTGTAATGCCGCAATCCCACCAAAGTCTCTGTTGTTGGACGCATTGCTCTGACGTTTTGGCAAACTGATAGCTTTCAATGACATATCCCTGTGCCCCTATGTGATTGCTTTTAAACACTGGTGTACCCGGTAGGTGTATTTGAGTGGTGCATTCCTTAATTCTGTATGACGGCTGCCCCAAGCCAAAATTGAAAACTTGCATACTACAAGCTTAGCAAACGTTGTATAGTGTTTTTCCTGGGGGACGACATGAAGCGTCGCTTCTTAGGACGCGCACTGTCTCTATATGCTGAGTGATGAAGCCTGTGTTTTTTTGTATCAGCATACTTTAACCATCACGTAAAGCCGACTGAAAACCATAAGGCTACATCTATCTTGTCCGAATTTCTGTTTGTGTTCTTGTGAATATTCACTGAAGGTCGAATAGAAGCCATTATTCCCAGTCCAGAACGTGATCCTCGTGTTAGAAAGAGTGGTAACCACACACCGAATCACTCCTCGAAAGAGGTTCATCCATGTAGTTGGAAATAGCAGCGCTAGGAATTTTCTACGTACCGAGCGAGGAAACCTAACAATTTGCAAGTTGCAAATTTTGTTTCGCTCACCACACATCTTCTTATCAGTTTTGTCTCGTTGAAATCCGGCTTCCTTGGAACGATGTTTGAACATAACGCTGCAACCAGTTTGCCTATGTACGAAGTGATGAAACCTGACCACGCTGTAAACTTTGAAATACTGTCTCTCCCCTACAATGACGTCGTATCAGTCGTATCTCAACTTTCTGTGTACCGTGATATTCCAATGTTGACAACACTTACTGACCTACTGTAATCCCGATAGAGCCCCTTCATATTCCGCATTTTGATTCCTGGGTGAGTGACATGTTAGCGGCTATTCTCTCAATGTGTACACTGATCTCATAAACCCGATGTACTGGAACGGACAGACCATTATGTAAAGTCCGCCATATAGCCTTTCCGCTAAAGTTGGGGAATGCGCACATGGTCCCCGGAATTATGTTTGTTACAGAGCACTGCATCATGCCTCAGCAACCGAATACATGCCAATTACCTGGGACCTCTATTCTTCTAGTCCTTGTTTACTTTCATTGCGGTTACATTCACTGAAACACCGAAACGTTCGAACGTTTGGATTTAGGTGTTGATGAAGTAGCGGTGGCACAGGCCTGGTTATAACCTCTGTCCCCGGTTATAACCAGGACACCTGCGTAGTAGACAGCCCCAGACCCATCACTAAACCATTAAACCATCAACAAACCATTAAATTAGTACACCGTTAAACCAATCCTTTCCCCCAATGGACCCATACCAATAAACCATTAAACCATTAAACCGATCCTTTTGCCCCATACCACTAAACCATTAAACCATTAAACCAATCCTTTACCCCATACCACTAAACCACTAAACCATTAAACCATTAATAAAACCAATCCTTTCCCCCAATGCCCCTAAACCACTAAACCATTAAACCATTAAACCAATGCTTTCGGCCCATACAGGGATGTGTCTCTCTCTATAGGGGAAATGATTGGTTTAATGGTTTAATGGTTTAATGGTTTAGTGGTATGGTGCAAAAGGATTGGTTTAATGGTTTAATGGTTTATTGGTTTGGGTCCATTGGGGGAAGGGATTGGTTTAATGGTTTAATGGTTTATTGGTTTGGGTCCACTGGGGGAAAGGATTGGTTTAATGGTTTATTGGTTTGGGTCCATTGGGGGAAAGGATTGGTTTAATGGTTTAATGGTTTAGGTGTGCAAAAACCCAGGGGACCCCATATAGGGGGGTCCCCATATATATATATGTATATATATATATGTATATATATATATATATGTATGTATGTATGTATGTATGTATGTATATATATATATGTATATATATATATATATATATATATTCGATCTTTTCTTAACACACACACATGCATGTACATGTATTTTCTGAGGATCCGGCGGCCAACCAGCGATCTCTGGAGGCGGAGATCAACAACGGCCGGCTGGCTCCTTGCCCAGTTGGTGAAGAATATGTGAGATATGCCAGCAGGGCAGACCGCAGTGACGATGCTGATGATGCAGAAGAAGGACAAGACCACAAGCTAGGGTTATGTTTGTTTCTTGAAGCCAAAATGTAGAGTTCCAGGGTTTGCTGCCAATGGGGGTGTAAATTCAGTTCATCAGTGTCAATGAGCCACAGGAAGTCGTGAACTCGGAGCTTCCGAAACACAGCTGCCAAGAGACCACATTGAAAGACGTGAATTCCGACCATGAGTTAACACCATGCAGCATCAGTCTGCAGGGATGTGGCCAGCAAAGATAGACATCGCACGTGACACAGCAATGTCAGCCACATCGAAATCACCGTTGCTAGAACAACTATTCTTGTTCTCGATACTGCCATCAATATTCTGCTTGCCACTATATGGGCACTACTCGACTTTTCGTCTTCTTGTCGCCATCATCATGACGTTCTCTCTATCGCCATCATCACCATCACCAAAATTGTGGAAATTAGGCTACATCCCAATCTTCCTCGTGGTTCTTGCAAGCGTCGGCATCATTCTCAGACATGTACCTTTGCAATTGTATGGGCAGGATGGGGCCAGTCATACAAGAGTTAGAAGCATACATGTGGCTCCGAAACAGTATTAATCATTTTTCATTTCATTTTTGGCATCGGCGGGTTCAAAGCTTGGTTTCCAGCCCCAAAACTGCACCTCCCCCTGGCCCCGGAATACCCTCCTCCCCCTAACCTCGCCACCGCCTCCCAAGGCGATGATGGCCATCACCGGCATGGTGGCCCAGAGCCACGGCCCAGATTCGGAGCTCTCGCGTGTGCATCTGAGTCAGAGACAGACCTCAAGAAACAAAATTAAAAGCAACAACAACAACGACAACGATACTAGTGCTAATGACAAGGATAGCCATAACCGCAATAACAATGAGGACTCTGATGAAGCAATAACACGAACAGCAACAGCGAATCTTGTTATAATCACAATAATACTCATTATAATAACAATAACGGTAGGAATAGTGACACATCGCAGTAAATCGATTTTGTAATGACCATGTAATAACCATAAGTTTCGTACTAGTATTAGCCCCAATATTACTGATGCTCATTTTTGTTAGATTATGTAGATGCTGAAAATAAGTATTATTGAAATCACTTTTACTCTCAGTGTTCTTAATGCGATTACTGTTGCTATCGCTATGAGTATTACTATCACTATTACTATTACTCTGGCCATTGCTATAACTGTTGCTGTTGCCGTTACCATTTCTATTGCTGTGATTAATAATGCTATAAGTATAGTTTTTGACAATGGTGTTTACTCTGAAAATCCGAAAATGGCAAATCGGAATGATCCTAATCATGATAATATTCAAGCTGAATAGTAGAAATAATATCTCATGCCTCAGCCTCTGAAGCTTCTGACTTCTAACCTTGATAGCAGTCGGACTCATAGGCAATAGTAGTCCCATACCTATAGTTTCTCTTTAGCTATTCTATAGTGTTTCCCAAAACTGGATTCTAATTGTTAACGCCCGAACGTATGGTCATAAACCAGGTAACGATACTTATAATTGGATATAACCCAGTTAGGTTACTTATAACTGTACTTACTAGATCCTAAATTCCACAAGCCCTGCAGATCCCGCTCAGGAATGCTTTCTTCGGAACAACCGGCCCGACCATGTGGCTTCCTGGCTCCTCTGCTTTTGAAGGCCACCATGATTGAGGTTTGAAGTTTGCGAGACTTCGAACATGTAGTTGTAAGAACCCCAATGTAACCCTAAACCCTAAACCGTAGCTTGCAGGCTCTAATGTGGGAACCTTTGTGGATTCCCGAGCCAAGAAAGGCAGTTTCCTCCTGCTACTCGTGAATTTGAACCGTGAGCAGCAGTTCTACGCACTACGCCTGCTGGTTCTAGCACTTGTGTTGTTGTTGTTGTTGTTGTTGTTGTTGTTGTTGTTGTTGTTGTTGTTGTTGTTGTTTGTAGTAGTAGTAGGGTAGTAGTAGTAGTAGTAGTAGTAGTAGTAGTAGTAGTAGTAGTAGTAGTAGTAGTAGTAGTAGTAGTAGTAGTAGTAGTAGTAGTGTAGTAGTAGTAGTAGTAGTAGTAGTAGTAGTAGTAGTAGTAGTAGTAGTAGTAGTAGTAGCAGTAGTAGTAGTAGTAGTAGCAGTAGCAGTAGAGTAGCAGTAGTAGTAGTAGTAGTAGTAGTAGTAGTAGTAGTAGTAGTAGTAGTAGTAGTAGTAGTAGTAGTAGTAGTAGTAGTAGTAGTAGTAGTAGTAGTAGTAGTAGTGTAGTAGTAGTAGTAGTAGTAGTAGTAGTAGTAGTAGTAGTAGTAGTAGTAGTAGTAGTAGTAGTAGTAGTAGTAGTAGTAGTAGTAGTGGCAGCAGCAGCAGCAGCAGCAGCAGCAGCAGCAGCAGCAGCAGCAGTAGTCCGGTACTGGTACTAATATGGTACTGGTACTAGCACTAGTACTAGTACAAGTACTACTTCTCAATAGTCTCGCTACCCATACTAAAAGGCACCCCCTATACTGCTGTCCTACTCATCCCTCCCCAAATCTTGACTCTGACTCGAAGAACCCGACAGGGGAGCTCGGTGTGCAAGCGCCCGTGGGCTTTTGGGACCCCCTTGGGCTCTCGGCAGACGGGGACGCCTGGGGACCCAGGAGGGTTTTCGCCTTTGAAGGGGTGAAAATCATTAGCAATGTTTTTCGTCAGGGTTCCTGAATGCTCGCATACGTAAACATGCTACAAGATTCCTTAAAAACTCTGCTCTAATGATTAAGGCTCCTCTTTTTGGAGTTTCAGTGGTATCGCTTGCTTAAACGGGCTTTCTGCTGGTTTGTCGCAGCTATAAATCGGAGTTGTGCAGTTTGGAGGTGGCAGGGAGAGTGGTACCATCTTCCTTCACAGCACCGGAACCTTCATGGCTGCAGGAAAAGAGCTTGGGTTGAGTGGGCCGATCCGGCCTGGTGGTTGGAGCCCCGAAAATGCACAATCAGTCGACGCGGAACCCGAGACTTCGCACTCAGACCTCCGCCTAGGCCGCTTACTGTTGGCAGCAGTTCATGGATTTATCTGTGAGCCTTCCCCCAAGCCTCAAACCAATCGAAAAGTTCGTAAACAGAATGCCAAGAATCTGAAGCCAAGAACGCAACTTGTAACTTGTTCCGAATTATGCTTCTCTTTGACTGTTCTGTTGATGCGCAGGGAATCTTGGCCTACAAAGACTTGTAATTAATAGTCGTTGTCGTAGTAGTAGTCGTCGTCGTCATCGTAGTCATCGTAGTCGCAGTCGGTGGTGGTGGCGGCGGTGGTGGTGGTGGTGTTGGTGGTGGTGGTGGTCAGAAACAATGATATGGGCAATGACATTGATAGTCATTTGAGAGGTCGACACCTTCAAGCGCCGCAGGGCAGCCGAGCTGAAGCATGGCCGGATCTGCCGGAAGCCCAGCACTTTTCGGAGGGCAGGAGGGGGAGAGAGTTTTGGGTGCAAGAATTTAAGGATTGAGGGGTTTAGGAATATTTTGCTAATGTATGGGGTTGTAGGACTTATGGTAAGGGTTCAAGAGTTCGCCATGCTCGTCGTTTGAAGGTGGGGATCAGTGCTACACGAAGAGTGCCGGAGTTCGATCCGGCGTTGATCTGTGCAGAGCGAAGACAAGGGATTGTTGAGGATGGCAGAGTTCGTACGGGGCTTTTCTGCTGTTGCCAGCTGCGGGTTGCTCTGCACCCTAAACCCTAAACCCTATACCCTAAACCCTAAACCGTGGGTGGGCGGACCTTTATGCAAGTGCTATTGAAGTGATCAGTGCTTACCCTGAAATGCCAAGACAGTGGGTCAACAATGTTTCAACAGGTCTGGAATTGAGACCTTGCTTGAGTCGCCCAGCCAGGGATTAATTATGCCGTGATGTCGATGATTGTAGCTGCCGTGCTATATCTTGCAAGGAGGACGCTGAAGAACGTATTCAGTAGTCAATTGCATATCACCTCGCTGTTTCGATGGCTTTGGCATGCGCAGTTTCCCTGCTGACAACCGCTTCTGAGGCATGTTGGCCTGCGTTGCTTGCTCGCACCTTCGGGGACCTCAGCACATGAGTTTCGTGCAGATTTTGCTCCATTGGAGTGTGACATGCATCCTCACTACACTCGCCCATATGGGGCTGTGCTTCGTTTAAGAGCCCCTCGTTCAACCCCCCCCAAAGAGTCTGAAGGTGGGATACATCGTGCCGGAGTACTTCCGCTGGCCCGGTTTCCTTTCACCGGAGAAGGGTCTCAAGTTCGCTGACATGCCCCACGGTATCGCAGCCATCTCCAAGGCCGAGATTGGAGTGAGCAGGAGAGTTTTGTTTGTTTGTTTTTTGTTTTGGGTGTGTCCTGCCGGCAGTCGTAGTCATAGCCGCCATAGCCACAGTTCAAGAAGACAGGTAGTGTGCAGGGCATCCGTCCGTGCACACTGTGACCATTGCCAACATTTGTCATTTGTCGTCCCTTTCCTAAGACGGTGCAGAATGGGTGCAGTGATTACTTCTTGCACAGTGCTATCTAATTTGCTGCCGTCCCTTCTAGCAGTTTTGATTGAGCAATGCAATTCGAGTACGCCAAAATGCATGTGACTGAATTCCGGTGAGCACAAACTGTGACCCTTGTCATATATATATATATATATATATATGAGCATGTGCGCAGTACAAATTTCTATTGCAAGCCTCTTGTTGCTTGCTTCCCCGGAACCTTTTCCCCGACAGGCACACAGAGTGTCGCGTCTGCCCCCCCCCCCTCCCCCAAAAAAATCAACAACAACAACCAGCCCGCACAGAAGAATCAAACCTGAGACGGCAGGTCCCCCTGGAGGGCTGGCTGCAGATCGTCCTGTTCGTCGGCCACTACGAGGGCTACTTCTGGCGCCAGGATCCCAAGCGCGCCCCGGGCGACTACGAAGGCTGCGGGAGTATGATTTTTTGTTTGATCACGAGTATGACTCTTACTGTCACTGTCCTTGCAAGCCGTATTGCTTTCATGAAGTTGCTGTAGTTCTATTCACTATGGTCGCTATCATGGTTAGAAGTATCCTTGCTATCAGCGTGATTCCAGATTCTTCGTCGTAGAGAGCCGGCAAGATGGACCCACGCTCTGCTGAAAACCTGGACCCCGCAAACCGTAAACGTAAACCATAAACCCAAAGCCCAGACCTACTAAAAAAAAGTCTCAAGCATGCTATCTCTGAAAAGGCTACGGCTTCCTGGGTGTGGGCAAGAACTTCATCGTCAATGTCGACCCCATCGAGTTCCAGGATGCCGAGGCAATGCGATTCAGGGCTTTTTGGGTTTTTAGCTTGTTCGGTTTTGGGATTTTTTGGTGTTTACGGGTCTCCATCCCTAGATATAGGATGCTATGTAGGACACTACCCCCGATGCTGAAGCTCTGCTCGATTCCGGAAATCGTCTGTGGCAGGTGAAGAAAACCAAGCTTTCCGCCGAGATTGCGAATGGACGATTGGCACCTAGACTCCATCTGTCTGAAGTAACGCACTGATTTGCGAGCATTTTTTGAGCTGGTAAAGCCCGAGATACGTGCACATCCATCTACGGAAGCAAAGTGCCCCTGCGCAAAAGCCGCCATACAGCCTTAGCCCTCGACAAGACAGCATTTGTGCAACTGGTCCAGACACACGGGCGACGGCTCTTCTTCGGAAGTAGGTTTGTGCAACACAGAGACCTAGTGCAAAGCAGTTGTTTGATTGTTTGATATAGGATATATGCATGATGATACCAGTATCCACAAAGTCAGTAAAAGTACAGCTGGCAACGATAGCCACCGCGAGAATCATAGTTATGATAATGACTACGACATGTTCTAACATAGCACTGATAATGAAATATAGTATACAAAACAGTACCATGATGCGATACAGCATCATGTTTTGACATGGCTAGACTCAGCGACTGCTTGCCATTGAACTTGATGACCGAAAGCAGCACCAGGAAAGAACATAGACACTTGCTCTTGGGCACGACTCCACCCGAGTCATAAGACCTATAGCACGAGAAAGGAGCACGGCTCAGCAGGCTAGTTGACCAAGACAGCACAAGCAACTCATCAGAAACACAAGCTGCGAAATCCTCGTACATGTCGATCTGCAGGAAAGCCAAGCTGAAGGAGGCTTTGGACTTCGAATCCAGACCAGAAGTAGAAGCACAAGATGAAGCACGAGAAAGACATAGTGGACGGTGCAACATAAGTGCGCAACAGCGTTCTGATTGATCAAGGAAGCATCCGAACAGCACAAGGCCACCGCCTTGCTTCGAGCAGCATCGACAATGTGACTACCACTTGTTGTTAATGTTGGTGTCGGAATACTAAGAGTTAGCAACAGCTTCCCGGATGGTGTTGCTTACGCCCACCGCCTCACCCGAAATCAACAGAGATTGGTTGTTTCAGGCCACTTTCTAACCCAAAGCCCCAAAACGCCCAGCACAGGCGATGGTGGCCCTGATGGCAATGCTTTTTCAGAACGGCACCGTGGGCTCCACCGGCCCTGCTTCTTGGAGCATTGTTTAGGCCTTTACTTTGGGGTTGTGTGGTTTGAGGGTTGACGGTCAGCTGTGTAAGACCAGTGAGAACACTAGTTTCATATGTTGGATTTCACTCGAGTCTAGTTATTAAGGCCCTTTGTTACATCAAATGGCTGGGAAATTTGTGCTCGGAGAACTGTAGGTTGCTTGCCCGACCCCTGTTTTTATGCAGGGTTGCTCAATTTGTTTTCTTCATAGGTTCCCACAAGGGTCAAGACACGCATGTTCCGAAAATCTGGACTGCGAAGACATGTTATGTTGAGACGCAGGTTTCAAGTGCGAGGCTTCCGACTCATACACAAAATTACTAATAGTTACCCCTAAGGCCTATTATTCCTTTGGGTTCCGTATTATGGTTATACTGTAAACTCCCAAGGCCCAAATCCCTTATTCCATTCTTGAAGGCCCCTTTCTTTGATGCGAAACTGGAGTTGGAGATCCAAGCCGCTAGAGATTCTGGAGTTGAAAGCCACTTCGGATTTGCTGTTATGGAAGCCTTTAAAGTTATGCAACCTTTATCTCGACCTTTATGGTAGCCCTAGAATCTAGAATATAAGAACCACTTGTAGTTAAGCTGCATCGTTGCCGTGACTGAGGCCATGTGGCTGCCCGCATCATGAGTTGCCGGAGCCCGGACGTTTGGAGGTAGTGGGAAAGACGCCTGGGGCAGAAAAAGGATGATGGCATCTGTCTCAGCATTGCAAGTTCTAGCAAGCAGGGTCGAAGGGTTGCGCGTGCAAGTGCAAAGCACATGGGACAAGGACCAAGGGAAAGACTTGCGCCATCAGGGTGTAAGAGGGTCTAGGATAGAAGCCTACATAGTTAGCAACATCATTCTTCAGGGTTCTTTCACGTGTCTATCCTCTGATAAAGCCAAAAGACTGTACTCATTATTAAAATACAGAACCTTCAACATAACACGCCCGAGATCGAGATCGGGTCGAGGTCCGAATGTTTGCGGTTGCCACGGAAGTCTGCGTTCCAAGCTGCTTCTGAACCTCGTCGCATTGTGGGTCGGCAAAGGCCCACAGCGCCACTGTCGCAGCTTCCATCGACTTCGACCCCGGCTTGTCGGCAACAATGCGTTCACCAAGTGCCCCTGCGACGACATGCAGCTCCTGCAGTTATTGGGGTCTCTCACTTGGTTTCGTCGCAAAAGAACGCATGGAGACCAGATATCTCGACGATGCATGTTGCGCATTTCCTGCGCTTTGACGGACTGGGCTGTACAAGCATGCGGAGGCGCTGCGAATGCCCTGGATGTAAGCAACGGCCAGTCCTACATTGGACAATGCTTTGGCAATAGCAGCCGTTAGCAGCAGTGTCAAGAAGATGGCTTGCAGGCGTGGCCCCAGTTTGCAGCAGCAAAGCTAGGGGCGACAACTCTTTCCAAAAACACAACTCGTTTTGGCGAAACGCGCTTCAACGTTAGTCGTATCTCGCCTGCTGACTGAACAAGCTCGGTCTTTGCATGTCTTCGGCACACCTCTCGAAAGTGCTGCAAGCCCAGCAGATGCAAGGAATGCTGCACAGTACCAGAGACCTCTACGATATAGCCGTTTTGGCGAGGTTCCCGTTCCGCATTTATAGCCTCTGTCCCACGTCCCTGTGGATGCAGCGGTCTGCACTCCCAAAGCAGTCCATGCAACCTTGCGAGAGATTTGAATTCAGCGTACCATGATCTGCACGCCAACAGGCGGAGCACCACTGCATGAAACTAAGGAACCCGTTTCGAAGAGTCTGCCAAATCTCTCGCTTCCACTAGCCAACCCTTTGCGCCGTGTAAACAAGCCCACTGCAGAGCTGTCCGTGGTCGGACTGCACTGTGGTCTTGTCGAACTGCAAAGTTCTTCTTGGGTGGTTCTGGACCCAGAGGCACCCGAAAAAAGTGCGACGCAAGAGGGCTTTGACACCAGGAGGAAGCGATTACATGACCACTCGCGAGCTCGTTTCAGTCCACTGTTCGTTTCGCCAGTCAGTGCATGAAGGTCAATGGTTTTTGGAATCGTTCGGATATACAATACGACTGGTCGTGTCAGAACGCTGCCACGGTTGCATTCAAACGACGGAAACCTTCTAATGGCTTCCTCGTTTGTGAAACGTACCTCGGCCGGCCTGTTGTTTCGAGAATGCCCGGAAAATGGTTTGAATGTCTCGCGAAGCAATAGACTTAATATAGAGCTAACTCGGCCATGCGAAGGATGGGGGATAATAATCCGAACGAGTTGCACTCGGCTGGTCGCAGAAACTCACGGAACGTGACACATCTTGGGCTGCGGGGGGGCTACAAACTGCAAGAGCCGCAAGAACCTGGAATTGCGTGGACGGCACCAAAGTAATCTCTTCCCGTTTGATCGCGAGACACGGCAAGGCATGTTTGTCCCAGCCGACCAACCGGAGAAAGGATATTGACCGAAAACCCGGATGTTTGTTTGTTGTGAGCTTAGGCAGTCTTTGAATGGCAGATGAAACCGAAACTCGATCAGGTCCTTTGCTAAAAGCGTGGCAGTCCCCGAATGTCAGCCGGCTTGTCCATCCAACGTCTGCGTCTGTGTCTGCGCTGGACGCGCTCGCGAGATCGCAAGGGCCGCAAGGGGCGCATCTGCCTCAGCAGTCGTCAACGACGTCAGGTCATTCGGCACGCCAGGGGGTGAGCCGGTTTGCCAAGATTCATGAAGACTTCGTCTGCGATCTCAGCAGAGCCGTTTGTATCCCCGCCCATCGCGGAAACAATCCATAGCAATGTCGTGCCACATCTGGTTGGTCACTAACCCCCCCGGCGCGAGATTCGTGAGTATGGCATATGCCACATGGCCACATGGTGCAAAATTTGTTGTTCGCAGTCGCAGCTGCTCGCGACTCCCACGAATTTGCACGACAGCCTACAAAACAGTCCCAAAACAACCGTCAATCCCGTCAGTATGTACAGGTGAAAATATGCATTACCATACAACCCTACCTAGATTTGCCTCCAATCTTCAAAGAGGGGGGCACTATCGTGAAGCATGTAGGAAAATTTGTTCGCCATCACCGCATAGGCACGGCTGCATTACATGAGAAGCATGCCGAGAACTCCTCCCATCAGCAAAAGCATGGTGACCCCCGATGACTTCCGTTTCACCAACGTCCATTCTCTCACCACAGATGGGCGTAAACGAGACCCATGCACAAAAGAGCAGAATTCTAAGGCGCAGGTGGCATCCTCGACTGTACACAGTGACGGTACCGCTGGGCATACCTCGCAGAAGAGCTTCCCAGCATTGCGAAACAGAGTTGGATTTACATTCACTGCGCTTCGAACTGCGAGCAGATTTTGGATCACCTCCAGGCCCAATCCCGCACAGAGCAGGATGGGGGATGCCCGAGCGTGCCATGTCTTTGGCAACAGGGCACGCCCAAGAATCACGTTGGGTCGCTGCAAACTGAAAGACATGGGCCGCTGGGGGCTCGAATGGACTCCATGCGCAGCAGCGACAGACAACCTTCCAAATAGACCAAAGACGCACGTGCTGGACTTCAACAAGAAACGAATGCCACCCCAACTCGCCCAGAACTGCAGCAACAGGGGCACCAGACGGCCACAGCAGCAAACGTTTACCGAACTGACGTAGCTTCTGGGAAGTACGAGCCGTACAACATAGAAGGTTGAACATATGATTGAAACAAGCTTCGCCGAAAGGCTGTATGCAGCTGACGATTGTCAACCCACGATACAGATTGATGAAACTTGCCAGTGCATCTTTCAACAAGGCGATCACAATGCCTGCACCATTTCCGGGCTGACTGGAAAACAACACTCACATAGCAGTTTTCAGACACGCGCGGCACGGAGTGGCCCTGCAGCGTGACTTGATGGTCATGGGATCGTGCACCAACCACAGGAAAGCAGTGTTGTCAGGCCCTATCCAACAGGAAAACTTCCATTGTCGCCCCCAGGCACCAATCACAGCCGAAACTTGTTGGAGGTCTGTAAGGTTCTTAGCTAGAATGACCAAGCCGTCGGCGTAGAGTAATAATATCACCTTGAGAGCAGTTGGCCCAGTCGCAAGGACACACCGGGGCAAGCTGAGCCAACACATCCGGATATGCTGTCAAACAGAATCGTGAACAGCAAAGGGCTTAAAACATTGCCTTGACGAACTCCAGCACTCTTAAACCATGGTTCAGACAGACAGCCATTGATCGAAGCCTGCGCCGACGTCTCAGAGTGTGTCATCCAGAACCTTCCGCATTGCACCCGCAATATCCGCTAGTGCCAGTGGACCAACACCGCATCTCCCCAATCAGCATCAAACGCTTTGCCTGGTTCGACAAATGCGCAGAACGTTTGCTTCCGTGCTCTCGACCGAAGTGTTTCAGCAAGCGTCTACATATGATCTTCAAGCCGGCGGGTGACGTGAGGCCGCAACCGATTCAACAATAATCGCTCGAATATCCGCAAGCTACAGCTGCTGGTCTGCTGCAGCAGCAGACTGATGGGTCCATGGTCTGTAAGTGTTGAACTATGTTGAAATGACCTGCATCACCAGCTTTGTGCAAAGGTGTTGCAACGGCCGTGCGCCAGATAGAAAGAACGACACCCCAGACATGCACAAGCCACGGGGCCGCGGCCGAGGGTTATTTGCGATAAGACGCACGAGCGCTCCTGTTCCGAAAAAGGGTAATCAGAATCAAGATGGCCACTCCCTGCTGACATCGACCCGCGCAGTCGACGGACACTTGCAGCATGATCACGGTTTTGAGCCGTAGCATGCATCCCACCGGAAGTGCTTGCGCCAAGGCGATAATGCCCCAGCATTCGATCGGGAGCAGTGGGCGAATAAATGGACGAGGGAAACCGAAACTGTCGCCGTGTTGAACCAAGCTGGTCATGGATGTCCCTAGCTGCAGGACGAATGTTTTCAACCTCCGAGTGGCACTGATGCACCAAATCATGGAACCGAAGCCGCTTCCTCGGAAATTTTCAAGCTACTCGTACGGTCACGTGCCACAACGCCTTCTTACCTCGCCCTCGCCCATCCTTGTGTTGGTCAGCCTCAAAGAGCGTTGAACGCAACAGGGGCTTGGGGCCTTGGGGCTCTCATGGCGCTTCTTTTTCGGCATTGCCCCGAAAAGTTAGCTGTCATGGTTGTCGGCTCAAATTCGGCTGGTTGTCGTTTCATGCTGTTGCCTTGTGTACACCTTCCTGGGGGTGACATCTGAGGCTTCGGATGGCGCAGGCCCACTTCTCGACGGCATCCTCCACCACATTGCCCGAAAGGCACGGAGCCGCTTGCCATTGCGGCACTAGGGCGCAGGCAGCGCCCGAGGAGGGATTTGACGAGGCGCCGACTGGCAGGAGCAAAAAGGTGCAAGAAAAGAAAAACAAAGACAGGCCGCTGACAAGTAGCGAAGGTGACGTCCAACTGCTGCTACTGCTGCTGCTGCTGCTGCTGCCGACGCCATGGGTGAGGAAGTGTTGCTTCGGCTATGGACCTTCCAACAGAGCGAAACCCGCGCATGGAACGCAGCGGGCTTTGTCAGCCATCCAGCCCCAGCAAGGTGGCGAAGATGATCTGCTGTGTTTGTTTCCTTGCAGGGTCAAGGCCCTAAGACGTCCCAGGTCCAGTGTGCAGTTGGGGGTTCTGCTAAAGCGCGTCAATCGGGATTCTGGGACATGCTGGTCAACTAGAAAGGCTGGTTTTGATTTGCTCTTTGCTGCGATGCCACTGAAGTCTGAGGTAGTTCGTGAGTGGCTGCTTGCAAAAGCGTCTACATGGGGAATGGGTGCTTTTGATGTGCTGTTTGCTGTGATGCCACTGATGTGTTTCTTGAGCGGCTTCTCGCAAAATCGAGGGTCTACATCGGGAATGGCTGGTTTTTATGTGCTGTTTGCTGTGATGCCACTGATGTGTTTCTTGAGCGGCTGCTCGCAAAATCGAGCGTCTACATCGGGAATGGCTGGTTTTGATGTGCTGTTTGCTGTGATGCCACTGATGAGTTTCTTGAGCGGCTGCTTGCAAAATCGAGCGTCTCATGGACATGGGAATGGTTGCTTTTGACGTGCTGTTTGCTGCGATGCCACTGATGTCCGAGGTGTTTTTTGAGCGTCTGTTTGTGAAATCGAGCGTCTACATCTACATGGGGATCGACTGGGTTTGATGCGCTAAGATGCCACCGATATGACTGATATGTCTCGTAGGTATGCTTGTGAAATTGGGAATGGCTCTTAAATCGCCTTTGAGGCTTTGGACATCAAGCCTAAAACTGCTTTCGCAGCACTGGTATTACTTTTCTGCTGCTCGTCCTCCTCCTGCTGCTGCTGTTTGCTGCTGCCACCACGCCCACGACCACTGCCGCTGCCATTGCCAGTGTTACCAATGCGACTGTCACTGCGTCACTGCCACTCCTCCTGCCGGGTTCTGGGTTGGCAACGGAGGGCGCCGCTTACGCACTGCTTACGCGCAGCTTACGCGAATTGCGCCACTCACCACACAATTTTAGACCTCTGCCAGGCTCCCGAGCCAGCAGAAGGCTGCAAATACCAACAGCAACACGCGGGTTAAGTACATGCATCTCGGGGTCCGTTCTTCACTTGTCCCCGGAGGTGTGCACTCGCAGAAGGCCGCAAAAACGAGCCGCAGCACGCAGGTATAAGATCAGGCATCTCAGGGTCCGTTCTTCACCTGTCCCCCGAGGTGTGCACTTGCAGAAGGCTGCGAAAACGATCCGCAACCCGCAGGTATAAGTGCATGCATGTCGGGGTCCGTTCTTCACCTGTCCCCGGAGGTGTGCACTTGCAGAAGGCTGCAAATAAGAAAGAGCAGCACCCGGGTTAAGTACATGCATCTCGGGGTCCGTTCTTCACTTGTCCCCGGAAGCGTGCACTAGCAGAAGGCTGCAAAAACGAACAGCAGCACGCAGGTTAAAATCATGCATCTCGGGGTCTTGTTCCCCGAGGTGTGCACTTGCAGAAGGCTGCAAAAACGAGCCGCAGCATGCAGGTATACGTGCATGCATCTCGGGGTCCGCTTTCACCTGTCCCCGGAGGTGTTCACATGCAGAAGGCTGCAAAAACGAGCCGCAGCACGCGGGTAAAAGATCATGCGTCTCAAGGTCCATTCCTCACTTCTCCCCGGAGGTGTGCGCTCGCAGAAGGCTGCAAAAACGAACCGCAGCACGCCGGTCTAAGTGCATGCATCTCAGGGTTTGTTCTTCACCTGTCCCCAGAAGTGTGCACTTGCAGAAGGCTGCTAAAACGAGCAGCAGCACGCAGGTATAAGTCACCTGTCCTCCGAGGTGTGCACTTGATGAAGGCTGCAAAGACGAGCCGCAGCACGCAGGTATACGTGCATGCATCTCGGGGTCCGCTTTCACCTGTCCCCGGAGGTGTGCACTTGCGGAAGGCTGCAAAAACGAGCCGCAGCACGCGGGTAAAAGATCATGCGTCCCGGGGTCCATTCCTCACTTCTCCCCGGAGGTGTGCGCTCGCAGAAGGCTGCAAAAACGAACCGCAGCACGCCGGTCTAAGTGCATGCATCTCAGGGTTTGTTCGTCACCTGTCCCCGGAGGTGTGCACTTGCAGACGGCTGCAAAAACGATCCGCAACACGCAGGTATAAGTGCATGCATGTCGGGGTCCGTTCCTCACCTGTCCCCGGAGGTGTGCAGTTGCAGAAGGCTGCAAACACGGCACGCCGGCTTTCACACGAGTTGTTCACTCTTGGGGGACGGTGCACGGGGTGTGCTCTTGCGGAAACGGCAAATGCAAGGACTTTGCAGCGACCCCAGTCGTTGCGTGTGTGCAGATGGGGGAAGCATCAAAAAAGCGAAATGCAACGACAAACTCGCGTAGGAGTACATGTTTCTCAATGCTCGTTCGAACAAATTAATTAAAGAATTCAATCGACGTTGCCTTGGTCGATATCATATTTTCATGTGTTCTTCACACGCCAAAAAGGTCATGCTCTGCCTTGCAGCGGCAACCTTGGCTTCTTTTTCGGTTCTAGCTCTATTCTTCTGTTTCGTTTAGTCTTTCTGACTGACATGCTGCTGCTGCTGCTGCTGCTGCTGCTGCTGCTGCTGCTGCACACATGAGCAGCAGCATCATCGGCGACCGCGCCAAGTGTCAGCTTCAAAATGATTCGGCATGATTTAGCTGTGGGGATGGGGGTGCGCAACACCTTGAGTTGGTGTTGCACCACCTCGTTGTACTTGCAAACGGATGGTCGCGGCGGGCAGGATTGAGGTAAACGGTGTGCTGGAAAAAGGTGAATTGCAGTGGGCAGAATTCATTGAGCTAAAAGAGTTTCCAATGGTTTCCATGTTGATGCGTCACGGCGTCTAATTAGTTTAATTTACCTTACGCATTGTCACAGTGCCAGACAGCGCAATCTGGCATAGTGATGCCGTGTTAGGCATCCAGATAACCATCGCCACAGCATGGGCGCGGTCGTGGATTTGCCTTCGGCAACACGTCGTCATGGCGGCTCCGAGCCTCCGACACTGTTGCATTGCAGAACATTTGCTACTGACCGGAACCGGATGCTTGCGACCGACGAAAGCTGAAGCTACTGTTCTGGGCTTTTCTACATGGGTTGTTGTGGACTCTCGGCAACTTTCGGCCCAAGGGTGTGATCTCAGGGTGGAACCCATGGCGGCCGGGTCCCCACGCTTGACGCAAGTCTTGACCAGCAAGCCGGTGGAGCCGCACCAAGCGGATGCATCTTGGCCAAAGCTTCAGTCGAATGCATGTCAAGGCAGGCCACATATTGTCAATGTATCAATCAGTGTCTACGTTAAGCTCAACTCGTTCACGTCAGTTTAGGACCTCTGCTTCCGCGTTTACGATTTCTCGTACGAGTTTCCAGCTTGAGTTTCCGGCTTGGATTGCAACCATGGCCTTGCTGATGCAGGATCTTCCGCAAAGTAACTCCCCATGTTCGAGACGAGGGGCCACGACCTCGCCTCACAAGCATGTTTCCTCG